ATGCGGCGGAGTGGGCCATGGCGGAGATGATTAACAAGCCAAGGATCATGCAAAAAGCCGTGGAGGAGATCGATCGCGTAGTCGGGAAAGACCGTTTTGTCCTTGAATCCGACCTCCCGAGTCTCAACTACGTGAAGGCTTGTGTGAAAGAGGCGTTCCGATTACACCCCGTGGCACCGTTTAACCTCCCTCACATGTCGACCTCCGACGCAGTGGTGGACGGTTACTTCATCCCCAAGGGAAGCCACGTATTGATTAGTCGTATGGGGATCGGGAGAAACCCTAACGTGTGGGACAAGCCTCTTAAGTTCGACCCTGAGAGACATTTGGGCAATAACGAAAGCGTGGAGCTGAACGATCCAGATCTTAATCTAATATCGTTCAGCACGGGACGAAGAGGGTGCATGGGTGCGAACATCGGATCGGCCATGGCGTACATGTTGCTGGCTCGGTTGATTCAAGGGTTCACGTGGTCATCAATGCCTGGTGAGGGTAAAATTGACATTTCGGAAAGCAAGTGTGATCTTTTCATGGCAAAACCTTTACATGCAGTTGCAACACCTCGTTTGCCTCCAATAATTTACCCAATCTAATTGAGCAAGGAAAGATTATTACAAAATGTATCTAAATATAATAATAATTTGAATAAATACCACCTAAATTGTGTTATTTCAAAATTTGTAATTATGTTTTCTCATTATAAATAGTTGCATTCTTTTATTATAAATGATTATGTTTGTTCATCGTAATTATAATTTATGTCTTTTCAAAACTATTTATATTATTCAAAACTATAAAAAAAAAATTATTTGAGTCTACTATTACTTTTGAATTACAATTATTAACGTACACCTTGACTAATTGTTTTATTTTATTTTATCACTATTTAAAAATACTAAGTTCACTAATTTCAGCTTCTTACTTTATCTACAATAAATAATCTCCAGGATTCGCAGAGGAAAAAAGAGTAATCACTATGTAAGAAATTTATTAGTATTAAACTAGTTTTTACATACATTGTGAGACGAAACGTTTTGTTTTCCTATCTTTTTAAAAATTAGATAACCGTCGACAACTTTTCTTTTTCTCTGTATTTTTGCAAAACCGACAAAGTAATTTGATGGATATTTCATATTTGTCTTTCTTAGATACGTCTCTCTTTCTTTCATTTGCTATATATACAAGGGGTCTAGGGCTTTGTAAAGATCATCTTGAATTGAATATTTTATACACTTAAAACTTTTGAAAACAGTAAGAGGAGTACTAACCCCTTGTCTTATCGTATTTCGTGGGTAATAGTTGGAAGATGGAGTCCAGTCCGTGGACCGTAACCCCTGGATCCTCATCCTCCCATGGGACAAAAACAGGACTTGTTGGAAAAAGAACAATGGAGAAACTACAATGTGAGTTAAACTTGTCTTCTGTAGGGATTTACAAATTTGTCTTGTTGCATAGTATTTTTTTGAAGAGCCTTTAGGAATGTTTGGTTTATCCGTTTATGATATTACATACTGGAGAACAGAAGTAGAATGGACCTTTTTAAGAGATAGTAGTCTTATATTTCTACTGTAGACACCTGTAAATCAAGGTTGGGTGAAATCAGTGTGAACACAGACGAGGAGCCTCACGACCCTATCGATAAGTCTTTCCATGAAACTGGGACTCCTGTAGGAGAAAATAAAAGGAAGAGAGGAAGAGATGATGACATTGATCTACTGAAAACACCGACACAGAGACAGAAGCGAAAGAAGATCAGGGGAAAGGTTGCTGGTGATGTCAACACAAACAAACCCTCATCTAAATCCGCGGTTAAAAAGGCCTCTGCTACTGCTAAAACCTCTGAAGCTAAAAGCTCTGTTCGTCCAAAGAGATCAACCAGAAGATGTCTAACATTCGACATTGATGCTCAAGTAGAAGACATCTTTGGTAACATCCCTAAGAGAAAAAGACAGAGCAGGACTAAGTCAATGGAGAAACCACTTGTAGAATTTCCAAAGTTCCAGAGGAAAAGGAGATCTACTCTAGTCCAGAGATGCAGATATCCACTGCTTAAAGCCATAATATCAAAGATGCAGTCAGGTGTTTCCAGAAAGAAGCGAAGCAACAGAGACCCTATAGCAAGCAAACTCAACGCAAGGGTGTTACACTTGCAGTGGCGACGCCTGAATCTAACAGGTTAGTCTAACACACTAAAGAATTCATCTCTATTTCTTAGCTTAAACTTCTGATCATGAATCAACTCTACTTTTAACAAAACACAGGTACGTCTCATGAGGAATTATGGAAACAGAAGTCTTCAATTGATTCCATCACCAAGCTAATCGAAGAGCTAGACATCACGAGAGACTGTCTTTCCCTCCCACATAATCGAGAAACCGCACTTGTTCTACATCAAAAGACATGTCAGCAACAAAAGTCAGCAGTGCAGTACAAGAGAGACGGGTCAATCGTTCCTTTTCCTAGTGAGAAAAACCATCAAACGAAAGTAGAATTAGATGAAGAAACGAAGAGAGTGTGGAAACTCCTCATGGTGAGTATCGACAGTGAGGGTATTGATGGGTTAGATGAGGATAAAAAGAAATGGTGGGAAGAGGAGAGGAAAGAGACGCATGCACGTGCAAGCTCCTTCATTGCTCGCATGCGTCTTGTACAAGGTACTGTTTATTGTTTAAACTATTGCATTGCTTTGTGGGTTGAGTCATATTTGTAGACCAAAAGAAAAATAGTCTAAAGACGAGATTGTTATTGCAGGTGATAGAAGATTCTCACCTTGGAAAGGATCTGTCGTTAATTCAGTTGTTGGTGTTTTCCTCACCCAAAATGTGGCAGACCACTCATCAAGGTAAATGCATTCTAGAGACTTCTGGTAGACCGAAGGTATATGCAAAATGAACTGTTTTTTTAGATTATTAACTTCTTCATTTTTTGCAGTTCTGTATTTATGGATATAGCTGCAGAGTTTCCAATGATCTTCAACTCCAACGAGGGACCGTGTCTTGAAGAGTGGAATGAAATAGCAATGAATTTGGATCCGAGATATGGAGCTACAACTCAAGGATCATGCAATCCAACTATCATAATAGATGAGATTGATGATGATGACGACATTGATGCTATTGGTAGTCAAGAAACTTCTACAAGCAGTGACAAGTCCATAAGTTTTACAGATCAATCAAATAAGGTGATGCCTGAACCTCTTACAAGCAAATGTGAGGCAAAATTCGATTATTTCAGAAACAATGTAAGAAGTCAAGATCAAGATATAGTCAGCCATCAACAAGAAGGCTCAAACTCAAGATCAGATCAACTTGTCAGGAAGAATACGAAGAATAAGAAGAAACCAAGAACTCTCCGTCCAAAGGGTCCATCGGCAAAGAACAAGCCAAAGGAAAGTTTTGACTGGGATAGTTTGAGAAGGCAAGCACAAAGTGGTGGCCAAAAGAGAAGAAGAACAGAAAGAACAATGGACATTGTTGACTGGGACGCACTACGTTGTACAAGTGTAAAGAAGATCGGTGCTATAATAAGAAAGCGTGGGATGCACGAAATGCTTTCCCACAGATTCAAGGTTTGTTTCATTTACAAAAACAAAATTTCATTAAGTCATGATATAATGCGTATGAGAAGTTACAATCTAACAAGTGTATTTGGAAATTGGACAGGCCTTTTTAAACAGATTGGTTCAAGACCACGAAGAGATTGATTTGGAGTGGCTAAGAGATGTTTCCCCGGACAAAGCCAAGTAAGATATCTTAAAAAAGATCCCGGTTATGTAGTTTCAGTTACTTTTGGAGTCAAATAGAGTTATGTGGTTACTAATTGTTTGTAGGGAGTATCTAATGAGCATACATGGATTAGGATTGAAAAGTGTGGAGTGTGTTAGACTTTTGTCACTACACCAAACTGCATTTCCTGTAAGTTAAATACAATATTACTCCACCTTAGTGAATGTGTAATATAAATACTGAAAGTTATATAATGAAGGTTGACACCAATGTTGGACGCATAGTTGTAAGACTCGGATGGGTTCCATTACAACCATTACCTGACGAGCTACAAATGCATCTTCTAGAGCTGTAAGCAAATTTTTTTAAAAATATCTTTCCTTTAACAATGATAAAAACATGTGAAATTAATTGTTATAACTAAGACCTTGATTCTATTCAGGTACCCAGTATTGGATTCTGTTCAAAAATACCTTTGGCCTCGCCTCTGCAAACTTGACCAAAAGACTTTGTAAGAAAATAGCATTGCCTTTGGTGCATCTACCATTACTTCAAAATCCTTTTGTTTTGGTTGAAAAAATTAGTAACCATTGTATGATTCAATTTTAGGTACGAGTTGCACTATTATATGATTACATTCGGAAAGGTAACTCAAACAAATCTCATGTTATCTCATTCGGTTTTCATAACATTTGAACTGTTTGTAAATAATTATTAAATCTTAAAGTGGCTGAAAGATATTCATGTGTTTTTGGGAAATTTTGCAGGTCTTTTGCACAAAAGTAAAACCTAATTGCAAAGCATGTCCAATGAAAGCTGAGTGTCGTCATTATGCTAGTGCACATGCAAGGTTGTACTCCCAAACTTCAACAGCTACTGAATTCATTTCTACTAAATGATAGCATACAAAATTATCATACGCCACACACTATTCCGGAGCATATATCGTAGAACATTATAATGATGGTTTGTATTCTTTTACGCTTGTTGTTTATATGGCAGTGCACTACGTGATCTACCAGAATCAGAGGAGGAAGGAACAGTTGTGATCCATGAGAGAAGATGCAAACCCAAGCCTGTTACGGTGAACTTTCGGCAGTGTTTGTTTCTTGGTGAAGACAAAGAGCGAGAAGAATCAAAAAGGCTCCATGGATGTGAACCTATCATTGAAGAGCCAGCATCGCCAGAAACAGTGTGTGCTGATATTGAGGACTTTCCTGATCCTTGGGAAAAAAGGATGCGATTCCTACCATCATACTCAACAAGGAAGCTGCTATGTCAAAGGATTTGGTCCTAATAGGCAATCAAGCACCATCGTTGCACACAATCAAGCTCAAATTCATCGAAAACCTGCGCACAGAGCATTGCGTGTGAGTTTCCACTTTCCACTCTTATTATCCTAAACTTAACCTTGGGAACTTATTCAGCACTAGTCTCATACTAATTTACTATTTTATTTTTGAACTATGCGACAGCTATGAGCTCCCAGACTCCCATCCCATTCTTAAAGGGGTAAGTACTCTGCAGATGTTTTATTAGCCAGAATGTTTCTGTTTCTCCCTGTCGTAAAAGCTCTGTTTTTGATATTTTACAGTTTGAGAAACGAGAACTCAAGGATAGGGTTCCCTACTTGTTAGCTATTTGGACGTCAGGTCAGAAGAAAACACTCTATTTGATACTACAAATCTTACAGGTTTCAACCTTAAAATGCATATAAACAACCGCTTAACCTATGACTTTACTATATTCTGTACCAGGTGAAACAGCCAGTTCGATTAAACCTCCTAAACGAATATGTGTTTCCCAAGGAAGCAATACATTGTGTCACGAAAAGACATGTTTTTCATGCAACAACATCCGTGAAGAAAACTCACAAGTAGTTCGAGGAACTATATTGGTAAGAAGCTTACGGTGGAATTTTTTCAATTTCTAAGTAGAAAAGGTATATCAGAGTTACAAAGAGGTAACTTTTGCCTAATTGGAGTCAGTTTGAGCAGTTACTACAAGCAAAATTCTACTATAGGCTACAATTTGAGTTGCTTGTGCAGGTTTTTGCTGACCATAGATCTAGTATTAATCCCATTTGTGTCTCAAGAGCTTCGATAGGGAACCTTAGAAGAGGAATCGTGTACTTTGGATCCTCTGTTAGCGCCTGTTTTGGAGGTACATTTCCAAAACAAGTATCAGCTTGTGCATGTGTATGATAAGTTGATAACATCCAAGGTCATGCCTAAATATACATTTTTAATTTGTTAGGTTTATTAGTGGAAGGTATTCAATAAGGTTTCTGGGCAGGTATGCTTATGTTTGATGCTTATACTTAACGTTTTATATTGGTGAAGTATGCTTATTATTTTTGATTTTTTTGCATAGCTGAAGTAAGATGTTTTATATGAAAGTATTGAAAATAGACTTAGTAGATTGATGAAGAGGATTCAATCATCTAACATTGGGGTTGCATTTCTTACTACAGTTGTGATATGTGCAGGATATGTATGTGTAAGGGGTTTTGACCGGAAGAACAGGAAATCAAAAACTCTAGTGAGAAGACTGCATTGCCCACCCAGCAACAAGAAGAAAGACGACCATGAGGGAAACCATCAAGATTTGTATTAACATATTATTGTTTTTTTATTCTCACTCACCTGTGTTCTTCCTTTTCTTATTCATCTGCTTTCTCTCCATCATGTTCTTATTTTCTTCATCAGTATTAGTCATCATTTGTTCGCTTCCATTCCCATTACTTCATTGCATAATATCCGATTCCTCTCATATGGAAGTAATGCTTTATTTTATTTTTATTTTTTTTTGTTAAACATGCAAGTAATACATTTTTTAAAGACAAATTATATATGAACGTGGACATTCATTCAACTGACGTGGCAAACATGTGTGAAGCACGGAGTCCACATAGTTAAGAAGACGAGTGTTGCGTGTTACTCTGAGATCTCCACGCACCGAAACTACATTCCCACGTGCCTATCGATTTCTACATCTCACGGGAACCGTTCGATCCCGTCTCTCTGGGTCGTTATATAATGATCCTACGGCTTAGATCAAACGGCAGTCGCCGGCGTCGCGTCTGTGTCTGGATTAAAAAAACGCCGTTATTTCGTTAAAGGTCTTTCATCATTGACGTTCTTCCACTGTCCCACCGAGCAATAATCCACTACGGGATTTCTATCGTGTAGCCACGATTTCTTCCTTAACCATACACATTCATACTCCCATGCAATGATTAACAACCACTAAAACATGTACTCTACTTGGCACTTAGTCACGGTGCACTGCCACTTGGCATGGATAGAGTTGCAGCCGATTATTGCTCGTCAAGCAGTTTCAGCTGAGAATGACGTCATCATGTTAAGAAACCTAGGCGTTATTTAAAGTCACCTTCTACGCTAAAATTCATCCGACCGCTGGATATATTTTTAATATAAATACAATAATTCGAATCCGGCGAGGATTTGGTTTTGTGGTTAAGATAAATTTTATTTGACGTGAAATCTCTCAACCGAAGAAAGATGGCATACGCAAAAATAGGTTACGGTGCTAGTTATCTGGTGCACCGCGTCGTATTGGAGCTTCCCTGTGGATCAGAACACAATGCGAGATCGCTTTCATCGTCGTCGTTCCCGATCAATCGCGACGGCAATCGCCGATCCAACATCAGGAGGATCACAGCGTCGATGGCGGAGGCGGTTTCGGAGATAGAGAAACAGAGAGGAAGAAAAAGCGGAGGAGGAAAAGACCGAAGATCGGTGGAGATGACGCGTGAGAAGCTGGACAGGTGGTTGAGCGAATCGGTGACGGAGATCGTGAAGAAGTTAAGCGAAGCGCCGTTGTTAGTCCATTTGTACGCCGGAGAAGAGGAGGGAGGAACGGTGGTGGTGATGAAGGCGGAGGAATGGGCGGCGGTGAAGGGGAGATGGGAGAGAGGAGAGGTGGAGATGCCGGAGGGAATGATATTCGTGGAGCAGTTAGGAGCGGCGGAGGAGGAGAGCTGCGGTTGTGGATTTGACGGTGGCGACGGCACACGTGCGTGGGGGTTGGTGGTGCAGGGGAAAGGAGTGGAGTGTGGGCCGGTTTGTTATCTGCAGCGCTAAAGACTACACGGGTTGGTCAGGATCCGGGTCGGGCCTGGGCATGCTGTGTACCCATTTCTGCTTAGCTAAGGTGTCGAGTTTTAGGGAGACGAGTGAATCGCAGCTTAGAAATTGTTGGCTTGTGGGAAATTGACAGTGAAGCCCTCTGTTTCACCATGTAAATAAAACATTAATTGGCCAAATTTTAACTTAGTTGACCAAAAGATATTGAATTTTATAGACAAATTTCCTTACGAAAAGTTACATTTGAAAATACGTTTGAGAGCTATTGAATTCAATCACATAAATGATTCCAAGCTCTGCTACATAAGGTGATACGAATCCTGTTTTTGCAATTCAAAAACTCAACGTTTTCTTTAGTTAGCTTCAACTGCTTATAAAAAGGAAAAATCAAGTTAGAAATAGTTTTGTACATAAGCATGAAGAATCCACATGTTTTTTACTTGTTTTCACTTTTCAGTGTTACTTTCTTTATCAATTATTTTTAATATGAATCAAAATGTGTAAGATTATTGTGATATCCTATTATTACCGAATCAATCTCTTTTCTTTGACTCTGATAAACTATTAAAAAATTCCACATATTTCCATTAGTATTTTGTCAAGAAGATGAAAAAAAAATTATTGATATATTTAGTCCCTAAGTTAGTGAATATTCTCTCTCTTTTGGTATACCATAAATAATTATTTGCTAAATTTCATATATTTGCAATTGATATTTGATTTTAGCCTTTTACAGATGCAGTTACCAGTTAAAATACAAATCTGATTATTATTTTTAACCTTATCGGGGAATTAAATGAGAGTTTTAATCCCCCTGTTGAATTGTGTTATCCTTTCCTAAATTTTAACTTTAGGGGAAAAAAAAGTAAAAAGGCCTGAGAATTTTGTAATGAGCTCTCAAAATGCAATTCAATTTGAAAGGCCCGAACCACTATTCCCTCCAAATCGCGAAAGAGTCTGGTTTGAATTCGAAAAAAGTTTTATCCGAAAATAAAAAAATAGGGAAGGGTGTTAGAAAACACTCGTTCATCCAGAAAGGTTTTCGGTTTAATTCGATTTCAAATTGGTTTCACATTCTATTTCGGTTCGACCTAGCTGACTTCGGTCCACTTCTTCTTGACCGTCGCCGGTTTATCGGAGAATGTTCAGGGAGGTGTTTTCCGTGCGGTAAGACGAGCTATTGTGATCGGAAACGGATGCGCCGGCGCGGAGAATCAGTGCATCGGCCTTGTTCGCTCCTTAGGCCTCGTCGATCGCCACCTCTATTATGTAATAATCTCCATCCAAATCACTATTCGTTTTTTTTTTCTTCTATCGGAGAAGTGAAGTGTCTCTGTATCCATTTTCATTGTTTCCGAGTTTGTTTTTACTGTTCAGAGTGTCGCTAGGCCAAGAGGAGGAGGAATCAATAGGTGGCTTCAATGGCTTTCTACCTCTCTCTTCAAAAGACTAGACCATTTCATCAGCAGCATCTGTGCCGGATTCTCCATTAAATCGAAGATGCCCGTTTTCTCTATTGGCGGTACAACTTTAAACTTTGATTGAATGCTACTGCGATTACCACTTTTGGAAAATTGCTTTGATTTGAGTAAAACTAAGACCCAACAAGAGATTTGTGGCAGTGATTTGTTTCCTGTAAATGGTTGCAGGAATCACGGATGTGTTTGAGGTAGCTGATGCGAAGCAGATTGCTGCTTTGGCTCGTAGTACGTTTGCCAAGTATTGATTTTGTTTCTCTTTAGAAATACATTTTAATCTTCCTTTGGCTGCTCGAGAACATGTTTATTGAATGTTGAGGCTATCTTGAGTCGGCTCAGTGGGTGTCTACTAATGTTTGTTTGATTGAACATTGATGATCGCATTTTTGGACTCGATGGACCTCTGATATTTGTTTTATCCATGATTTTGAGACGCTATGTTTCTTTTTTCGTCTGCGTTATGCTAGGAATGGCCCGTTGTTAGTGGTGGCATCTGGTCGTGATAACATTTCCGTCGCAAGCTCCATAAGAAGATTAGCTATTGAAACATAAATCCGATTTTTGAAGTGTATAACGACTAATAGTGCGTTTAGATTGTTAAAGTTTGCAGTAAAAAACATATGGTTGAATACTTGAATGGAAATATCTGGGGGGTTTATCAGGATCTGCTGCTGATGCCTTGCAGGTTTTGGAAAGAGATTTAGCTATTTTTGGATTCTTCATTGCCTTAGGCAGGAGCACGCAGTCTTTTTTAGCTGCTAATGGTTTTAATTCGCTGGAGAATCCCGCGGAAGACCTTGTCAGGTGACTCATTGTTTTTCTTTTGTTTGCTTGCCATACTCTTGGATCCACCATCCCGCTTAAACTAGCTATCTTCTTAATTCAGGCACTTCATTGGGGGCAGCCTCCTGCAATATCCTCAACTCTCTGCCATCAGTTCATATCAGTTGTATGTAGAGGTAGGCATAAATCATATCATCATTGGTGGATTTTTCCTATAACCATTTTGAAATCTTATCATGTAAAATCGTAGTGTAGGTTGTCTGTGAAGAACTAGAGTGGCTTCCTTTCTATCCAAATAAAAAGGACTCACAGCCAGCCGAACAGGCACATGGGCATAGAAGCAGACCACAAGGGCCACCTAATTATGATGCTCTTCCTCAAATATTGAATGTTTGCTCTTATTGGCTACAGAGCTTTATCAAGTACAGCAAATGGCCAGAGAATCCTTCTAATGTCAAGGCAGCAAAGTTCTTATCCAAAGGGTATCTTACTTGTTGTTTATCAGAATTTAAGTAGTAAAAGAATTAGTTGGCGATCATTTTGATTTTCATTCTCGATTTTTAGGCACAACAAGTTAATTCAGTGCAAGGAAAAATTGGGGATATCAAGGTAAGCTAATGAAGAGCAATAAATTGTGTAGAAAGATGTGTTGTGTATCTATCTTTGAAACGCTTCACATATCCAGCTATGTGCATTTTGCATTTTTTGCATCCTTGTTATGTAGCATGCCTTTATCATGAAGTAATTTGACCGTGTGCAATTGGAAATTGTGTGATGCAGTTTGGCAGTAACAGAAGCAGGGTTTATTGACATGAATGCGTTCTCAACTGATAAAGAGTCAAGCTCATTTGACAAGGTTGGTATTCTATGTACACTGTTTGAATCCAATTTTTTTTTGTTTAGAACTCCGGTGACTATCAAATGTAATATACATACTAACAGAACTTATTTCTTAGGCTCTAGAGAGTGTAGATGAAGCTCTCGTGAGACTGGAAAGCTTGCTACAGCAGTTGCATGCATCAAGCTCATCCTCTGGAAAGGAACAAATAAAAGCCGCTTGCTCTGACCTAGAGAAAATAAGGAAGCTTAAGAAAGAGGCTGAATTTTTAGAGGCGTCTTTCAGAGCCAAAGCAGCTTCCCTGCAAGAGGTGTTTATATCTTATTGCAGACCTTTCTTCTGGTGCAGTTAGGATTGATATTTAAGTGCTGAACGCTTAAGTTTGCTAGACTGACCAAAGCACACACCTATCTTAGCTCTGTTTACGAAGTGCGGCATCAGTCTAAGTTGGTGCTTATAATATGAAAATAAAGAATAGAAGAGGGCACTTGGTTTTCTTAAACGTGTGTGGAAGACTGAAATGTCATTTGCTTCACTCAGGGAGATGGTGACACCGACTCTCAGGAGTCTTCTGAGGAACAGAAGCAGAATCTGAAAGGAAACGAGACAAAGAATTCGTTCAACTCTGTAGATCAAGGCACAAGGTATGTTGCATGTTCTGTTAGTTAATAATATCTTGTGTGTTTAAGTTAGAAATGTAGGTTCGTCTTTGTTCGCTTCTGGTTGCAGAAACTTATTTACTGTTCTGCATCTACATTAGTAGGAATCGTGGCTTCTGGGGTTTCTTTGACTGCCCTCCAAAGAGGAAGCCTGCCCCCAAGTTATTGGTATTCTTCAATTACTTGTCTTATGTTCAAACGTGCGTGAAGCATATCTCAGACTTAATATTTTGCTGGCGCTTAATAAGTCAAATACTTGGCGTTTCTAATTTGGTTTTCACCCAGTTAGAAGATGCTTTCTTAAAAGTTTCACGATTTTTTTACAATATGCACGCAGAAAAATATACTGAGAGATCCACTGAAAACGAACCCAATGAGATCTATCGGTTCGAACTTCTAAGGAATGAACTGATAGAGCTGGAGAAGCGGGTTCAAGGAAGTACATATGAGTCGGTAAATGGAGAGGTTGGTAAGTATTCAAAATGTTTGATTTGTTTCTACACAATTACTAAATATTCAGAATCGTAAGTTGCGGTAATGCATGTATTTGCTAGATTTTAAAACAAGTAAATATAACCAAACCGAAAAAAGAGAACGATGCTTTTACTGTACATGTGTATATAAGTTATATGAGGTAGTGGCTCGCCTGTTATGCTCTGTATTTCTTCTATGGCTAAAGTTTTAAAGATGATTAACGTTGACGCTTCTACTCTGAGAACTGCTACTTTGGAATGGAAGGACGAGTTTGCGTCTCTGTCAAAACCTTTGGTTGTTGTTAACATTGGAGGACCTACAAGTAAACACATTGTGCCTCTTTTGTCTACTGATTTGTATTGATAACTGCGACTAAACTTGCTGTTCTTTATCAATTTTCTGTAGGTAATTGTTTGTATGGTGTTGATCTTGCTAAGCAATTGTGTGGTATGCTACAGAGTATCCTCTGGAGCTGTGGAAGCCTAAGAACATCTTTCTCCAGAAGAACACCGAAGAAGGTAAGTAAAGTTCTCTGTAGAATACATCACCATCGTTGCGGAGCAGATGGTCATCATTTTTGCTCAATCTTTCTTACAGGTTGCAGAAGTTATAACCGGAGAAATGCGCTCTAACTCGAAAGTCTACATTTGGGACGGAAAAGGTGAAGAGACTTTGTTAATACCGACTTGTCCGTGTCAAAGCTTGATGATTTCTCTTTCGCAGAACCTAATCCGCATTTGGGGCATCTCGCTTTAGCCGATGCTTTCATCATAACTGCTGACTCTATAAGCATGTTGAGCGAGGCATGTACTACTGGGTATGTTTAAGAGGACAAACAACCTTTTTCTCATTCTTGAGATGGATGTTGAAATCTCATTTGTCGATACAGGAAACCTGTTTATGTTGTGGGTGCTGAACGGTGTACGTGGAAATTCTCTACTTTCAGAAGACCCTCCATGAAAGAGGAGCTGGTCGACCTTTAACCGGCAAAGAAGATGTAATCCTTTAAAGTTTTTTCTTTGTTTCTATATGATAGCTATAATCCGCTACACCCTTCTCTATTTCACTTTTGTTTTGTGAATCCTGACGTAAACTTCAACTTGGATTTTCATGGATCTCAAGATGTTTGAGAAGTGGAGTTACTCTCCTCTTAACGATGATGCAAGATCTGGCTGAGCGTGGATGCAAATTTGAGCCATGAACAAGGAATCATTTTGAAAAGTGAATCATAACTCAAGGTCACATACACTTAAGCTCACTGGTTGAACTAGTAGCGTTTTGGTTTTGTAACTTCTTTGTTTTTGTTGACTTTTGATTTGATTGACTTCTGATTATCACTATTACTTACTTTTTTTTACTTGTGTAACTTTGTGGCCAACTCCACATCTTGTGGAAAACAAAAACAACAACCACTCTTTCTCTAATTCTCTACAATACCCCACATCAAAAGCATCAAATATAGGCAAAGAAAAGTCAAACAACTAATAGAAAGATAAATAATAAAATCCATCCACACATTACGGTTTGAAGGAAGTTTAAAATAAGCAAATACAGACTATAATAAAACGAAGTTTCTTTTTTTGTTAAATATAAATACGCAAGCAAAACGGGAACAGAAGCTAAGTATCCCGACTTCATGTAATGCCTTTCCACCCTTTCCATCCTTTTCTTTAAGCCCGACCTCCTCGTCTTTCCACCCTTTCCACCCTTTCCACCCTTCTTTTTAAAGGTTGACCTCCTCTCACCATAGTGGGTATGGTTTCATCTGCTGATGACCAAATCCATGTGGCTTTGGTTTTTAGATTACGCATTTGGGGGGTGCAATGCTCATTCCTTGCTAGCAACATAGTTGCATATTCACCATCGCTGTCCATGTTATCACCATGCAGTACTCCTATACTTGTTAGAAAATCTATATCTCCAGCGATTGCGAGAACATGCTCCTTCCTCTCAAGCACACTCATAAACATATTCTCAATAACAAGTAAATCCGCACCATCAGTTTGTCTCAAGATTCTTTCTGAGAATAATAAAAGAAATGAAGATTTCAATATCATTGGATAATCATGGGGAAGACATACAAACAAACAAAGAAAATTAGACAGAAATATTTACCTGTATGGTTATTAGGGTCCTTGTCATATACAACCAAAGCATCGCAGTCACCTTGACAGCGGATGTTTTCAGGGCTAAGTGGAACAAACTTGAAATCTTCCGGACATGACATAATCTTATTATATTGATTTCCGTTGCTTGGTCCAACAGCTATTATTTTCCCATCTATAAAATAAGCTGGATTTTCCCTTCTCAGAGCAACTTGTATCATGTTTTTCAGCTTCTCAATTTTAAGCCAATCAGGAATGGGGCAGTTCTCGGTATCATACACGCACGTTACTGGAATAACTGTTACAGAAACCCCATTAACCGACGGATCCGGTTAGTTAACTATGACAGATCCATCAGATGAAATCTAACAAACAATTCCGGGTGAGAGATTGAGAGAGATCGTACCGTAAGTAGTCCAATCGTTCATGGTTCGATCGCAGCGTCTGTTTCGAGAGCAATAAAACGAAATCAGGTTGATGAATTGAAGTCAAAACAAAAAACCCACATCACTAAAACGAAATCAGATTGATAAATCAAAGGCAAAACCTAAAAGAAAACGAACAGACCAGGCGAAGAGAAGAGAAGAGACAGAAGATCGACGAAAGAGACCGAAGAAGAATATTCACTTTTTTTAAGCTAAATGGCATTTTTTTTGTTGTAATTAACAGCCTGTGCCTGGCATGTTTTCAGCCGTTGGATCTCCAAGAAAAAAATTAAGGGTGTTAGATCTGCGGCTTGTTTGTTTTCACGTTCATTCGAACAAATAAAAAATATGATATATTCATTCGAAGTTTTCACCTTCTTTAAATGTTAATTAAAATCTTTATCGACACACACACAAATTATCTAATTAATCGAAATAGAGATTTTTGGATTGGCAAAGAGAGTCAAACTAACGGCGTCGTTTTACTTGTGCTCTTCTCTGCTATCAATAGACAAAGTCAGAATGTCTGTTTGGGTTGCTCGAAGATTCAAAGTACCACACTGAGTATTTTAATCTTTTTCCTCTTTTCGACCGGATCCGTCTCTCTTAACTCTGTCGACCGCCAAAAATGGTTGCTCACCGGTTGTTACCATTGTATTCTCCATTGTCGACCGCCAAAAAATAGCTGGATTGTATTCTCCATTGTCAGAGGAAGCAGTTAAGCCAGAGGAGGTGACCACTTGTTGATGAAAGCCACGACCTTGAGTGGAGTATTGGAGAGTTGTTATCGCTAATAATACCGTCCAGAATCTTCCGCGTGAAATACTCTCTCTCGCACTCGATTTAAACAGCTGAAAACCTTGTCATCACCAGCTCCGGAATCGGAACCTTCTGATAGAACCGATTTCTATCAAGGAAGATAAAGAAGAAATGGAGATGATAAACAGAAGAAATAAGGAAGAGAATCAGAAGAAGAAGAAGAAGAGGAAGAGAAACATTTGGGAATAAACCCTTTTGATTGTTGATCGTGATTGTTATATAAAGAACCCCAAACTTGGGTTCACTTTTAAATACAATGAGAAGAATAGTAAAACGACAGTGCATAAGCTTATTAGGATAATTGAAACCTCTTTCTCATAAAGAGTCTTCCCCTGCATCTCACATCCTTCTCTTTAGCCTTACGAGTCATCTTCTTCCTTTTTTATGAAAGCTAACAGCGACCATAACCTATCAATACCCCTCCCATGAAAAGCCACCTTGTCCTCAAGGTTAACATCTGAAACCCAATTCACCAAACTTGCACGAGGTTCCCTTGTATATTTAAACCCCGACACACTCTTCCGTTGTGCCCACGCTTCTGTCTCCCTTATGAACTTGCCGACATCAGCTCCCTCAAGAGCATCTGCAGATCTCAAGATAAAACCCAGGCAGTTACTCTCCCAGAATCTACGAGCATAGACAAACCAAGGCTTGTTGCACATGACCATAATCACATCAATGATAGCTTTTTCTCTCTTGACAAGCTCCAAAAGATAGCCACGATGCCAGTTTTCAATTATCTGATTCATACCAATTCTAGCTTCCTTCACACTGCACTTTCTGTCCTTCAATATGCAGCTTTCAATGAATATCAATTTCAGCCAGAGATAATCCTCGGGCTCTGACCTTACACTCACACTCTTGTGATCTGAACTTTCCAGTTTAGCATTCACCCCAAGAGCTGATTTGAAAACATTCAGTGACGTGACAAGCTGATCCGGTGGCCTGCTGTAGTGAAACACTTCATATGTGAGAATTTCAGCAAGTTGACTCGCCAAATGATAATTGCTTGATTCATAAGATCCACTTTTCCTGCTGTTATCTTCGATCCTTAATATGAACCATCTTGATTCCTGGGAAATTTTCATTACATTCTGCTTCGACTCCAACTTAATGACGGCTAACATCTTCGAGACTTCTTGAATCATCACCGTCACAGCCCGGGAGACCATCTTGCTATATTTCTTATATCTCCTATCCTTAGCCCCGTGTGATCGTTGTTGCGCATCCAGCAACCTATGATTCTCATAAAGAATTAATTCCATGACACTCATCCAGAGTTTTAGACCAGCGCCAAAGCAGAATATATGCCTCCACCGAATCTTCACAAACACCTTTGGTCCTATCTCAAGTCGCTTCGGCCATGCAAGTGTTAGCGTTTTCAGACCCTTTAAAAGCATATGGCCATCACTTTTCATGAGGCGTAGTTCCTTATCATTAACCCCTATTCTCCACATAGTATTACCTGCCCCTAAGAGACACACCTTGTTCTCAAGGTGTAATAACAACAGTTTTGAGCATGGAAACAAAACATGACTTCTATACCTCCTCTGGACAATGACCGTCAGCTCTTGCCCAGACGCATTGGCATTGCATCCGACAAACTCAACAAGGAGCCTTACGAGCAGAAAACAACACGTCCAATAAGGCTTCTTAAATCGTGACAACTCGTTAATCTCTAGACAATGATGTGTAATCAACGACATCTGTTTTAATTCAACTTCAGAGCTTCTCTTATAAACTCCAAGGCAGACAATTAATCTCCACACATCATCAGATTCAAGCGATATTCCACCAGGTCCCCACACTTGATTATCCCGAACTGAAGTAAGTTCACTTACCTCTTTTTGCTCAGGCTTATCGATATCCTCATCTTCTAGATAAAGACTCTTGTTTCCCTTCTTGCTGTCAATGGTAGTGATCTCCTCTAAGCTCTCCTTCTCAAAACAGTGGGGTTCAAACCAGTGAAGCGACTTCTCCTTTACTCCTGCCTCCAAGCTTTTATTATGAGCACCAAACCATCCCAATAACCTCAACACCTCATCAATTATCCTCTCTTGAAGAGTTCCTCCCGGATCAAAAGCTACAACTATGGTATCATCAACACTTCCATGAATACTCCTACTCTCTTGCAACTCAAAGCAATGATCTACAAACAACGCTTTGATATCAGAACCAGAACATAACAAGTACCCTGCATCCACGATCTTCAAGGCTCTATCAACACCGTGAACTCTCTCTAACAAAGCAGCATGACCAGAACTTGATCCACATGAATAGATTCCTAACCCATGCCACTGAGTTACACATGCTAATCCACCCGGTTCCCATGCCCGAAGATCCTCTGCTGAACTAAGCAATCTCCTTGTCATTGATCTCCCACCAGCAAGTGGCAGGACATTATCGTTACAGGGTCTGGTTTTCGAAACTTCTTCAGGTGAAGATAACATCTTTGTCTTTCCTTGTGAATCCATCCCCTGTACCATCGATCTCGGTAGAACCTCCAACATATCACCATAACGGTGAATCACGTTTGTATCAACCCTCGACCTTCTTTTCTTAAACTGAGCCGTTAAACCTGACACTGGACTGAAGGGTGCTCTCTCTGAACAATCGCCAAAAACTAAGCCACGAATCATTCTGTAGCACTTAAAAGCTGGCACCAAATCAAAACGTTGTGTGTACTTAGCTGATTTCTTTTTCCGAGCCCTGTGATACCCTCGTTTGACCAGGATCATCTTAACTCCCAGATTTTTCCTTGCCCTCTTACCAGCCGAAAATTTACATCCAAGAGTAACTTCGCTCCTCCTGTTCTGAATCAGTTCAGAATGAACTTGGATCTGCTTGAGGAGTAAAAAATCATCAGCCTGCGAGCTCATTTCTGGATTTTCGATCAAAGAATCCACCATCAAAACGTCCTGTTTTTGTCCCGCCACTTGTTCGACGAAATTCTCCAAAGGTACCTTCGAAGTTTCCATTGAAACCTGTCCTTCCGTGTTTGTCTCTTGTGTTCGTGGAAGTTCTGGCGTCTTCTGATGCACTTTAGTCAGCGGTTGGGGCCGATATTCTCTGTCGTAATCTTCTCCAAATCGTTGCTTGAGAAGATCTACCCAAAACTTTCTGTCGTCACCGTTTTGCCTGGATGCATACACCAGCATCACCTGCCTTAGGTCTTCCGTGGATTGTTCCCAATTGATATCCCAACCTGTCTCGAGTTCTGGAGAAACTGATCTCGTGTCTGCAACGATAGCTGGAGCAGATAAGGAAGCCATCGTCAACTCTCAATGAAAGCACCAATTGATAGAACCGATTTCTATCAAGGAAGATAAAGAAGAAATGGAGATGATAAACAGAAGAAATAAGGAAGAGAATCAGAAGAAGAAGAAGAAGAAGAGGAAGAGAAATATTTGGGAATAAACCCTTTTGATTGTCGATCGTAATTGTTCTATAAAGAACCCCAAACTTGGGTTCACTTTTAAATACAATGAGAAGAATAGTAAACCGACAGTGCATAAGCTTATTAGGATAATTGAAACCTCTTTCTCATAAAGAGTCTTCCCCTGCATCTCACATCCTTCTCTTTAGCCCTACGAGTCATCTTCTTCCTTTTTTATGAAAGCTAACAGCGACCATAACCTATCACCTTCGTCTTCGGATTCTTTCTTGGCGGAGAAAATCTGTTTCAAGGTGATAACACGGGTTCCTTGTTAAATCACCTGGTTCCTTTAAACCCCTTAGCCGTCGTTGAGGTTTTGTACCGTTGCCGCAACGATTTAAGTCTACCTCGAAAGTTCGTGTACCAATGAGGTTAAAACTTCCCGAATTTCAAGCATATTTCTTTGTCTTTAAGCGCAATGACCCATATTCTGGTGAGGAATGAGAGATTAGATTGTTTTTTTCATTGATCTCAACATATGGTAACTGTGGTTCGAATGATTCGGTTTTCGACATGGTTATTAGGACTTAACTGCACATGAGGCTTTTAATTTGCTAACGTTACCTTCTTCATTGACCTCCACAGCATGATCTGCCTCATCTCCACTTCCAACATTACCTTCTTCATGGACTTCCACAATATGATTTGCTTCATCTCCATCTCTAACATTACCTTCTTCATTGACTTCCTCAATATGATCTGCTTCATCTCCATCTCCAACATCACCTTCCCCATTGACCTCCACAATATGGTGCTGATCACCACCATCTGCTTCATCTCCAGCTCCAACATTAACTCTTTCATTGACTTCCTCACCAGCCAAAGCCACATCACGGTTTTGACCATCTCCTGCGTTGGCTTGGCCATCAGGCCCATTGCCTGGCGGACCAGCTGGACCTTCGTTGCCTGGTCTCTCTTGGTCTATTCTTCTACGAACCAACATGATCAAGAGTAGAAGCATAGATACAACTATGACGATTAGAAACAGTGCTCGAAAGCTATGGTGATCGAGCTGGATTGGAGAATCCGATGTGGTCGTGTCCAGACAATTCTTTTCTCCAACCAACAACTTCTTCTCAATAGCTCTCATAGTCTCTCCCTCTGTTAAGTTCAAGATCTGTCTTGAAATATCTGACACCAAAGGAGATCCCAGTGGAAAAGCCTGCCCAAAAAGAACATGTAGAGTGAAAAAACACTTGCAAGATCCTAATAAACAACCAACTATATAATGCGTTTACTTACAAAGCCAAAGCCATCGGCCTTAAAGGTAGGCTCGATAATGGAATACTCTGAGCAGTATTCAGCCATGAAAAGCTTGACGTAAGGGACTTCATCGAACACAGCACCAATACCACCATTGCTGCTCTTGTTGAGAAAAAGCTCGCGCATTTCACGAGGAGAATTATAAGTCTTTAACCTCGATTCATCGAAACCCAATAGTTTCAGTCTTTCGAATGTAAACGAACCAGATTGGTATCCAATGTTCACTCCACTCTTCTTCAGATCATCCATGTGTCTCACCGTTGGTATAAGCTCTTGAACCGTCAGCATCGATGTGAGTGTCGCTGTGTAACTCTGAGTCAGTATTAGCACCACAAAGCACCAAACCACAACTAGAGCCCTTGTGAAAACGCTCTTTGATGGTTCCTCTATAAATAAAAGGTGGTAATTAGTTTCTCCAAGTATTTCCAAGTAATTGGTATATGATTAGAAGCTGTAGTTGAGTGACACAAACTCACTGTGTGCGAAAAACAGGGTTGAAAATGAGAAGTATAACACATTAGATATTTTATTAGGTATTCTCTGTGCCCTAAATTCCCCATCTTCTGCATGGTACTCAAAGATCCAAACCATTATTCCAACGTAGAGAAAAGCAGCAGCAGTGAGCAACCAAAGCTCCTTTGTTAAAGGCTTGAGGAAGACCCATTCTCCTTTCTCTCTCTCATCCTTGACCGGCACCACGAATACAATACCTGTCTCCGAGTATGGCAACGCGAAATCAACATAAGCAGACCGAATTGCTAAGATTGTCGTATCCCCTACAGCTCCATCATACTCCTGTTAACACCATTTGAAAAAGAAAAAAACATTAAACAAAACGTAATTCAAAGGGATTCTTGAATGGTTTCGGAAACAATGTAACTTACCCCAAGACACACTCTGCGAACCATTTCGTCGTATTTTCCATCTGATTTTCCCTCAGGAGTTTCAAAGGGGACGTACTCGTAAGGGACAGCATATGGCATTTGTCTCATCACCGTGTCGAAAACTTCTATGCAAAAACCGGTGACCGTTGGAGCATTAGTGTTTGCATCCTTTGTTACCTTCACAAACTGGTTGAAACCATCCTTCTTTGGAACTGCTATTCGCAGCTTCTTTCCGTTTGTTGGGAGCTCCCAACCTTTAGGCACAAACGTTGTGTCCCCAGGCCATATGATTGGTCTAAGTCGACGCGAGCTGTGTGAGATGTTAGTGCCTATTTGATCCACTCCTAACCTCTTCACCAATCCAACTTTTGATTTCCAGAATCCAACCGTTCTTTCCCCGCTTTCCTCTACATTGATTATCTTGAAAGTCGTCGCCTCTAGCTTTCCGTTTTTTAGCTGAAATCTCCCGGCAACACCTTTGAAACTGACCTTTGATAACGCTTGAAGAAGCTTGGGACCAGAGAGAGCGACACCGAGATCATCAAGATCTGTCCCAATATCATCTCTTGGAGTGTTTTTGGTCTCATTGAAACTCATGTTTACGTTACTGATTTCCTCGATGGACATTGCGAGTGCTGTGGCAGCATCATAAGCCCAATATCCAAAGTTGTTTAGCTCCTCGCCTCCGAATCTTTTTCGCCAACGAGCTTCAAGATACGATAGCTCTTTTGACCTAGAGAAATATGTCTTGACACCCAAGACACCATTCATATCTTCCAAGCTTGATTCCCCTATTAGACTCATGAGATCAGCTAGACCATTTGTAACAATCCATACATATCCTTTACTCATCATACCAATCTCCTTTGCCATGGAAAAGAGCCTCGACCCGAGATCAGGCAACATGTGCACGATAAAAACCCTAGTGGGCATGGTCATTAGTCTGTAAAGCTCTTTCTTGATTTGATCATCAGAGGAATGAAACGGTATAGGGCTTCGGTATCGGATACGGACGTTAATCTCTTGAAAAGCATCGACTAAGTAAGGAAGAATACCTTCTCCAAACTCATCGTCTACATAAATTGGCACAACTTCTCTCCAACTAAATGACTCTATGATCGCACTAATGGCGTGAATTTGAGCTGAATCGTCGTGTGTGGCTCTGATGAAATATGGACTACGGAGGGAATCAAGAAGAGGGCTTGTTGCAGCGAACGAAACGATTGGAACTTGAGATTGGTTTCCGAGGTTGATTAGAAATGGAGCTTGCATTGAATTCCCTGGTCCAATGATGGCCACCACTTCCCTCTTCTTTATCAAATATAAAGCTGCAAAGTTAATCAAGGTTAACACAGTTAAACTACGTAATAATCAGTGCCGATGAAATAATTATTATTTATTTAAATTTAATATAATATTTAGTATAAAATAATTATTATTGACTTTTAAATAATTTTATTTTAATAGTTTGTTATTTATCTATAATATTGAATGAATTAAAAAATACAATTTGTATATTTTAATTTGAAAAACAGTAATTATATCCTTAAATTATCTTTTTGTAAATGAAAAGAATAATTATTGACTCCAAAAATCTTTAATCAAAAAATATTATCTAAAATATAATAATAAAACATAATTGAATATATGATAAATAGTAAGTTGGGAGTATAGTGTATACATAATAAAGCGGAATGTTAAAATTAATATGTAATATGGTTAGAGTTTTTATGTTTTTTGCTATGATTGATTATATAAAAAATAATGTGACAAATAAAATATATTATAATTAGCTTCTATAAAAATATTGATGCATATCCATCTTATATATTATTTTTACTCTAATTAATTTTTAAACATTGATAACTTATTAGACAAAAGTGTCGCTATCATTTCTACTTGAAATCTTTGAGTATATATATATATATATATATCAAAATTAAGAAATAAATTTGAATTAAATGCACCATAAAATAAATTATTTATATTATTAACATATATCAAACACAATAAATTTCATTTTCATTAAAATTATTAATAAATTCTCAATTAACTCATATTATATTATATTAAAATATTAAATACTATTTATTTTATATTAAATTTTGGAACGATTCTAAATTATGAGCTAATTAAGAATTTACTTTTGAAAAGAGTCAATAAAATCGAATTATAATTATTTACTTATATTTATAATGACTATAATGAACTCAAATTACAACCAATTTTAAAAATGATTATAATGAACTCAAATTATAATGAATGCCCTTTAACAAAAAAACAAAAAAACAAAAAAAAACTTATATTATAATGATTTATGTTTATTTACTAATAATTTGTAATTTATATTCAATTTTTAAAATTCAAATTATAATACATGTATAATATGGATAATGTGATACTTTATTTACTTTACAAAAGTAAGTTAAAAAAAAAATAAGAGAAAATAATTAATATGGTATATTTTTGGTAAGACATAAAAAAAAGAGAATATCTTAATAAATTAAATGCTGATTTATAATATAAAACATAACATATATATGAACCTAAAATATATAATGACATATCATGTAATTAGTTTAGTAATTTAAGTTTTTTTAAAACAATTAGGTAAAAATGAATGTGAAGTTGATACATCAGCATAATAGCACTACTGTAAATACATACAAAAATTAGATTACTTTTTAAAAATGCTTTTCAATTAATATATAGGGGATCTTAGGTATGGAATTATTTCAGTTCTCCTTGGTCATTACAACGAATCATAATTCTTTTGAAAAACATTTGAGGGCTAATTGTTACATGGATATCTAATGGATCGGATCCGGATTTGTGGATCTGCTCCACTTAACGGATTTGATTAGTGTTATATATATTTTCCTTTTAAAGTGTATTTTTAACTTATGCCATGCTCCCGTTTCCATACTTTTTGGACTGATCTATACTATAAAAAATGATCAACTCTCTTCATATGAGTGCTACCTCATCATTTTTGTTTATTGTGGAAATGACATGTGTTATTTTTAAAAATTTAATGATACAAATTATATAAAATACAGTTAATGCATAAATTTAATGTATTATTAATTATAATACTAAAAGAATATGAAAAATATGAAGATTATATAATATATTTTAATAACAATATATATTTAATATCCAAAAATAATTATTGAATATCTATTTTGTGGTAGTTTTTAAAATCATTAACAAAATTTATGTTTTATATTTAAGAGTGTTTTCTTATTTTTAATTAATATTATAAAATATTATTATAAAAACAATTATACAAATATAAAAATGACAATTATTTGATATTTTAAACTTTAAAAAGTTAGAAGAAAAATTTATACAATATTATAATAAACTTTAAAACAATTACTTTATAAACTAATAATTATTTGATAATTTATTTTATTCAAACTTGATCCATTAATAATTATAAAATTAATAAGATATCAAAATTCTAATATATATATATATATATATAAATTAGGATTATAAATCTATTATTTAAGCTCATAAAAATATAAAACTACGGCATTACTATTGTATAAATCTACGCCGTGAACAAGTACGACATGTTAAAAGTTACTTCTCTGATTTGCACTATATCCATTTAATATATTCTATATATACAAGGTATAATATATTTCACATTTTCTTATCAATAAACCATTGATCACATATATAGTCAATATCCACAAAATATATAAATATGTATTGTATATTTATTCAAATACACAATATTCTTTAGAAAATATTGTGAAAACAAAATACACGCAATGCGCGGGTACTCATCTAGTCTCAATAAAAAGAATTGCAAATAGAAGTATCGTATATGCGTTGCTAATTATGTGGATTTGAAGATTTGATCCGTGAGCCAATCCAAATTTGTTCTTTATACATGAATAATATTAAGTGATCGGCATGCATCCATGTGCAGGTTATAAAATATATTATATGTTTAATTATGATTAATATAGTATTGAATATGTTTTATTTCTATATGATTAATTATGTATTAATAAAAACAATAAAAATAATGATAAATTAAATATAAATATTATATATTTAAATAGAAAATAAAGATAAAAAATATTAACTAAGATTTTAAAATATTTTTTCGATAAAATGTAAATATGGTTATTAAATAAACGAAAAAATATTAAAATAAATAATAAGTTATATAATTTTTTTTTTGGTCTGCATGCATGTGCAAGTATAATTTTTTTTATAGACATAATTAGTTAAAATATTTAAGTATTGATTAATTTTTTATACATTATGTAAATATTATGTTTTTATACAAATAAAATTTTAGTGTTTAACGACAATCACAGAAGCATTTCATATTGTTTTGTGCCTTTTGAGAATTTTTTATTTTTCCTAACATTTACAATAATATAAAATTGCAAATGTAAAAGTTACATTACATAATAATTAAATTCTTATAATATATTTTGAATATTATCTATATAATTCTTTCTTTTTCTCTTTACATAATATAATCTTGTCAATATATATATATATATATATATATATATATATATATATATTTTAAGTATATGTTTTTCCTTGACAATAGCTAATTAAACCAAAATAAATTCTACCATATTTATTTATCCTAAGAGCGGGTATATGGTTAGCCGCACATTCGTGCGTACCAACCACCTCACCGCTCTTAGGACATTAAAATTTTTTATAAGATATAGATTGTCTAACAACTAAAATTAAAATTAAAGTGTAATTGATGTTAACAAAATGTATGTACGACAAGTTTGCATTTAAGTTTGACTTTTTGCATAATTAATATTTATATCTATACGCATATTTGTAAGAAAATCGAAGTATGACTTTTACCTGTTAAAAAAAAACAAAGTATATGTTTTGTTATATATATTTTTATAATGTATTGTTGTTTTTTAAAAAAAAAAGGATATTTATTCATATAAATATGAGTTAGAAATAAGTGAATTGTAATATTTAGGTGTTGGTAAGTTTTTTTCTGGTATTTTCCGCAAACGTTATGTTTTTAGATGATGCAGTTATTGGTATTAAACAATAATACTGAAAACTATTTCTATCGCTTTGTATTTAATAAAGTTTCTTATTTTTCAGCATTTAATGATATACGGTTTCTCAATAAAAATATAATAAAAAAATATTATTAAATTTATAAAATCATATTTTATAAAATTCTCCAGTAGCTCTCCGTTCATCTCTTCGTCAATTTTTTATAATCTGTAATCGCTCGCTTTCACAAACTCTCTATAACCAAATCATTTAAATCAATCGGATCTTAACTTATATATGTATAATTTACAGTGTAAAATAATATATTTGATGTTTGATTGCTATTAAAAATTAAGAGTTGATTTGTTCCTAATTTTAATATATATGTTAACATAAAATATAATGGATCACAACATATATAAAACTTGATTCATGAAATAATGTTTTAATACGTTAGAATTAAAAATTAATATGTGTGAGATAATATTTTTTAAATATTTCAAATAAAAACTTAAAATCGATCAAAATTAATTTTATTTATGTTTTATCTTCTTTGACTCATATTTTTTTTCTTAATATTAATAATATATCAAACATTAAGATCATCTCTAATGTACATTTCTATTTTTTTTTTTAAATATAAGTGGACTTCTCTCCAACCTACTTGTATTTTATAAGAAAAAAAGGTTGTTATTTTTTTCTCCCTAAATTAGAAGATTTAAAATAAATGTGGGTTTAAGATGTTTTAAACAAAAAATATAGCCTGAGATTTTTACATTAAACCGAAGTCGTAAAGATTCATTTTTATTTTTATTTTTATTTTTACTTTTTATTCATATATACAATATTCTATTAATAAAAAGTTAGCTAACAGTATACTTATAATTTATTTTTCTATCTGTTTATATTTTTGTTTCATTTATAATTTCGAATTCTTGCTATATAATGAGAATTCATTCATATATGATATAAACTTTTCTTATTTAAAAATAGAATTTATTTAGTTTTAACTTAACCAATCAAATTGTTTCGTTTATTTTAGAAAATTTGTCATGTCACATTTATGAGATGGCATTGTTTTGCACTAATTTTTGCTAAAGTGTTGACGCATCAGATTTTTTCATTAAACATGCTTGTCAAAAAATCGTTAAGATACGTTTGTCAAATACTATTTTTCCTAATATTTTGGAGTTCTAGCTAATGTTTTACTTCCTTGTATTTCATAATAAGTTTCAGATTTTTTCCGTGTTTCAAAAAATTACTGATTTTACAATCTTCACTTTCAGTTCATAGGACTCATTTGCCGAACCAGATAACCCAGTCACTTCCTATTTCCTAAGACTATAGGATCTTTAGATCTATTAAAAGACTAGACATAATTTAATCATACTGTAGTTTCTATCATTGGACTTGTTCATGTGTTAATTGTAGAGCTTTCAATGCGGGGGCTCCGCGTCATTGGGCCCAGCCTGCCGTAACCGGCCCGCTAAGGTTTCTAAGAAAAATATACGTTACAAAAAGAATAGTATCGACAATAAATTGCAATAAACTCTGATGCAAAATTGATACTACCTAAATATGAAACTTTTTTTTTGTTTTAATATGATTCTTAAGATAGTATAAATATTAAATTTCATACATGATCGATCAATGAAGGTTCACAACGCATTACCTGAAGCTGCAGCACCAACAACAGTTTCTTTGGAGTCTCGGATGTTGAGGACGATCCTTGTTTTGAAGCCATTATGACTGTTATAGAATTCTGAGAGGGACATGTTGATAGCTCGCAAGCTCAAATCTGCTAATGTCGCATTAGTGCTAAGAACAACTCCCACTTTAACTTGTAAATCTTCCTTTTGAGAATTTCCAAGTAATACTAAGAAGATGAGGAAAATAAAAAACCATACAGGAAGAGAAGGAGACACAACACGATGGGAAAAAGACATAGCTATGATAATTTCGTAACTACAAGCGTAGAGACGAGTGGAATAAATGATAGGTTTTGAAGAAGGGAATCATTCAACTTATTCATTAATTAACTGGTGGTAGTTGCAACTAGACCATATATATATATATATATATATATATATATATTAATTACATTCTTTAGAGATAACTATAATTAGTACAGAAATGATGTAGAGGAGGACTTATTTTGGTCATTTTGGAGAATAACGCGTTAGCCATTTGAGGCAAAGACGTGGTCTTCTTAAACGAGACAATTATTAAGGTGATACATGTATTGAATGGATAATCATTTGTAAGTTAATGAAGCGTAAAGAAGACAATACAAAAATAAAAATGGATAAAGCTGCAATATTTAAGTTTAGTTTTGACTTGGTTTGTTGACTGTATAGAACCGATTAATTGTCCACACAACAATATCACGTTCACGTGCCGAGGCCGAGTACGATCGATGCATTGCATATGAAGCTGTTGATATATGCTTGGCACGTTGCGATTTGATTATTATCTACTTGCGGAGAATCATCAACATTACCCAAATATACAACACTAAACGTAAATGAAATCTGACAGTTTCAGAGAACTAAGTGTTCAGTTTTTGACTATGCTGATTTTAGCCTTAACAGTGGCACATTTCTCCGTAGGGGCATACTCCATGAGGCCAGGTTCTTGCGACGGAGCAAAGCTGTGTCGACGTCCACAATATGATGCTCATTATAATCTGCTTCGTCTCCATATCCAACGTTACCTTCTTCACTGACTCCATCTTGAGCCACAGATTTGCTGTTGATGTCGTCGCTTTGTCTCTCTTTGCATCTCTTACAAGCCAACATGAGCAATAGTAGAAGTATGGAGACGACAAAGACGATCAGAAACAGAGCTTGGAAGCTGTGGTGATCGAGCTGGATTGGAGAATCTGATGTGGTCGAGTCCAGACATTGTTTCTCTCCGAAAAACCACTTCTTCTCCATAGCTCTCATATTCTCTCCCTCTGTTAAGTTCAAGATCTGTCTCGAAATATCTGACACCAACGGAGATCCCAGTGGAAAAGCCTGTCACAAGACATGAACGATTAAAAAGTAAGACACTTCGGAAAAAAAATGTAATTAAAGCACAAACTATAATGCGTTTATACTTACAAAGCCAAAGCCATCGGCCTTAAAGGTAGGCTCGATAATGGAATACTCTGAGCAATATTCAGCCATGAAAAGCTTGACGTAAGGGATTTCATCGAAGGCAGCATCAATACCACCATTGCTGCTCTTTTTGAGAAAAAGCTCACGCATTTCTTGAGGTGAATCATAAGTTTTTAACCTCGATTCATCGAAACCCAATTGTTTCAATCTTTCGAATGTAAACGAATCAGATTGATACCCAATGTTCCCTCCGCTCTTCTTCAGATCATCCATGTGTCTTACCGTTGGTCTAAGCTCTTGAACAGTCAGCATCGATGTCAGTGTCGCTGTGTAGCTCTGAGTCAGAATCAGTAACACAAAGCACCAAACAACCACAAGAGCCCTTGTGAAAAAGCTCTCTGATGGCTTCCCTATAAATTAAAATAATTGAAAATGTAACAATTGGTATGATTATATGCTTCAAGAAGTTGAATGACAAAAAAACAAAAAAAATTCTCACTGTGTGCGAAAAACAAAGTCGAAAATGAGAAGTAGAAGACATTAGATATATTATCAGATGTCGTATGTCTCTTGAAATCTCCATCTGCATGGTACTCAAAGATCCAAACCATTATTCCAACGTAGAGAAAAGCAGCAGCAGTGAGCAACCAAAGCTCCTTTGTTAAAGGCTTTAAGAAGACCCATTCTCCTTTCTCTCTCTCATCTTTGACCGGCACCACGAACACAATACCTGTCTCCGAGTATGGCAATGCGAAATCAACATAAGCAGACCGATTTGCTAAGATTGTTGTATCCCCTACAGCTCCATCATACTCCTGTTAACACCATTTGAAAAACACATGTAAAAAAAACGTAATTCAAAGGGGTTCTTGAATGGTCTAGGGAACAATGCAACTTACCCCAAGAAACACTCTATAAACCATTTCGTCGTAATTTCCATCTGATTTTCCCTCAGGAGTTTCAAAGGGGACGTACTCATAAGGGACAGCATATGGCATTTGTCTCATCACCGTCTCGAAAACTTCTATGCAAAAACCGGTGACCGTTGGAGCATTAGTGTTTGCATCCTTTGTTACCTTCACAAACTGGTTGAAACCATCCTTCTTTGGAACTGCTATTCGCAGCTTCTTTGCATTTATTGGGAACTCCCAACCTTTAGGCACGATGATAGTGTCCCCAGGCCATATTATCGGTCTAAGGCGACGCGAGCTCTGTGAGATGTTAGTGCCTTTTTGAACCTCCTTAAGGCTCTTCACTAATCCTACTTTTGATTTCCAAAATCCAACCGTTCTCTCCCCGTTTTCTTCTATATTGATTATCTTGAAAATCGTCGCCTCTAGCTTCCCTTCTTTTAGCTGAAATCTCCCGGAAACGCCTTTGAAAGTGACTGTTGATAACGCTTGAAGAAGCTTAGGACCAGAGAGAGAGACGCGGAGATCATCAAGATCAGTCTCAGTATCATCTCTTGGCGTATTTCTTGAGGCCTTGTTGAAACTCACGTTGCTGATTTCCTCTATGGACTTTGCAAGTGCTGTGGCAGCATCATAAGCCCAACATCCGAAGTTATTTAGCTCTTCTCCTCCGAATCTTTTTCGCCAACGAGCTTCAAGATACGATAGCTCTTTTGACCTAGAGAAATATGTCTTGACGCCCAAGACACCGTGCATGTCTTCTAAGCTTGATTGCCCCATTAAACTCGTGAGATCAGCTATACCATTTGTAACAATCCATACGTATCCTTGACTCGTCATATTAATCTCTCTCGCTATCGAGAAGAGCCTCGCCCCGAGATCAGGCAACATGTGGACGATGAAAACCCTAGAGGGCATGGACATTAGCCTGTAAAGCTCTTTCTTGATTTGATCATCAGAGAAATGTAACGATATGGCGCTTCGGTATCGGATTCGAACGTTAATCTCTTGAAAAGCATCGACTAGGTAAGGAAGAATACCTTCTCCGAACTCATTGTCTACGTAAATAGGCACGACTTCTCTCCATCTAAATGATTCTATGATGGCGCTAATGGCGTGAACTTGTGACGAATCGTCGTGTGTCGCTCTGATGAAATATGGAGTACGGATGGAATCAAGAAGAGGGCTTGTTGCAGAGAATGAAACGATTGGAACTTGAGATTGGTTTCCGAGGTTGATTAAAAATGGAGCTTGCATTGAATTCCCTGGTCCAATGATGGCCACCACGTCCCTCTTCTTAATCAAATATAAGGCTGAAAAGTTAAAGTTAGCATTTGCATTCAAGTGATTAGTCTTCGTTTGAAACGTTTGTGTGGTTTTAAGTTTCAAAGTTTTCGTTGGAGCTTGGGAAGAAGATTGAATAAAATAATTCCAAATAGAAGAATCAGAAATGCGTAAAAAAGTATTTGATCCAGGATCCATCATCCAATCCAATTTGCACTTAATACATGCATGGTGTATATATTTTTTTTTTTACTTAAATATTTTAGATTATTCTTAATAATTAAGAATAATTTACTTCCTTGCATTTCATGAAAAATACATAATTTTTTTTTGCCAACATGCATTACAATCTAATTAAAAGGCTTGAAAACGCATAGATTTTCTTTTTGTTTTAAATTATTGCTGATCTTTTTATCGATATTCACTTTCGATTTCGTAGGACACTCATTTGCCAATTTAGACAACACCGTTACTCATAAGACAAGAATTTAGATCTACCAAAAGAATCGACATGTAGTTAATTGACTATCAAAAGAACTAGTTTTAAGACATAGTTGGCTTTTTTTTTTTAAAAAAAATATCAATTAGAGATATATCATTGGCATTAAAGAACTAGTTTTAAGACATAGTTGGCTTTTAAAAAAAAATCAATTAGAGATATATCATTGGCATTGTTCATGCGTTAAATGTAAGACTTTCAATGCCGCGATTTTGGGGGCCAATATGCTTTGACGAACCCGCTATTTTTTTTCTAAAATATAATGTATACAACTAATATATAGTAAAAAATAGTATCAACAATGAAATAATAAAACTGCAACGGAAAATATATATAATTATATAAGAACATAGTTCATTTTAAAGATTTTTAAGATAGTACATCAGATAAGATTTCATATATGATCGATGAAGGTTCATAACGAAAGACTGAGTACCTGAAGCTGCAGCACCAACAACAGTTTGTTTGGAGTCTCGGACGTTGAGAACAATCCTTGTCTTGAAACCATTATTAGTAGTATAGAATTCCGACAGAGACATGTTGATAGCTCGCAAGCTCAAATCTGCTAATGTCACATTAGTGTCAAGAACAACTCCAACTTTAACTTGTATAGCTTCCTCCTCTTGAGATTTCCCGAATAACAACACTGCGGAGATGAAGAAAAATAAAAGACGGAAAGGAAGAGAAGGAGACGCGAGATGATGGGAAAAAGACATAGCTATTCTATTATGATGAGTTCATAACTAACAAGAGGAGAGACGGGTCAAATAAAGGAAAGTTTTGGAGGAGAGACAAACCATTCAGGTTGTGTGTCGGAATTTTCACGTTGACTATATTAGTTTAATACATACCTAAGAGATAATATTGATACAAAAATGATGTAGACAAGACTTGGTTTGGTCACTTTGGATAATTAACGCGTTGAGGCAAAGTTGCGTGATTCCCTTCATAAAATGGAATAACAAAATGTGCGTCTGCCGGGAGTCGAACCCGGGTCTATTGCTTGGAAGGCAATTATCCTAACCGTTGGACTACAGACGCCTGTTGACAACCTGAAGTCTATTCGGCTGTTAGGCTTAATGGGCCGGGAGGCGGAAAGATACCAAAAGGCGTAATTGGGTCACTACATGTACACATTTCATAGCGAAGAAATCTCATGTTCTGATTTTGGTCCATAGCTGCCCAGAGAAGGTTGCAGCCGAATATCAGATGATGATGATCCCGAGTGTACAATTCGGGTCAATTGCGAGTGAAGAGCCAACAGAGGAAGCTATGCCGAGGGATGCGATCAGCTAACACGAGGGACATGGCAGTAGATTTTGTTCTACACTAGTCCCTGTTGATTCTTGAATATCCAATCAAAAGGTGTGCCCCATTCTCCACTCTTAGTTTTTAGAATCTTGTTTGCTAACCATGAGGACTAGTTATTTCCTTGAATTTAAATTTTCGAAAATCAAAACATCTTCCGTTGAGTTTTGATCTTTATCAAAAAAAGGATATCATGCTATCGGGATAGATAATTTCCATATATCCAAAAAGTATATAATTTCCTATTAGATAATTACCAATTTCTAGTTTTCCTGTTTGTATTAGGCCAAAGGTAGTGATGGAGTTATATAAATAGTTGGACCTATGAATCATTATTCTCATTCAAAGATCATCAATGCATCTTCTCTGCTCTCTCGACAAATAACAAAACCGATTAGCTTTTTTCCCCCTAGAACACGCAAAGTAAGAAAGATGGGAGACGCAGAGACTTTTGCTTTCCAGGCTGAGATCAACCAATTGCTCTCACTCATCATCAATACCTTTTACAGCAACAAGGAGATCTTCCTTCGTGAACTCATCAGCAACTCTTCCGATGTACGTCTCTCTTTTTTCTCTTGCTTTCTATTTGTCGTTTGTGTTTCTCATTCCATTCTAGATTAGGTTTGTATTAGGGCTCCAAACTAGGTATTGTGTGTATTTGTTGCTTACAATTAACAAGTTTTTTTTTTCTTTGCGGTGAAACAGGCTTTGGACAAGATTAGGTTTGAGTCCTTGACCGACAAGAGCAAGCTCGATGGCCAGCAAGAGCTTCTCATTCGCATCGTTCCTGACAAGACCAACAACACCTTGACCATTATTGACAGTGGTGTCGGGATGACCAAGGCTGATTTGGTCAACAACCTCGGAACAATCGCGAGGTCCGGTACCAAGGAGTTCATGGAGGCGTTGGCTGCTGGAGCCGACGTGAGCATGATTGGGCAGTTTGGTGTTGGTTTCTACTCTGCCTACTTGGTCGCTGATAAGGTCATTGTCACCACAAAGCACAATGACGATGAGCAGTACGTGTGGGAGTCTCAGGCAGGTGGATCTTTCACCGTTACCAGAGACAACTCTGGCGAGAGTCTTGGTAGGGGGACGAAGATGACACTTTACCTCAAGGAAGACCAGTTGGAGTACTTAGAGGAGAGAAGGCTTAAGGATCTTGTCAAGAAGCACTCTGAGTTCATCAGCTACCCAATCTCTCTCTGGGTTGAGAAGACTATTGAGAAGGAGGTTTCTGATGATGAAGAGGAGGAAGAGAAGAAGGATGAGGAAGGGAAGGTTGAGGAGGTAGATGAGGAGGAGAAGGAGGAGAAGAAGAAGAAGAAGATTAAGGAGGTTTCTCATGAGTGGGATTTGGTGAACAAGCAGAAGCCTATTTGGATGAGGAAACCAGAGGAGATCAATAAGGAGGAGTACGCTGCTTTCTACAAGAGTCTGAGCAATGACTGGGAAGAGCATTTGGCTGTGAAGCACTTTTCTGTTGAAGGACAGCTTGAGTTCAAAGCTGTTCTATTTGTCCCCAAGAGAGCTCCTTTTGATCTCTTCGACACTAAGAAGAAACCAAACAACATCAAGCTCTACGTCCGTCGTGTGTTCATTATGGACAACTGTCAAGACATCATTCCAGATTACCTTGGATTCGTCAAAGGTATCGTTGACTCTGAAGATCTTCCTCTCAACATCTCCAGAGAGACACTGCAGCAGAACAAGATCCTCAAAGTCATCCGCAAGAACCTTGTGAAGAAGTGCCTTGAGCTCTTCTTTGAGATTGCTGAGAACAAGGAGGACTACAACAAGTTCTACGAGGCCTTCTCCAAGAATCTGAAGCTCGGTATCCATGAGGACTCTCAGAACAGAAGCAAGATTGCTGAGTTGCTTCGTTACCACTCAACCAAGAGTAGCGATGAATTGACTAGTCTCAAGGACTATGTGACAAGGATGAAGGAAGGTCAGAACGATATCTTCTACATCACCGGTGAGAGCAAAAAGGCCGTCGAGAACTCTCCATTCCTGGAGAAGCTCAAGAAGAAAGGGTACGAAGTGCTTTACATGGTTGATGCAATTGATGAGTACGCCATTGGTCAGCTCAAGGAGTTTGAAGGAAAGAAGCTCGTTTCTGCAACCAAGGAAGGTCTGAAACTAGAAGAGACTGAGGACGAGAAGAAGAAGAAGGAACAGCTTAAGGAAAAGTTTGAAGGACTCTGCAAAGTGATCAAAGACGTTTTGGGAGACAAAGTTGAGAAGGTTATCGTCTCTGACCATGTTGTGGACTCACCATGCTGTCTTGTAACCGGAGAATATGGCTGGACCGCAAACATGGAGAGGATCATGAAAGCTCAAGCTTTGAGAGATAGCAACACGGGTGGTTACATGTCGAGCAAGAAGACAATGGAGATTAATCCAGAGAACTCGATCATGGATGAGCTGAGAAAGAGAGCTGAAGCGGATAAGAATGATAAGTCTGTCAAGGATCTTGTTCTTCTTCTCTTTGAGACTGCTCTTCTCACTTCCGGTTTCAGCCTCGATGAGCCCAACACTTTTGGGAGCAGAATCCACAGGATGTTGAAGCTTGGATTGAGCATTGATGATGATGATGATGCTGCTGCTAACGCTGATACAGAGATGCCTCCGCTTGAAGATGATGCTGATGCTGAAGATAGCAAGATGGAGGAAGTTGATTAAAAATTTCGCATCTTGTCGAATGCCATGTAATTCCCATGGCCAAATTAACTAATAATTTATGTCTTTGTCAAAAGGCTCTCTTATGTCTGAGAATTTTTATACAAATAATTGATCCAAATATTTTCAAAGTTATCTTGCGTTATCTATTAGAAAATATAGGGACCATTATTAAAATATCCAATAACTTGATAAAAATTAGTAGTCAACAAAATGAAAGTCTAATCATACAATTTGTTAGGTAACCACTTCGGACATCTCCCATTTTCTTAGTTCCACGGAAGTGGTCCAAACGAAAGGGATATATGAACTATACAATAATACGATATATACTATTTAAAGTCTTTATATATTGAGACAATCATATAATTAATTTACGAATTGACTAATTCTTCGTGCGAAAATGGAGAAAGCCATCACTATTTTGTGGTATATGTCACAAACTTTCTAAACGAACTATCCACCGAATCATTTTTCTTGTGATTAGATAGATGGTGAAAGTGTTGCGGTAAGAAACTATGACCAATGGTATGAAGAAAGAATTACTTATTGGAACCCAACATTAAAATTCGAAACGACTTAATCTAATATATAAACAGTATGGATTAAACTATTCATTGTGAAATATAGATGCAAATCTAAATTTCTTGATCTTTATTTTGCGTCTTACATCTTTATAATATCTCAAGATATCTTCTTAGATGCTGAGATATTGAGAAAACTATCAAATATGATATGATAATAATGTCTTATACCCTACAAAATCTCCAATGAATCTTGGGGAGAACAAGAACTTGATGTTGTATTTATCCGCACTGATGAAAATTATAACCTTCGAATGCAATTGAGTTTATGTGGACAGTGTGGTTGGTAATAATTTAACATCACTTGGAAATAAGTGGCGTTATTCAACTCGATACGTAGTTTCTTCAACACACTCCCTAGTATCGTGCGAAGCTGAATTCAGTGATCGACATTTAAAAATAGCTAATATTTTTGTCATTTTCTTATTACGATTATTCCCATCTGATTACATTCTTATCTATGAATATGTCAGCGAACATCAATAATAGAGTAATTAACAGTCTCCGAAAACCAACCCATAGAAGAAGACAAAGAAGAAAGAAGTATTCTTATTTACAAAAGACCAGTACAGTGTCTTAATTTTCTTTTCCGTTTTTATATATGTGGATGTTAATAAAAGACCAAAGAAAGACGATTAAAAAATAATATTGTTTGATTATTTCCCCTAGCGGGAAAAGCACGTCCAAACGACAAAAGCATTCAATCACATTCACACAAAACGCGCATCGCATCCCGCGTGCTTCTGGTGAGACGCATGGATCACACACCTGAACCGCTGGACGCGCGTTCGCCAAACACCAATCTCCTCCTGGCGTCTTGTGGACGCACACGCTATTTGGGCTTTGATTGCGATTTGTGGGCCCTTTTATGACAATTGTTCTTCTTCATGTTATTTAAAAAATCTGGGCTCAATTTAAATATTTTTAATAAACATAAAATTAATAATATCGAATATGTCAATTTAACGTGTTCACAGTAACTAATCATGATTATAATGGTAAGGAATAGATTCCAATTTTATTCCCCCAATCTAATGACGAATTTTACAAGTATCTAATCACCATGAATTAGTTTCACCAAATTTTACTTACTACTCCATAGGCAAAAGAAAGAAAAAAAAACTTATATAAACTCTTTTTTTTTGGGAGCAAAATACTGATACAGACTATTTTGTTAATAAAAGCCAATATATTTTTGTTTTTCCGAAACCGTTATCTTAATTTTAATATCGTGACCATCTCTACAGTTTTCGTTACTACTATATAGGCAAAAGAAAGAAAAAAAAACTTATATAAACTCTTTTTTTGGGAGCAAAATACTGATATAGACTATTTTGATAATAAAAGCCAATGCATTTTTGTATTTTTCGAAAGCGTTATCTTAATTTAATATCGTGATCATCTCTCAGTTTTCGTTACTATCTTCACATTATTATTGTTTAATTAAAAATTAATATTTCGACGGTATAAATCGATAACTGAGAGACATGGAAGAGCACAACTGGGGCACTTCTTCCTAAAAAGCTCGAAGACTTTTTATTCAGGATCTCACCAAACAAACACACTAACAACAATCATCTCTCTCTCTCCGCTTGTTCTGCGCAGCCTCCACCACCGTCGTTCTCCGCCGCGGAACCGTCGCACGGAGAATCAAATTTCACGAGAAATCCAATCGCAATGGGGAAAGGCGGCACGCTCAGCGACAGCGTGATTAAGAAGATCGTCCTCTCCTACAGCTACGTCGCGATATGGATCTTCCTCAGCTTCACCGTAATCGTGTACAACAAATACATCCTCGACAAGAAGATGTACAATTGGCCATTCCCGATCTCCCTCACCATGATCCACATGTCCTTCTGCTCAGCCCTAGCTTTCCTCCTCATCAAGGTCTTCAAATTCGTCGAGCCCGTTTCAATGTCGCGCGAGACTTACCTCAGATCCGTCGTCCCGATCGGAGCCCTCTACTCTCTCTCCCTCTGGCTCTCCAATTCCGCCTACATTTACCTCTCCGTCTCCTTCATCCAGATGCTCAAGGCGCTCATGCCCGTCGCCGTTTACTCGATCGGCGTTCTCCTGAAGAAGGAAGGTTTCAAATCCGATACTATGGTCAACATGCTCTCCATCTCCTTCGGTGTCGCAATCGCCGCCTACGGCGAGGCTAGGTTCGATGTCTTTGGTGTGTTGCTCCAGCTCGGTGCGGTTGCGTTCGAGGCGACTCGTTTGGTGCTGATTCAGATCTTACTCACTTCCAAAGGAATCACTCTTAACCCCATCACTTCTCTCTACTACGTTGCTCCTTGCTGCTTAGCCTTCCTGTTTGTTCCATGGATCTACGTCGAGTTCCCTGTTCTCAGAGACACATCAAGCTTCCACTTCGATTACGCCATCTTCGGGACGAATTCGTGCTGTGCCTTCGCACTGAATCTCGCTGTGTTCCTTCTCGTGGGGAAAACCTCTGCTTTGACCATGAATGTTGCTGGTGTGGTTAAGGATTGGCTCTTGATCGCGTTCTCGTGGTCTGTGATTAAGGACACTGTGACTCCTATCAACCTTTTCGGGTACGGGATCGCGTTCTTGGGAGTTGCGTACTACAATCACGCGAAACTGCAGGCCTTGAAGGCTAAAGAGGCTCAGAAGAAGATTCAGCAAGCTGATGAAGAGAGTGGTCGGTTGCTTGAAGAGAGGGAAGGAGATGCAGAAGGTAAGAAGAATGAGTCTGAGAACTAAAGGAAGAGTTTTTTTTTATTCAGAGTAAAAAAGAAAGAAGAGAAAATGGAATTGAGCAAAACACATGATTGGTTGAAGAATAAGAGCATGGAAGAGAGAATTATGATTATATGGATTTGGTGGACAATCAGTTTTACAGGTTCCTTTTGATCCTAATGATTTGCTCATAGGTAGTGATGTCAGAATCTCTTATTGCTTTCCTCTTGTTTTTTTCTTTTCCAAAGCTTTTTATTACGTCCTTCCGTATTGTTTTTCAAGTTATTTATGATTACAATGGTGGTGTTACAAAACTTCTGTCAATGGATTTTCCTATTTCTTAGTTGATAAATGGCAAGTTCCTCTCTAAGTTCATTTTCTTTTCTTTTTATTTACTACCATAGTTACAGAGTGGTTTTGGATTTTCACTCTCGGGTGTGTGGGATTCATATGATGCTATTAAAGTAGTTAGTTAGATGACTGTATGTTGAGCCACTATATATTCTGAAGTTTGGATTCAATCATCAATTACTACTATACAAGCGTGCAAGATTGATATTACTCTCAACCCTGCTCGATCTAATACTAATTTCTTTATCAGAAAGAAAAAAAAACAAATCCAAATCTGTTGATGTGTTTGTAAGCTGCCTGTTCTGATTTTCCAATAGAGTTTTACATCGTAACAACATAAGCAAAAAGAAAGAGAAAACTATATACATGTCTCAGATTCTAGTACTTGTTTTTGCCTAATTTTTACAATTATAGATTCACATAGTTCCCAAACAGGTCCACATAGCTCACAATACTAACTTGGTCTCCTGAGACAGAAGAAAGCTGAGACAACATGATTCGGCGCTTTTTGTTGTTGTGTCCCTTTAAGAGCATAGTCCCTTGTTGCTGTTGTTCCTCTTCAGCTCCTCGTTTTCCGCACGCAATGCATCAATCTGCTCCTGAAGTAGGCTTATCATCAGTTCTGCCCTCGTCTTTTCAAGCTCATACGTCTTTCTCTCCTCAGACATCTGCTCCTTCTTCTTCTCCATATCGCTGATCAGCTCGGTGGAAGAGCTTGTAGGCACCATCGTAGCAACTGGTTCTGGTACGTTCTCCTCCAGCGTTGCTCCAACGGAAGATATAGTGTCGCCGGTTGCTGCTGGGGAGGAACAATGGTCTTGAGTGGTTTGGCTCGAGTTGTTGCAGTTTCCCTTGCGTTTGTATCCGATTAGACGACGTGGAGCTTCTTTGTCAATGCCACAAAGAGGAAGACATTCTTTCGCCAGTGGCTCACCATTATCAGCTGTTTTGGGATCGTTGAGGTTCTTGTTCTGCGAGTGGTTATCCTACACAAGATTAACGAGTACATGAGACTTCAGTGAAGTAAACAAAGGTGCATACAGAAACTTAACATGTTTCGCCAAATTTACAGAAATCTCAAAAAACAACATGACATTCTCTCTCAATGGGCCTCAACTAAACAGGAACAACAAATACTTGGAACACAAAGTTTGCATAGCTTTTAAAAGCTCACGTTTGCTGCAAAGGAGAAAAATAGAAGGCAAAAACATAGTGAGAAGCACAAAACCTGCTGGATCTCGTTGATTGCATTGGCATGCACAACGCTTGGAACATGAGCTCCTCCACCATCATCGTCATCCCACTCTTGTTCCGAGAAGGGTGCATACACGTGTCCCTTAAGTGGCCCGGCGTGTTTCTTGAGGATCACTTTGCACAACGCGTACTTATCAATCTGCACATCCATAAATAGACCAAGTCACATGTAAAGAAAAAGAGAATGATCAAATCCACAGCTCTAGTGACATCCTCTAACAATGAAGAAAAACAGAGAGATCGAAACTGTATGTATCATCAATAAATCCAAATAGACTTATATACTGGCATCATCATTCATCGAAAAGCAAAAGATGGGGATCGAATCAGAATAATCTTGTAGAGAATATATTATACCTCAAGGCCTTGGTCATTTTCAGCGAGGCAGTACTCATGGATCATCCAATTGGTGTGTTGACCCTTTGGAGAACGCCCATTGTAGAACACGAGGGTCTTCATCGTACCAATCAACTGCTTGTCTCCTCGCAGGATTTTCTTGTCTTTTCCAGATTGTTTCCAGAAGCCTTTGTTCGTTGCTCGGTTCATAAAACCACTTCTGCCCTTCTTCTTTTCCATGGCACTGAAGAAGAACCATTCTTGGTCCTTTGTCTTTAGCCTCGAATGCTCTGAAACAAAGCACTTGAGAGTTGAGACTTCATAACACTAAAGTCAAGTTGCATTTTCTGAATCTCAAGCAACACCAATCGCAATAAAAGATTCAGTTTTCGGGTCGAGCGTGTAACTTAAGAATAGCAAATGCACCCATTGAGTTAAAAACCCTTCTCGTAGAGTTAGATCACTGATGATCTTTATCACTCACACGATATTATAACATTAAGAACACAGAATCTAATAACAGGCGCGAAATCCATACCGGAAAATCCCAAAATCAAAAGCCAAGAAACAGAGGAAGATCTAACGCAGAGAAATCAAAGAACCTGGTAAGTCAGAGGGCTCGATCTTGTAAACATCGACTTCCGCAATCACTTCCAATGCCATGGGTTTGCTCTGAACCTTCCTCTTCAAGTAATAGCTAATGAGTTCTTCGTCGCTTGGATGAAATCGGAGGCCAGGAGCGACCGGTGTCAATGTCAACGCCGCAGCAGCATCATTATCCGTCGCAGCCGCCGGAACTGCCTCCGACGCCGGTGAAGCCCGATCACTCATGAAGTCGCGACTAACTAACCAAAAAACGGTTTCTCCTTCTTTCGAGTAGAGATGAACTGAAAAAAAGTTGATAAATGGGTTTTAGATTTGACGGAGGATTAAGAAGAATGAGAAGCCCAAGAAAAGGGTGCCTTATATCGCAAGAAAGTTGGTTTCTTTCGCAGACTCTTATTAACGACTAAGCATTTCTGATTTGTCCCGCTACTTGTCGTTTTGCGCGGTAAATAAAAAATCCGAACGGTTAAAGTAGTAGGACTTTTCTACCGTCATCATAGAACGGTGAAATTACACACAATCATCATCATCCTCCATTTTCTTCTTTTTTCTCTCGAACCTATGTCTATACATATTTTGAAATTTGAATGCATTTATATATAGAGTAGATAGACAATCGATTAAAACAGAGCAATTATCATTTTTGAAACAAATGATCGATTGACTTTTTTTATTTTCCGTATGAGTTGGCTTTTTCTTTTCTTGACTAAGCCCAATCACTATTACAAAGGTCATATAAGGCCCATTATTGGCCTACTATTATTAACTTTAATAAAAAAAGAAGAATTACAAAATGATAAAATTGCTTAAACCAGTTCGCCGTTTCGAACCCCAGAAAAATAGAAAAACCTCTCAAAAACCCTAATCTGCTTCTTTTCTTTCTTCTCCTTCGTGAGCGCTCACTCTGTTTCTCGTCTCTTCCGCCTACCGTCTACAGATTCACTCCGGTAGAAACTGAAGGAACCTGTGTTTGTTTGACATCCGCTTCTTTCTCCGCCTCCCTCGCTTAGTCTGTGTGAACTGGTTAGTTGCTTGTTTTTTTTTTAGTCTCTAAGCTGAATTTGATTGCTTTAGAGTGAATGGTTTGATAAATTGCAGCAATTCTTCTACGGAAATCGGTTTATATGTGAAAAGATTATATCTTTTACATGAATTAGAGGACACCTTACCAGCTAATTTTGTTGAGTTACCACAATGAAAGAAACTGAAATCCATTTATATAAGTTTTGGTATAAAAATTGGGATATTTTTTAGCTGGGTAATGTTAGTATGTGTATAATGCACGCCTGTATTTGATTGTTTTGCTTGAAACATTTTCAGGGAAAGATGAATTTGGTAAACATTAGAGATGTATTGACTTCTTACAGTCCTGCTTTAGATTATCTCGCTCTTAGCACCGGAGATGGCCGTATCAAGGTATCTTCAGTTTTCTTCTTTTAGCGTTACAGATTTATTGGTTCTGTTCAGTTCGTAATGAATTTCTATTCAAAGGGAAGATCTTTTTGTTTTTGTTTATAAAATTAATGTACTTTTCTTTCGACCATGTGTAGATTTGGGATACTGTCAAGGGTCAGGTCCAAACAGAGTTTGCTGATATTGCATCTGCAGAAGAGACGAACATATATACCAAGGTTGGGAAAGGTCACCTCTCGGTTGATTATACGTGCATGAAATGGTTGTCTTTGGAGAAAAAGGTAAAAAGACTTGCTTCTTTTTTTTTTTTTTTTTTATTCCATTACTTCCTTGCGGTGTGGATTAGAATAGTTTGTGAATTCATTTGTTTCTGTTGACAAATACGCTTTGTTTTTGTTATTTGCAGAAGAAGAGAAAACTTGGAACTTCCATATTGGTATTAGGAACTGGTGGAGGAGATGTTTTAGCACTTGATGTGGCTTCTGGTCAGCTGAAATGGAGAATAAGTGACTGTCATCCCGGGTCAGTAACTCTCACTGGCTTCTTCTTCACTATCCTTTTTCTTTTTTAGATTATATCAGTAAAGCAACTGGGCATTCTATTATTTGATTATTCGCCAGATACTTGAATTTCGGCTCAGTATCAGAGTTTGGACAGTTATTAATGTGATCTGTCTTGTGCAGTGGTGTCAATGCTGTATCATCTTCTACAAAGGCCTCCTGCATTTACAGCGGCGGTGCAGATGGGGTGGTTTGTGAAATTGATCCCCATAGTGGAAATCTGATCAGAAAGTTCAAAGCTTCAACAAAAGCTGTTTCTTCTCTCTCTGTTTCACCAGGTTTGACTCTCGAGACATAGTGCTTCCATTAGTTTCTGGTTTTAAATGCATAGACTAGAACACGTACTTACCTGCTGCTGATGCTTTTGGTCTGTTTTGTTACCTCCCAACTGTAGATGGAAAAATATTAGCCACTGCATCTGCTCAGTTGAAGACTTTCAAGTGCTCTGATCTCAAGAAGATACAGAAGTTTACTGGTCATCCTGTGAGTAACTGTACTGTTTTTTAGCATCATTTGTATCTACCATGTTTTATTGTTTGGAGGCTGCCTATATTTTAAACATTAGATGGTGGTTAACAGTTTTTTCATGTTATATAGGGAGGTGTGCGTTGTATGGCTTTTACCGAGGATGGGAAATACATACTCTCGTCTGCAGTTGGTGAAAGATACGTTGCAGTATGGAAAACAGATGGTGCTAAGAAGCAGTCGGCTAGCTGTGTCCTTGCCCTGGAGCATCCTCCCGTCTTTGTGGATAGTTGGGGTGAAACAGAGGAGAAAGGGTTGTACGTTTTGGCAATTTCAGAAATAGGTGTCTGTTATTTTTGGTATGGATCAAATGTCGAGGAGCTATGCAATGCAAAACCGACAAAAGTCGCACTAGCAACTGAAGATTCTTCGCTTAAACATCACAAGGGCTCATTGCCTATAATCTTTGCTGCAAAATTACAAAGCATATTGAAGCCTGGTTCTGCGCATGCATTTATTGCGTCTGGATTACTGGTGAAACCCACATTCCAGAAAATGGTGTTGCAGTTTGGCACCGACTTGTTGTTGAGTGCCTCCAAGAATGGGATCCTTCTCCCCATCACTCAGTCATTTTCTAAGTCCAAGAAAGAGCAAGGCGTGCAGAATAGAGGTATCTTCTATGTGTTGAATCCTATTGTTTTGTCTTCTCAGTATGGAGGATTTTCATCCTCGATACTGCCTTGTGGATCACAGTTTCCAGTATGGCTGACTATGATTTTATTATTGTATAGTTACAACACTAGACCGAGCACATGCGGAGGATGCTTTGCTGCCAATTGCAAGAGTTGCTGATCTGCACGAGAAAAAGAGTGTACAAACACACTCATCTGATAAAGATACAGACATGGTTGACCAAAGCCAAGAGGGTGAGTTTTACTTGAAGTTGACTATCAGACCTCTCATTAACACAATCATCGTACTAATGTATACCGTTTGATTGTTTTGGCTCTTTTAGTATATATACTCAGATGCTTCAGTGCAAGAACTGATGTGGCCTTTTTGTTTTGAAATTTCAGATCATGTAGAAACATTTAGCATGGAGGATAAATTGAGATCATTAGGGATACTTAAAGGCACAGATGAACCAAACAACCTTTCCTACGCTTCAGTAATTGATGGAATTGATCTTGAGGCTTATCTACCACCAAAGAAGGTATATTTCCTTTCTGGATGCTCGGTTCTTTGGCATTTCTGCATCCTTCTCACGCATTTGTGTAGAAATTTTTCTTTGAATCTGCCAGTCATAGTTATCATATAAACTTTTATATTGGCAGTTAAAGTCGGCTGTTTTGTCAATGGCACCCTCCACTGCGTTCAAGAACCTAGAAGCTCTGGTTCTTATGTGGCAGACAAGGTTGGTTCTCTGCTTTGCTCGTTGCTATATACGTAGTTGTCACATCGATGCTTACTATTGAAGTTTTTAACGCTGGAAAATGCTCAAAACGCAAATGTTCTTCTCTACTTTTTTTCCCGAAAAATTGCTCTTCTCTAGCATTTTCATTTATTCTTAAGCCATGATAATGATTTAAATAGGCTTGGTGCTTTGGTCTTAACACAGCTGTATTTATTTCACAGGGGATGTGGTGGGAAGCATCTTCTTCCATGGATATACAGCATAATGGTGAATCATAGTCATTACATCAGGTCCCAAGAACCAAAAAACGAACAGCTGCTTAATACATTGCATAAGGTAAGAGAGATGAGGGTTGAGCCAAGGATTTTGGTTCTGTAAAATTTGCTTGGTTTAAGTTATACTGTTATTGCAGATTACCAAGTCCCGAGGAACAGCTCTTCAACAGTTACTACAGTTATCTGGGCGCTTACAACTTATTACAGCCCAGGTTACATATCAATCGTCTTAATTAATTGTCACCCCGGATGTTAGCATATGGCTATCTAGTTTTCAATAAAACTTTTCTTTTTATGGCAGATCAATAAAGCTGCAGGGAATCAGACTCTAGCAACAGGTCAGGATCAAGAGATTGATGAAACTGAGGACGAGGAAGAAGATGTAGAAGAGCATATCTACGGTGAGAATGATAATGAATCTGAATTAAGCAGCGACGATGGAAAGGATAAAGGTAATGATTCTTTGTTTCATTTTTGGCATATTGGTTTTGTGGACCAAATAATTTTATCTAAATTCTTGCCTGCGGTTTTACTGTCAGATGACACCTTGATGGAGGAGATGTAAGCTAATAAGTGAAAAGAGTAGAGAGAAAGGAGCTTCGCTTCTTCTCACGTTTTTGACTTTCCGAGTTTTGTTGCCTACTAGAATTCGTATTTTTGAGCCCAAGAGATTTACTCATTTCTCGTTGCACAGAATGATGCCAAGTAAACAAATCGCTTTTTGTCGAGTGAACAAGACTTTTCTTATAATTGAATTGAGAAGCACCCTGAAAGAACGAACCAGATTTATTTTATTTTCATTTGCTCTCTGCTCCTTACAGATGAAACAAAACTTTTGTTTAGACACGAGTTTGCAGAAAATATGACAGTGGCATGCAATGGACCAGTACAAAGAACATATATCAGACACATAATGAATCTGAAGGTCTCTTTAATACTAAGTGTTACTTATTAGTGTACCAAAAGGCCTTCAGCCACATACACATAGCGTTTACCATTCTTTTCATCTCGGCTGATCTTCTTGGATCCGGCTCTTCAATTGCTCTCTCTGTCAGTACATGCTTTATGCGACACATTGAATGTTCCTTTGGAATGCGTTCAGGGTTTGCCGCAGATTCACATCCCTAAAAAGAATTCTGCAAAAACAGAGGAATACCAAAAGGAACCAAAAAACAGAGATCTTATATGTTTCACATCCGCCATGGCCACCGCTCTTTTTTTTTTTTTTTTGAAAAGAATGTTAAATTATATTCTGGCCAAAAAAAAGAACGTTTTTACATCAGGAGCAGCTTTAGTTTAGAAAGATCGAAAGAGACAGAGATTTTAAGAACAGTTTAATAGTTAGTGAGAGAGACTATCAGCTTCTATCAGCTTCGAGTCGCAAACCACTTGGCGAGTGCATCCTCATAAGGGGCCTCCGAGAGTTGGACTATCCCCCAGTCTCCTATCTCCCACATGTCATCGCTTTCCAGCTTGAACTCAAAGAGAAGCTCGCTGGAAGTCACGTCCGGTTTGACTGTGAATATGTACAGATGCTCTGGTAAAGGCGAATATATAGTATGAGCATACATGCCCTTTCTATACATAACATTCAATCCCGTAGAGTTGTCTTTATAGCAAGCGTCATCCTCATCGTCACCTTTATAAACCAGCAAGATGCAAGCCTTAAATCGCATGGATGTAGGAAGAGGCCTTTCATTCAGCTTAATAGTCATTCAGCTTAATAGTCAATGGTTTCGCATTCGCCATGGCCACCGCTCAAGCTCTCATCGTGTTCATCAACACGAAGGGAACTCCGAGAGTTGGACTATCCCCCATTCTCCTATCTCCCACATGTTATCGCTTTCCAGCTTAAACTCAAAGAGATGCTCGCTGGAAATCACATCCGGTTTGACTGTGAATATGTACAGATGCTCTGGTAAAGGCGAGAATATAGCATGACCATACATGCCATTTCCATACGTAAGATCCACTTCCGTCGAGTTCTCTTTATAGCAAGCGTCATCGTCACCTTTATAAACCAGCAAGATGCAAGCCTTAAATCGCATGGATGTAGTAAGAGGCCTTTCATTCAACTTAATAGTCAATGGACCCCCACCAGTCTTGTACACCTGGTAAGACCGCACTTGTTCCACTAGTCTTGATGACGAGGTCTCTCGCCTCTTGATTCAGTTTGAAGCAGTTGGCAAAGTCGAGCCAAACATCTGGATTGTGAAAGGAGCACTCTATTATCTCCAGGGACTCGCAATCTCTTGCATCTACGAGAGAGATGGAATCCGAAATGGGTGGGAGTGATACCAACTTTCGGCATCCCCTGAGCACGAAAATACTCAGACGAGAGAATTTCTTGACCCACGGAGGAAACTCTTGTAATTCCGTATCGCTCCAGTGCAGAGATGTGATTCTTTCAAGAGCATGAGGGAATTCCTCGAGGTTTTCAAAGTATGACATACTCAACTCCTCAAGACGAGGCCATGACCTGATCGAGGGCGGCACTTCATCTATTGCAGTTCCTCTGAGGTCGAGAATTCCAATGTTTGTGGAGATCTGAGGAAAACTTTTCAACGTGGAGCATCCACAGAGATCAAGTTCATGCAAAGATTCCAAGTTGATGTCGGTGGGAAGAGCCTCTAGCTTACCGCATCCTGTTAATACCAACCTCTGCAACTTCTGAAGGTTTCCAATAGAGAGAGGAAGTTCCACCAGGTTTGAGCAATTACTAAGATCCAACTCCTCTAGATTGGTGGCATTCCCAATGGAGGAAGGGAGCTCCAACAGATTTGGGAAAATACTCAGATCCAGTTGTTTGAGATGAAGGGGGTTCCCATGGAAGGAGCCTCTACCGAGATCCAAAGATCCCAAGTTGATGTTGGTGGGAAGAGCCTCTAGCTTACTGTATCCTGTTAATACCAACCTCCGCAACTTCTGAAGGTTTCCAATAGAGGGAGGAAGTTCCACCAAATTTGAGCAATTACTAAGATCCAGCTTCTCAAGATTGGTGGCATTCCCAATATAGGACGGGAGCTCCAACAGATTTGGGAAACTACTCAGATTTAGTTCTCGGAGATTAACGGCATTCCCGATAAAGGACGGAAACTCCACAAGACTTGAGCATCCACCCATATCTAATATCTTGATTCTAGTGGCATTTCTATCAAAGGACGGGAGTTTGATGAGACTCGAGCAATCGTGAAGATTCAATTCCTCAAGGTTAGTGGCAGTTGAGAGGTCTGGAAGCTCCTTCAAGTTTACAGAACGACTCAAATACATCCACTTTAGACTTGGAAGCGGCTGTACAGACAAATAACAACAACATAGATGAGAAAAAAAGCACATAAACACAGTTCCGACTGGCAAGAGCAGTCTTTTTGTTATCAAAGCTAAAAAACTGTACAAAACACAAATGATAGAATTCGAAACAAAGAGAAAGCAATAAATCAAAATTTACTTACTTTAACCCCTTCCCACAACTTCTCAAGCTTGCTTTCACACATGATTAGTTCGACAAGGAACTCCAAGTTCACAGTAGAAGGCAAACATGTCATTGGAAAACGACTCCAATGTAGCAATCGGAGTTTACGAGATAGATAGTTTAGAGCTCTCGATACTTGCAATGTATTGCCGCCATAACCACGGAAACTTAAGAATTGGAGATTAGACATTCCTTCAAAGGCCTTCTCACTTATATCTAATTCTTTCCCGATTCTGTCGTAGTAACCTATGCCAATGACACTTTTACTACCCTGAAAAAAAGGAAGAATCAAAAACTAGAGTTTGTTAGTTATCAAATAAAACTAATTTTGTAGGGAAGGCAACGAAAGACTAGCATCAAAACTTACTCTTGCATCACCAGTCAGTACTTCACAAATCTCTCTTTCATCGTGCAGGAACTGGCGCTGTCCAGGCTCATCAATAGATTGTTTGCAAACGATTTCTCTACCTAGTTTTTCTAGCAAACTGTGCATCTCTACATGTCTTGAGTCGATAGATATGAGAGATTTCTCAGCTAAGGCGTTAAGTCTTTGCCTCACTTCCACGAACTTCTTGGCAAGATACTCTTCAACTTTGTCAATCTTTCTATAGTTGAACAAGCAGGCTATATGAAGAAATAAAGATTTATCTTCATCATCTAAAGCATCATAGCTGAACTTCAGAATGCTTTGAATATCAGAGTTTAGGCTACTCTTTAATCTTGGTAGTGAATCTGTCCACTCTCGCTTGGACATTCCTCGAAAGTAGGAACCCATAACCCTTAGCCCCAAAGGTAGTTTACCAACAAGTCCTGTAACTTCCCGAGCAAGCTCCTCAAAACCATCTTTAGGGGACTTTTGACGAAAAGCATACATGCACAACATTTGAAGAGCTTCATCAGTTGATGGAAACTGCACCTTGTAAATATGGCTAATCCCATGTGCTCTAAAAAGTCTTCGATCTTGTGTTGTAACGATAATTCGACTCCCAGGACCAAACCACCAAGTCTCTTTCGCCATCGCATCTAGTTGTAGTAACTGGTCCACGCCATCAAGAACGACAAGAACTTTCTTGTCTTTCAACCTATTTGAGGCAACTCCCAAATGAGAAACCTCAATATCCTTATGGTTAGTTATTCGAGACATAAACTGTTGTTGTAATTGCAACTTAACGCTGTAGTCATCGGAACAAGGTCCTGTATAGTTTGCTTTGATATTGTCCATAAAGACACTCAGTTGAAATCCGTCAGAGAGTTGGTTGTATGCGACTCTAGCGATTGTGGTCTTCCCAATCCCAGGAGGACCCCAAATCCCAATCATCCTCACCTCATCTGAGTCTAGGCATAACAACGGTTTCATTTTTTCCAAATGAGCTCTCATCCCAACGAACCCTTCGAAATCACTTGATGGTGTGAAATTGTTCAGCATGTTGGAAATATCAGTGGCGATTTGCTTGATCATGGCAGCTTCATTATCCCTAACAATGGAGGAGAACAATACATCCATTAGAAAAACCATGGAAAAATCACATTTTCTTGGATGGGTATTGTTCAAAAGCTACAAGAGTATAGTGCAAGTGGAAATCAAAAGAACAATACCAATTGCTTGAATGATAACCAGCGATTGTGGCCACTTTTGACAAAGCTTGCCTCCATCTCTCAGTGTCCTCCTTTCTTCTACGAGCACAAGTTTTTCTAAAGACTTTTCCAAAGTCTCCTTGCAGCTTATTAACTTCAGACGGATCCACTTTGTAGAAGATGGCAATCACGGTTTGACCCAACTCTTCTCTGCACTTCATAATCTCAACCAGCTCCTCAAGACACCATTTTGAAGAAGCGTAGTTCCTTGAGAGCAAGATGACTGCGATCTTAGACCCTTTAATCGCGCTGATGAGCTCGGGACCGATAGATTCTCCTCTTTTGATCTCGTTATCAATGAAAGGAGTGATCCCTTTTCTTTGAAACTCCATTTGAATGTGACTGAGAAAGTCTCTGCGGACATCTTCCCCGCGGAAGCTGGGAAAGACATGATGTGTCCAGATGCGAGGAGAAGAAAGTGGAGGAACTGGTGAAGGAGACAAAGAAGATGAAGGTGAAGAAGAAGAGTCCTTTTCTTCGTTATCCTCATGGAATCTGAGTTTTCTCAAAAGAGCCAAGAGCCCTATTGCAGCAGCGACGGTGGTAAGGAAAAAAGAAGAATCCATTAGTTAGTAGTTAGTATGATGGAAAGAGGAAGAGTATGTGTGGAGGAAGAAATTATTAGGCTTTGTATACATTGAACACAGAACGTTGACTCTGTTGATTGGTAAAGTTGCAACTACCTAATTCCTCGATATTTCCTCAAAGAAAATTACAAAAACTACAGTAATCGATAGGTCCTATAAGAGCAACTAGTAATTATAATATGAGATCCACTCAAATACACTACAAATCTTTAAATATGAAAATTAAAGAATCAGAAAGCATTAACAAGACAATTGAAAGCACACAACTTTTTTTTCTGTTTGTAAGAAAACAGATAAAAGAAAGAACGTCGAAATCATACGAACACAAGCAACATTTCAAGTACGCATTGATCAAATTCTTTGTCCGATTTGCATATGGAAAGTTAGAAACCCATTGATCAACATTACCTAATCCGTGGCCATGTAAATATTGATCGACTTGTCTGTAAAATCGAGCATTCAAAATCGTAAGGCATAGGGGGCAAAAGTGAAAATGTCACAGGAAAAAATAAAGATCACAGAATTAGTTCAGGGTTTTGAGCCCGACGTAAATCGATCACACAACCTTGTATAGTCATATCATACAACAAAATTAACTTTTGAATTAAGAAAATCTATCAGACCAAAAAAAAATAAGTCTAGAAGACTACAAGAGAACCCTGTCTACAATTTTGCGATTTTAGCTCTCATATCTTGTGCGATATAAATATTTATTAATACACTTCCCTGTAAATGTTATCCACATAAAAAGCACAAGAACACGAAACAAACTCGGATCTTGGCTTAATCGAATAAGATCGATAAGTCAATAGGTTAAGAGTACTCCTCTTAGTGCTTAAAAAGCTCTTTAATTAATCAAAAGGTTCAAATTCAAGGATGATCTTTATTCTTTACAAAGCCAAAGATCCCTTATTTATACTAAAAGAACGAGATATGCTTGTATCTTTCTAATCCTAATCTCTTAAAGAGTTGTACTTATCTTAATAATTAAAAGAAAACCAAAACAAAAGCCTAAATAGACGAAACTTGCATAACAAGTAAAAGTCTTTAACGAGCTTAATGAATCGTTGTTGAGGATGCGCTGCATCAGGTCTCCCTGGGTGGGAGAGGATTCGACCACGAATCCGGACCTTGTAGTCATCGTCTGAATCTGAACATATGAGAAGCAGCACTAGAAAGATACCCTCTGAGAATGCAATCTACATGGAAAGATGTGGGTCAAACACTAAGTCGTGCTTAAAACAACCTCCAAGAACCGCTTGCGTTTGATAACAACAAGGCAAACACGACAGAAAGACTTGAACGAGCCCCATGTGAAGTAATTCTGCCAGTTGTTGCGGAGAGTCAGCGTTCCGGCTCATACAATCAAGAGGGATGTTTGACAATGTAGAACTTGGGGAAAGATGTGTCTGATGTTCCACTGGTGTAAGTTCCTCAGCACGAAATGCAACAGCTTCTCCATGGAAATTCTCTGTACCTAGCAAAATGAATAACTCCAACGGACAATGAAGAACCAGTTCCTCGTGTCTCCAAAGGGGAGCTTTGGTATTTATGTCTCGAGTGTACGCTTGAGGACGAGACGTAGAACACATGATCATATTAGTATCCCACGACAAGCACCGATAATGGCTGAGCAAACAAGTATTGCGGTTAGATAGACTCAAAGATGGAAATTCATTGAAGCGATAAATCCCGCCATTGAACAACACTGCAATGGTGACTGACTGCGTCAGACAAAGAGCCATCATAGAGAAATTATCTACGAGTAAGCTGAAATTTCCACACGTCACGAACTTGCTTGCTTCGCAATGAATGTTACTCGAACAAACCAACGCCATGGATATGGAAATGGAATTCAATGCTGGGTTAAGAACAGCGCCGGTTCCCACTGATCTTCTCACGTCAACAGCATCTCCGGTTCCCCATACAGAAGCCCCATAACATAAATTTACTGGGAACAACATGCTTGGGAAGATCAACATCAACACGATAGGAAAATCATGATGAAGAAGCACTAGAGTCCCATGAACAACTGTTGACTCCACGTGCACAGGGTCCTTTGAAGATTCCAAAAATGAGATCTCAGAACGCAAGAACATACACCCTCTAATGCCAAACTCGCACTTACATCTTGAAAAATAAAGTTTGTCACGGTGAAACAGAGTAAGTATATGATGGCAGTGTAAAAACGGAGCCTCGAAAACGTCGGAAGCAACAAGGATTATTTTGAAAGCACCCACAACGTCCTCGCTGCTACCACGATTTGTAAACAGTCCGTCAATGTAGTACGCATATGCAGTCAACATTGAATACGCCCACAAACGATCTTGGTTGACCACCCGTTGTTCCTGAGAATTGATAAATGATAACGCACCTTGTAACGGAATAACAGGACGGAACAGTAATTGCTTCCTTGGGAAAATGTAAGGTGAAAATATAATGAAAATGTGTGTCCCAGGTGGCCGCAAATATGTAGAAGTCTCTTTATCAGCCAACGCCCAAGCAAGGGAAAACCCAAACTGAAACACTTGAAGCTGAGAACAATAGACACAACTAGAAGTAGTTTGGTCTTCCACCACTTGCCCGTTGAAAATGGCCCTTGAAACCATCACAGAAGACACCATCATGCTTATGAAAGAACCCCAATTTACGTTGATCTTATGCTTCCTTTTGATCAAAAAAAGATTTTCACAAAATGAGAGATCAAATATTTGGTGATGGTGTAACTTCTCGAAATCAGGCACAACTCCAGAGATGTATACAACATCTAGAAGTCGCCTTATAACGTACAGAGGCTGCCACAAACAAATAATATTCCACTTCGCATGTGGAAGAAGCTGCCTAAAAACCTGGTCCATTGTAGTGAACTCCTTAATTTGATGAGGGTGTTTGTTGTGAGAAACACCAACTTCGGTCATTACGTCTGTGTTGAAAGATAACCAAGTGCCCAACGGTATATGACCTTGATGAGTAAACATACCAGCTAAGGAGACGCCACGCATGCACATTTTGTAAGATAATTCCATCATTACCCTCATAACAAACGGAAGAAGCATAACCGTATGTACGGGCACACAAAGGTGCACTCGTCTCCTGGTTGTAGGGCTTTTTCTTCCAAGACACGTTTTCTTTGTATTGAGGAAGAGGCAAATGTAATTTGAGACCCTTCTGCTTGTATCAAAAGTTCCAACGCGAAAGAAAAACTTAAAGTGATTGATGGCGTCTATGTCTTCCTCGCAAACCTCACATGGATGATAAGGTAAAACTAAGGTTCCGCTTTCTGTTCCAAAAGACCTATTCAGAAGCTCCGTCTTTGAACTGTATACGTAGATGCCTTGGTTCTTTTGAATTGTCTCAAAGCTAACTTGGAAATCTTCTCTTGGTAATCCACATTGAGAAAGAAATGCGAGATGTTTTGCGTTCCCAATCACTTTGACTTCAATTAACCTGTTGTTGTTGCCGTCATTTGCACCATAGCTCCGTTTGCAGAACAAAATTTTATCTAAACAAAAAAAAATATCGCCTTGATTGTGACCTGGATGTTTGTCATCCTCATCGTAGATATTTGACATTGGACCACAGAAAAAATCTATATCGATCTTGTCATCTTTGTAGCAGTCTTCCTCTTCACGACCTCGATCTGGGGGTTCATAATTGATCCGCCAATTACGATGTGCAAGGTGATTACAAGTAACCTGGTTTCTCGTATCCATATACGCATCGTCATTCGGCATTACAATGTTGTTGATCACCTGAACACAAATTTTTGGTCCAAGTTTGATAGAATCCATCTCTTGAATGTCTATGAAATTGATGTAGTGTTCCTCGACCAACACATCAAAGGTTGGATATGCCTCAACGAAGTCATCAAATACCGGATCATCATTCTCGTACACATCAAAAATTGGATCTCCGATAATATCTTTAAATTTTCGGCCATAAACATCATAGATAGGTTCATCAACGATGTCTTTATCACGATCAGACTCCTCCTCTAGTTCACAACATTGCTGAATCGATTTACAAGTTGAAACCTGGAATTTCTCCAGCATGGCAAAGAAGGTCTGACAAAGCTCTGCCCATTCGTCAATACGGCTTTCCTTAGCTTGGAAGTTGCAGAGATGTTTCGATGACATGATTGGTATAGAATCAATTGACAGAATCGTTTGTCTCTGATACCAACTGATGGAGCAGCGGAAGCTAATTAACGAGATCAATACGAGCACTCCTGGAGAACTCGAAACAAACTCGGATCTTGGCTTAATCGAATAAGATCGATAAGTCAATAGGTTAAGAGTACTCCTCTTAGTGCTTAAAAAGCTCTTTAATTAATCAAAAGGTTCAAATTCAAGGATGATCTTTACAAAGCCAAAGATCCCTTATTTATACTAAAAGAACGAGATATGCTTGTATCTTTCTAATCCTAATCTCTTAAAGAGTTGTACTTATCTTAATAATTAAAAGAAAACCAAAACAAAAGCCTAAATAGACGAAACTTGCATAACAAGTAAAAGTCTTTAACGAGCTTAATGAATCGTTGTTGAGGATGCGCTGCATCAATATGGCTATCTAGTTTTCAATAAAACTTTTCTTTTTATGGCAGATCAATAAAGCTGCAGGGATCAGACTCTAGCAACAGGTCAGGATCAAGAGATTGATGAAAGTGAGGACGAGGAAGAAGATGTAGATGAGCATATCTACGGTGAGAACGATAATGAATCTGAATTAAGCAGCGACGATGGAAAGGATAAAGGTAATGATTCTTTGTTTCATGTTTGGCATATTGGTTTTGTGGACCAAATAATTTTATCTAAATTCTTGCCTGCGGTTTTACTGTCAGATGACACCTTGATGGAGGAGATGTAAGCTAATAAGTGAAAAGAAGAGAAAGGAGCTTCGCTTCTTCTCACGTTTTTGACTTTCCGAGTTTTGTTGCCTACTAGAATATGTATTTTTGAGGGGAAGAGATTTACTCATTTCTCGTTGCACAGAATGATGCCAGTAAACAAATCGCTTTTTGTCGAGTGAACAAGACTTTTCTTATAATTGAATTGAGAAGTACCCTGAAAGAACGAACCAGATTTGTTTTATTTTCATTTGCTCTCTGCTCCTTACAGATGAAACAAAACTTTTGTTTAGACCCGAGTTTGCATAAATTGTGAGAGTCGCAAGCAATGGACCGGTACAAAGAACATACATCAGACACATGATGAATCGGAAGTTCTCTTGAGTACTAAGAGTTACGTATTAGTGTACCAAACCAAAAGGCCTTGAGCCACTTTCACATAGCGTTTACCCTTCTTTAACTTTTCATCTCGGCTGACCTTCTGGGATCCGGTTCTTCAATTGCTTTAAGAAGATCATCCCATGACTTTAGACGAACAAACGTCAACAATCTCCTCCCGACAAAATCGCGTGTGGTTCAACACAAGAATTCCTGCGAGAGAACTTCTATGTTTCGCATTCGCCATGGCCACCGCTCAAGCTCTCATCGTGTTCATCAACACGAAGGGAACTCCGAGAGTTGGACTATCCCCCATTCTCCTATCTCCCACATGTTATCGCTTTCCAGCTTAAACTCAAAGAGATGCTCGCTGGAAATCACATCCGGTTTGACTGTGAATATGTACAGATGCTCTGGTAAAGGCGAGAATATAGCATGACCATACATGCCATTTCCATACGTAAGATCCACTTCCGTCGAGTTCTCTTTATAGCAAGCGTCATCGTCACCTTTATAAACCAGCAAGATGCAAGCCTTAAATCGCATGGATGTAGTAAGAGGCCTTTCATTCAACTTAATAGTCAATGGACCCCCACCAGTCTTGTACACCTGGTAAGACCGCACTTGTTCCACTAGTCTTGATGACGAGGTCTCTCGCCTCTTGATTCAGTTTGAAGCAGTTGTCAAATTTGAGCCGAACATATGGACTGTGAAAGGAGCACTCTATTCTCTCCAGGGACTCGCAATCTCTTGCATCTACGAGATAGATGGAATCCGAAATGGGTGGGAGTGATACCAACTTTCGGCATCCCCTGAGCACGAATTCACCCAGACGAGAGAATTTCTTGACCCACGGAGGAAACTCTTGTAATTCCGTATCGCTCGAGTGCAGCCATGTGATTCTTTCAAGAGCATGAGGGAATTCCTCGAGGTTTTCAAAGTATGACATACCCAACTCCTCAAGACGAGGCCATGACCTGATCGAGGGCGGCACTTCATCTATTGCAGTTCCTCTGAGGTCGAGAATTCCAATGTTTGTGGAGATCTGAGGAAAACTTTTCAAATTGGAGCATCCACAGAGATCAAGTTCATGCAAAGATTCCAAGTTGATGTCGGTGGGAAGAGCCTCTAGCTTACCGCATCCTTTCAATGTCAACGTCCGCAACTTCTGAAGGTTTCCAATAGAGAGAGGAAGTTCCACCAGATTTGAGCAATTACTAAGATCCAGCTTCTCAAGATTGGTGGCATTCCCAATATAGGACGGGAGCTCCAACAGATTTGGGATTTCACTCAGATCCAGTTTCCGGAGATTAGCGGCATTCCCGATAAAGGAGGGAAACTCCACAAGACTTGAGCATCCACCCATATCTAATTTCTTGATTCTAGTGGCATTTCCATCAAAGGAAGGGAGTTTGATGAGACTCGAGCAACCGTGAAGATTCAGTTTCTCAAGGTTATTAATATACCCATTAGTGGACGGGAGTGTCACCAGGCTGGAGCAACCATTCAGATTCAATTCCTCAAGGTTAGTGGCAGTTGAGAGGTCAGGAAGCTCCTTCAAGTTTACAGAATCACTCAAATCCATCCACTTTAGACTTGGAAGCGGCTGTACAGACAAATAACAACAACATAGATGAGAAAAAAAGCACATAAACACAGTTCCGACTGTCAAGATCAGTCTTTTTGTTATCAAAGCTAAAAAACTGTACAAACACACAAATGATAGAATTCGAAACAAAGAGAAAGCAATAAATCAAAATTTACTTACTTTAACTCCTTCCCACAACTTTTCAAGATTGCTTTCACACATGACTAGTTCGACAAGGAACTCCAAGTTCACAGTAGAAGGCAAACATGTCATTGGAAAACGACTCCAATCTAGCAATCGGAGTTTACGAGATAGATAGTTTAGAGCTCTCGATAATTGCAATGTATTGCCGCCATAACCACTGAAACTTAAGAATTGGAGATTAGACATTCCTTCAAAGGCCTTCTCACTTATATCTAATTCTTTCCCCATTTTGTTGTAGTTGAAACTTATGCCAATGACACTTTTACTACCCTGAAAAAAAGGAAGAATCAAAAACTAGAGTTTGTTAGTTATCAAATAAAACTAATTTTGTAGGGAAGGCAACGAAAGACTAGCATCAAAACTTACTCTTGCATCACCAGTCAGTACTTCACAAATCTCTCTTTCATCGTGCAGGAACTGGCGCTGTCCAGGCTCATCAATAGATTGTTTGCAAACGATTTCTCTACCTAGTTTTTCTAGCAAACTGTGCATCTCTATATATCCCAAGTCAATAGATATGAGAGATTTCTCAGCTAAGACGTTAAGTCTTTGCCTCACTTCCAAGAACTTCTTTGCAAGATACTCTTCAACTTTGTCAACCCTTTCATAGCTGAACAAGCAGGCTAAATGAAGAAATAAAGATTTATCTTCATCATCTAAAGCATCATAGCTGAACTTCAAAATGCTTTGAATATCAGAGTTTAGGCTACTCTTCAATCTTGGTAGTGAATCTATCCACTCTTGCTTGGACATTCCCCGAAAGTAGGAACCCATAACCCTAAGCCCCAAAGGGAGTTCACCAGCAAGTCGTGTAACTTCCCGAGCAAGCTCCTCAAAACCATATTTAGGGGACTTTTGACCAAAAGCATACATGCACAAGATTTGAAGAGCTTCATCAGTTGATGGAAAATCCACCTTGTAAATATGGTTAATCCCATGTGCTCTAAAAAGTCTTTGATCTTGTGTTGTAATGATAATTCGACTACCAGGACCAAACCACCAAGTTTCTTTCGCCATCGCATCTAGTTGTACTGACTTGTCCACGCCATCAAGAACGACAAGAACTTTCTTGTCTTTCAACCTATTTGAGGCAACTCCCAAATGAAGAACCTCCATATCCTTATGGTTGGTTATTCGAGACATAAACTGTTGTTGTAATTGCAACTTAACGCCATAGTCATCGGAACAAGGTCTTGTATAGATTGCTTTGATATCCTCCATAAAGACACTCAGTTGAAATCCGTCAGAGAGTTGGTTGTATGCGACTCTAGCGATTGTGGTCTTCCCAATCCCAGGAGGACCCCAAATCCCAATCATCCTCACCTCATCTGACTCTAGGCATAACAACGGTTCCATCTTTTTCAAATGAGCTCTCATCCCAACGAACCCGTCGAAATCACTTGATGGTGTGAAATTGTTCAGCATGTTGGAAATATCAGTGGCGATTTGCTTGATCATGGCCGCTTCATTATCCCTAACAATGGAGGAGATCAATACTTCCATTAGAATAACCATGGAAAAATCACACACACACATTAAAAGAAGGTATTTTTCAAAAGCTACAAGTGGGGAATCAAAAGAACTAACCAGTTGCTTGAATTTGAATGATAACCAGCGATTGTGGCCACTTTTGACAGAGCTTGTCTCCATCTCTCAGTGTCCTCCCTTCTTCTACCAGCACAAGTTTTTCTAAAGACTTTTCCAAAGTCTCCTTGCAGCTTATTAACTTCAGACGGATCTACTTTATAGAAAATGGGAATCACAGTTTGACCCAACTCTTCTCTGCACTTCATAATCTCAACCAGCTCCTCAAGACACCATTTTGAAGAAGCGTAGTTCCTTGAGAGCAAGATAACTGCGATCTTAGACCCTCTAATCGCGCTGATGAGCTCGGGACCGATAGATTCTCCTCTTCTGATCTCGTTATCAATGAAAGGAGTGATTCCTTTTCTTTGAAACTCCGACTGAATGTGACTGAGAAAGTCTCTGCGGACATCTTCCCCGCGGAAGCTGGGAAAGACATGATGTGTCCAGATGCGAGGAGAAGAAAGTGGAGGAACTGGTGAAGGAGACAGAGAAGATGAAGGTGAAGAAGACGAAGAAGAATCCTTTTCTTCGTTATCCTCATGGAATCTGAGTTTTCTCAGAAGAGCCAAGAGCCCAACTGCAGCAGCAACGGTGGTGAGGAAAAAAGAAGAATCCATTAATCAGTACGATGGAAAGAGCATCAACTATTACAGATGTGGAATAAGGAATTATAAAAGAGGCTTTTGTATATACATCGAACACGGAACGTTGACTCCGTTGACTTGGAAAGTTGAAACTAGCTAATTCCTCGATATTTCCTCACAGAAAACTACAAGGACGACAGTAACAGAGAGGTCCTACAAGAGCAACTAGCAAGAGAGGCGGCTTCGAAATAAGAGATCCAAGAAAATACACAGCAAACTCTTAAATGTTGAAAATTAAAAGAGTCAGAAAGCATAAACAAGACAACTGAGAAAACACACAACTTTTTTTGTTTGTAAGAAAACAATTAAAGGAAAGAACGTAGAAAATCATACGAACCTCAAGCAATAATTCAAGTAAGCATTGATCAAAAACCGAGTTTCCTGGATTCGAAAGAGGAACGCAAACGTGTCAAAATACTTACAAGGATGTTCAGCCCTCAAGCCGATCGTCTTGTCTGTAAAATCGAGCATTCAAAATCGTAAGGCATAGGGACAAAGCGTGAAAATATCCAGAAAAATAAAGATCGCAGAATTAATGCAGGGTTTTGAGCCCGGCGTACATCGAACACACAACTTTGTATCGTCATTGACATACAACAAAAGTTAACTTTTGAATTAAGAAAATCTATCAGACCAAGAAAAAGAAAATCTAAAAGACTACAAGAGAACTCTGTCTACAATTTTGCGATTTTAGCTCTCATATCTTATGCAATATAAATATTTATTAATACAATTCCCTGTAAATGTTATCCACATAAAAAGCACAAGAACATGAACAAGAAGATCAAAGGCTTGCATCAGCGTTAGAACCACCGCCTCCTCTCTTGTTTCCTGTTGTGTTCTTCAGAATCTGCATGCACCAAAAACAACCCAAAACTTGTTAAAATACATAAAAGCCCAACACAACGAATCTAACTTTGCATTCCCATTTTCTTTACCACTTGAACAGCAAACCCACAGACATAACATGAACCAAGCATCCATATCGATCACAATGAATGAGCATTCCAAGAACCATTAAATAATCTACATACATGTGTAGATTAATCTCAAGCTTATCTTAGCTCCTTAGTCATTTAATTTACTAATCTACTTGATGATTGGATCATAGGCTATTCATTGTTTTTTCTAGTAAATATGATATCTTATACTAACAAATTTCAATCATTGACATAGCAGACTAAGTCAGAGGTGAGATAGATAGATAAAACGTACATGTCTAAGCATCTGGTTCTCGTTCTGCAAAGTAGAGAGTCTTTCTTCAAGCTCAGAGTTTTTGTTCTCCAAGTCTTTCACTCTGTTTTCCAACTCACTCAAGTAAGCTTTTTTCCTCTCTCTTGCTTGCTGAGCTGAAACTCTATTCCTCAACAACCTTTTCAAGAAAATGACGAAACAGCCCCATCACGCAACCTTTATTTACCCCAAAATCACCCACTAAATGGGTAAAAATGTAAAATTCGGGCGAAGAAAAAACACCTCTTTAGCCGCTTCGTCTCTTTCTCCGCCGGACTCCTCCCTCGCTTCCTTTGACTTTCTCCGACCGTTATTTGTGTCCGCTCCTGACCGGTCGCCGATCCAGATTCCCGGCCGGAAGTCTCCTTTCCGGCAGCTTCTCCTCCAAACTCCGGCACTCGCCGTATCTCCTCGTCGCTTTCAATTCCTGATAGAAATTAAAAAGGAGAGAATTTAGGCGAATTTTTTCTTAAGATGGAATTAAAAGTTGCGGATCTTCTCGATCTCGAGAATTTTGTCGGACAGACTTAAAATTTGCGGACCCAAGTGGTAAAACCAATGATAATATACTCTATATCCAATGCATGAGGCTGAAAATGAATGAGATCAAGCGTGGGAGATGAAAAAATCGAAAATTTACCTTCTTTGACCTCCAAATGCGGAGCAGAGCTTGATGATCTCTCGCTGCTTGATGGTAAAGAGCTTGCAGCTAAAGAGCTAGTCGCTTGTTCCTGCATTTTCGTACTTTTTCTAATCTCCTTTAAAGATAGAGAGAGTGTTTGGATTTACAGAAGTTGGTGATGAGGATAGAGCAGGAAAAGAGCGGGACTTGGGATTTTACAGAACTGGGAAGAATCTAATTGCGAGTCATTCTGGGAAGGAATAGATTAGTGTGGTCACAGCCGTCTGATCTGAAGAGAATCGGACGGATATAGAGAGTGAATCGTGGAGAAAGTTGAACCTTGAGGAAATTCAAGGATCCGAAGGCAAATGAGATGGGAACGTGGTGTGAGACGAACCGTGGATCTTCTTACCATCTTACGGTGAATAATGGAAAGCCAATAGGGAAAGTGGACCCCATGTCTGTCCTTTGACAGAGAGTCTGGCCATAGTTCTTTTCATCCTGCCACATGGCCCACGCCTAGGACATTGTTTTCAAAATTGTTTGAATATGAAAATAATTTCTTTTATTTTTCTGTGCTTAATGGAAACAAATTAAATATAAAAAAAAAACAAATTAAATCATGCATGCATTAAACACACGAACCGGATTCAATCAATTTATCTCCGAACCGAACCAGATTCATTTTCGATATGGACCAAACAACATTGAAAACTGAAATTTCCACGCCTAAATGATATACTGTAAGATATTATTACAGTATTACACATGAACATGTGAAGACCTGAAAACTGAAATCAAAGAAATCCTAAAGAACATATAAGCCACACCATTAAACAGAATCTACTGATATGAACGTATAACCAAAATATGTCCATGACTATGTTCATGAGCTCCTGAGAATGCGTTCTGAAAGCAACTCATCTCCCATCATCTCAATGTAAACATTAAATCAAACGGGAGCTTGATATGGAGCTCGCTTCTCTGGAACTCCATCCTCTGCTCTTTTATCTTCGAACCACTTCAAAACTCGCTTCCTTGGAAGATTGGTCACTTGCACAATGCTGTTAACCACAGCATTCTGTACATACACACCATTCATAAATTCAATGTGAGATATAGAACATTCAGCTTTCACAGAATTGATCCACAGTGTTAAGGAGCAGTCCTTACAGTGGGTCGTTTTGATCTTCTGTAAACTTTTTCTAGTGTTTCAATGTGAGCTTTCTTCACTCTTTTCTGAGCTGACCATCTCTGTTGCATCACATGGACTGCCTCTTCTTTTACTTTTTCCTCTGGTTCGACCGCAACACCATCTTCAGCCGATGATGATTCCACAGGAACTGGATCAGGTGAGGAGTTTTCAGGTGCTGCTACTGGCGGTTTTTCATCTGGCAGTGTAGCACTTAGCATCAGAAGCTTCGGAGGCGGGTCACGTAGCAGTTCGAGAACATAAGCCCTGTCAAGACAAAGCTCAGCTGCCAGATTTTTTATCTGCAGAACCACAACAAAACCATCCTTTTAACAATGATGCATTTGAATCAGAGGAACTCTGCTTAAGTATGCTTCACACACAATGTGTATATAGCGATGAAACTTACACTAGTTTTACGGCGTCCAGCTTTCAATGCATAAGCCAATCTTCTGAGTTGCCAATTCTTCAGCTTAGTCGGTCTTTCATCTTCTTCGCTGTCGTCATCTTCGACGTCATCATCATCATCTTCATCCTCAACAACATCACCAGTAGCTGAACCGAACAAATCGATGCCATCAACATCGTCACCACCACCCAATGCTTCAGCTAACTCTGCTGCTAGTGCATCCAAGTCTTCCTCGCTTATCTCCTCATCATCAATTGACGATTTATCATTGTTCAAGTCTTCTTCCAGTAGATTAAACAGTGCCTCAAATGGATCCTCCTCCTCCTCACCTCCTCCATTATCATCTCCCGCGAAACCTTTCTGCCAAAACCAATGAAACCGAAGGCTGAGACCAAATCAAAAAGCTGGAAACTTTAACTCATAGATTCACCCATTTCATATATTGACGACTATTGCTCACACTGTATCAAAATTCTAGGAAATTTCAGCAAAGCAACTGCGAAAATTCTCATTTTTACGACATAGAAGAAAATGATAGTGAGTTGTGTGATCTTGCTTACCTTTTTGTTCCTCTTTGGGGACGAAGAAGACGAAGACACGAATCCCTTCCGATTCTTCCCCCGAGCAGAAACAAGTACAGAGCGAGAAGGACGAAGAATTGGAATTGATAGAACACAAGGACTAGATTTCTGATTCCAAAACAGAAATCTACTGGAGGATAAACCTGACGACGAAGACAACGGCGGAGAGTGAATATGAAAGGCGACGCCTGAGGAAGATAGCGCAACCACCATAGCTTTTATCATCAAACTGTTTGCTGTTTTCAACAAAGGAAGTAAACGGATTTTATAAGAATCGCATGCATCTTGACAAACGACGTCGCTTTTTCCTCAAAGATGAAAAAACACTCAGCTGTTTGTGTTTACAATATAGCAAAGCGTGTCGTTTATAGAGTATTTTGATTGTTTTTTTTCCTCGTTATATCGCCTGGTTTCAACGGGTCCACTCTGTATCTCTCTCCTAGAGAAGAAGCTGATCTCTCTTTCTCTCTCTAAGTTTCATTTTCTTCCCGAGCTTGATAATGGCGAATCCTGCGCAATCAAAGGGATGGATTAAGAACTTTACTTCGATGGCTTCATGGATTTACTTCCTCTTGATTATTCTCCAGATTCCTCTCTTCAGGTAAATTGATACTAAACAAATCTCTCACCTGCGTAATTTCGAACACAAAATTTCGTTTTTTTAAACGAGAGATGCTTCAATGAATCCGAGACTTGAGCGTCGCGAGTCTTTCTCGTGCGTTGGTGTATTGATGAAAATTTCATTTTAAAATTCACTTTCAAAATTCCGCATTTTTTATGAAGTTTGTTTTAGTATGCATTAGCTACTTCTGGATCTCTCTAGATTAAGAAACTGTAAGCTAGTTTTCATCGCTTACTTCTATGGATCATTTCATCAATAAGGTCACTCTCTGGTTAATCTGACTTGTATCACAACCTTGAAAACAGGGTTCCATGTAGATCTGGAATGTGTATGTCGCCGATCCATGTGACATCGTCTCAGTTGATATCTAGTGAGATCTTTCCTGTTCCGGTGATTAAGGCTCTCCTATACCCTGGTGCTATTGTCAACGGTCTTGCCACGAACATGACGTTTCCAAAGTGGGAAAATGTGTTAGATATTTACAATCTCACAAATGTGAAAGAAGCATCTGCAGTGACCGATCTTCAGCGCCTAGAGGTTGGGTTTTTTCCATCCCGAGTGATTCATCATTTGTCCTGACTCTTCCCACTAAGAGACTCACAAGTGAATAATATTGGCCAGGTTCTAGCAGGGAGCTACTTTTCTGTAGCTGGGGCGTTTGTGGGTCTGCTAAAGCCCGGTAGGATGAGCATGTTTGGGTCGTTGCTACTAGTTTGGGGACTTGTCAAAGAAGGGATCTTAGGGAAGCCAGTGAATACCGACCCAACCAGAACCGTGTATGTGTACCCGACCATGGTGATTGCCATGATCTGCGCTTTCTCTATGATAAAGTATGACTTGAAGAAAGCCACGAGGGCGGCTCCTGCTCGTCCCGTTGCTAAACCTCTAATGAGCTCTTCAAAATCTAAGCTGAAGTGAGCTTCGACCGTGCGGTAGGGCTTGTTGTCTTGTCTTTGCTGCAAATGCCGTGATAGGAGAATGACACTGTCACACTCTTAAACCACGTGTTGTTGGCACTCGTGTATCCTGAGTTCTGTGAGTTGTTAGTTTTGTGTACACTTATCATTTTCAGCAAAATGAAATCCTATTTTTCTTCTCTTCTCTTCTCAGAGGTGCGATTAATTTGGTAAGGAGAACTATAGTAACTAGACTAGAGGGTTTGTAGTGAATTGTAGCTGCAATAGCTCAACTACTGATCTGAAGTGAGTTAAGTTGAGAGTTGCAAAACGGGAGTTAGGAGAATCTGTGGTGTATCTTTGAATTTTTCATTCAGAACAAACAACATAACAATACAGCCATGAAACAAGAATCATATATTACTTTTGTCTGTATTCGTTTTACAAGAGCTCTTACGTACAGAACCTCGCAAGGTGGTGAATACTGTACTTCTAAAAATGATATGATAAAATTGCATATAATTTATTATAGGCAAGGAGGGGAATGTGACAAGTAAATGGCCTAAAATCACTAGCGCCATATAATAGCTACAGAAAAACAGACGGACAAAAACTAGCACCGAAACAAACACTGGGAAACCATTGGTCAAAGAGACCATGAAATCCAGTGTCTGAAACACTAGGGATGTGATCAGCGATCTTGGCTATGCTTTAGTTTCCAGTGATTTAATCAGAAGAACGCAATGCTCGGTTTCATCTTGAGAAAATTGATGCGACTCTTTTAGGAGATTTCAGCTTTGCCACGCTCTTGAACTATCAAAGTCATGCAGAATCAGAACCAGTTCCATCACTACTTTGTATTCTTTCACATTCCTTCAACGGTGTTTTATAAAGTAACTTACCTTTGGTTGGTTGTATTTCTCGCGGGTGGCAGTGAGGGTACATCCACTGGTGTTGAGCTGCAAATCCTCCATTGCAAGTACTGCGTTTTTCAGCTCGGCTACCTCATATCTGGTATAGTGCTGCAGTGTAGTGTTCTGTAACCAATAGCATTCTTTTATCAGGCAAAATATCAAAACATAACAAAAAGTTCCTTTTTCCAAGATTTGTGGAAAGGTGAGCTGACCCAAGGATGGTCAGTTTGGTCGAGTGTCCATCTGGCTAGGAAAACAGCTGAAGCAGCAACTAGTGATGGCAGGAACCTTAGAAAACTATATTCCACGAGAGTCAGTTCCGCGAGATAGTTTGCTAAAAACTCCAGTTCGACGAGAGGCACCTGCATAAAATTTACAAGAAAGAAGGAAGAATATCAGATTCCAAAGTTTCCCATGGTAGTGAGAGATTGATGGAGAATGGTTCAATTCTTAAAACCTTGTGAGAAGCTTGAGCTGCTCTAGTGAACCGCCTGAAAACCATAGTGTTCAGGTAAGATGAAAAATGCGTTGAACTATTTTTAAACTAAGCTGGGAAGATGTGATGTGTTTACCTCAGAAAGGTTTTGGTGGTAGGAACCGATAATTTAAAGTGCACAAAATTTAGAACTTGAATCTCCATGCTTAGCACCTGAAACACGGTTTTTAGTTTGCGTATCTTTATCAAGAATCTATAGACATCAAAGACGCCGAGATATGTGTAATTTGAATGTTAATTACTTCTGGTCTTGTGTATGTATTGGCCGTAATGAAGCAAAAATCCTCCACCCGTGGTGCGCAAAGCTCTTCGTATTTTCTACATGGCTCAACACAAAAATACAAGGTAAGAAAAAAGTCCTAGTCTTTCTCTAATCAACAAGTATACTTATATTTCACTTTCGCGCACACCTTGTGATGAAATGCTATTCACGCTATTACAACACACAGAAAACAGCAAAGTGCAGACTTACGAAGCTATAAGCATGCAAGTGACACCGAGGAGCTGGAGCCTATGCCTCTCAATGTAACTATGGGACAGAAACCGATCAATAAGATTCACTGTAAGGTAAAGCGTATCTGGAACCAGCTTATAGTCTTCAGAAACCTGGAATAAATATCACGCAGAAATGTGTTACTCAAAATGCTTCTTTAGTTCGTGCTCGCAAATTTCAAGCAAAGTATAGGAATGTTCAGTATCCTTTACAACAAGAATCATGGTAAGGTGTTGCCTCTATTTTATATATATGTGCTAAGTTTGAAGGAAACTAACCTCTATAAGCCAGTCGATAAGAATTTTTCTCATGCCTGGGTCAATATCTCGCTGCACAGACTCCATATAATTAGCCAAGGGTCGTTGTTGAAGCTGCATGAAAAGAGGGGTTAAAACCCCAAAGTCTTTATATGAAGGTTTTATAGAGACTAAAAGAAGTTAATCGTGGAAAGATGTAAACCAATATGGATCATGTAATTAAAAAAAACCTCTGCAACATGTATGTTGTCGTATATATCAGCAGCATAAAAGCTACAAGACTGGGGATCTTCGACGTTGGAATCAATATCTACAACTTGAAGAAATCCCATGACACCAGATCCGTCTTCTTCTGCACAATCCAGTAAAAGATACATACCTTGAGTAAGTATGGAGAAATATACACTGTTGTATAGAGTTCACCTGCTTCAACCCTTAACAGCACAATTCAATCGATAATGCTATTAATATTTCATCATTTTGGAGTCCAATGATTGAGCAAGAGTTGCATTATATTCACTAACACTGCAGTTCTTACGTTGCTCAGTGATTTCTTCATCTTTAGAGTTTGAAAGGAAGGCATCTCTGGATTCAGCCATCCTGATCTTGGACAAATCTTCAGCTAGTTTTGATTTTTCTTTATGCATATCTACCAGAATTTCCATGGCAATATTAGCATCTTCCTTTGCTGCTTCCTTACACTCTTTTACACATTTTCTGCTAGCCTGCAATTTGCTCTCAATAATAAGCATCCAAAGGGGAAGTTTGAAGGCTATATAGCAATCATGAGAATGAAAACATAGCATCTGATATTCTTTACCTTGATGTTGCCTCCCTCCAGGAGGTCTGAATAAATATTTCCTGCAGAAGTATTACTCACATCCTTAAGTACCGCACGCCTCTTTTGCTGGTAAACCAGAGGCAGGAAGATTAGAGATTATCGTCTGCTGAAATTCGTTTATGACTTTTAATAAGAACATGTTTCAGTACCTGCTTAAAAGATGGTTTTGTTGGAGGTATGGATACACCTCCCAAGGCTTTTTTAGCTCGTGATCTCGTGATTCGTACAAAACTTGCCTGAACATCTGAAGTAGAGACATTCTCTTTGTTTGCATTTGGATGCATCGAAGAAGGGCAATACATAATTTAGTCTGAAATAGCCAGTGGCTTAGCCAAGCCTGCAGGGCAAACAGGTCATAGTCATTGTATATTCCATAATTTCTCTATGCCTCCATCAAGGAGATTAGCCAGTGGTTTTCAAATGCAGCATAAATTTCAGAAAGAAACAAGCAAATAATGGAAAACGAAACGATTCATTCATACTCAAATTGATCCACAGATCTCAATTTCACATGATCCTGGCTACTGAGTAATGTCAGCTAAAGCAAGCAATCCAGCTAATTACAGCTAGCAATCAAGTTTCATCCACCTTATTCTTCATCAGAGAATCCAATTTGCAAGCTAAATAATCATTCGAAACCGAAATTATTACGCATTAGCCTTCACAATAGCATAGCAGATAGTAAAGAGGAACGAATACTTTAACACACAATCTCAGGAAATCCAGTAAAACAAAGAGAACCGATATCAACAATTTCGAGTTCGCGTGGTTAACCCATGGCCTGAAGACCGAATAGGCAGAAGCTAATACAAGCGTAAACAACAAAGAGGGATGATCTCAATCGAAGGCAAAAAAAAACATTCGCCAGAAAGATCGACCCGCCTAAAGCCCAAGCTACGATCAAATCAGATCGATCAAAACAAAGAACAACAAGCTGCGATTCCGGAAACGGAGGCGGAAAATTTCAGATAATCGCGAAACAAACCAAAAACAAATGGTGTGCAGACGAGACGTGACGATACCTGGCTCAGAAAATCGGATTATGAATTTCCGACGACCTTCAATGGCGGTCCAGAGAAGCTCACTGAAAAAATTTAAAACTCTCCAGTGAGAGAAGCAGCAACCACAATGGGAGACAGTAGAGAGAGAGAGAGAGAGAGAGAGAGTGTTGAAATATGTGTAGGTGGGGGAGAGCGGAGAGGAGCGGGGGAAGCGACTGAGTGAAAGGGTACTGTTTGAAATTCGGATTTTCGGGATAAAACCAAAATCATAAAATCATAAATCTTTCTATTTAGACAAAAGGCGATTTTTTTAACAAAAAATCTTCTTTGCTTTTATTGCGAAAACAAATTGTCTTCTTTGGTAAAATATTGCTATTATGTTTTCTATAACTTGGTCTTCGTTACTATACGCGGAATAGTGCAACTGTATTTAATTTTCTTTTATTTTGAATGAATATACACTGTATGTTGGGGGTGATTTGCTATTGAACCAGCTACTACTGTATAGAACACATTGCATTTAAAGTTGTTTACAGGATACTAACGTATGCGCCAAATTTATTTCAAATAAGTGTGCATCAGGCTTGAAATCGTTGACCTTTTATGTCCATTCAACAGCTCGCGAATACAATCCAAACAACCAAGTATCTGAGCCCGGATCAACTACAAGATACGATCAATTAGATACATAATCTTTAGCACCAATTATCTTTATCTTGAACTTAAATGTATACATTCTGGTCAATAATATTTTCATGTATATCACTTTTGAAAGAAAAACAAAATTATAATTGCATTGCGAATCTGGCTTACAAAGAAGGTAAATTTGAAAAGGAAATGAAAGAGACAGTGACTACATTAGTGGCATTCATACAATTCTTTCGTAAAAATATCATCATGTATAAATAAAATTTCAGTTAAATTAGTCAAGAAAACAATTTTATTACCAATACAACAACTTTCAATTATATATATATTTTTTTTATTCAATAATTATTTTATCGATGTATATACTATCGAATTTAAACATATATTATGATACGAAACATTATAATATAAATCATCAACTACAAACTTAAGTAAAGTATTCAAGAAATAATTTTATTACCAATACAACAATTTTAAATTATCTACATATATATTTATTTAATTATTATGTTTGTCGTTTAAACTCACGTGTATATACTATCAAATTTAAACATATATTATGACACGAAACATCATTAATATAAATTATCAACTACAAATTTAGGTGAATTTTATCTTCTTTTAATATATTTTTATTCAAAAAAACTTTATTAAATACAATATTTATATTTTTTGAAACGTTTAATTTATATAAAATTATTTAATTGAATATTTTTATTAAATGCCAACATACTATATTATGTAACTATTAAAAAATATTGCTTTACAAAATGATTTTTAATTTATTTTACATCATTTTTTTAATTAAGCTTATTAGACAGATAAAAAAATAGAGCGTTAGTAAATAGTAAATTGCATGATAATTATTTTTCATCTGTAGTTATATTAGATATATGAAATTATTAGATAGATAAACAAAAAAAATAGAGCGTTAGTAAATATATTTTTAATTCGTAGTTCTATTGGGCCAATCGACCTTGCGACTCGAGCCTAAAAATCGATTGATAGTATTTTCAGTAACTGACGAAAGCCCAAATGGCGCGTAATCGGACTCGCCGAGTATCTTATTTTCCTCGTCGGCCACTTTGATTTCAATAACGGCGGCAGAAATGAACTCTCTGTTCATCTCCCTCCGCCGCAGCCTCCCCTTAAACCCTAGTCCTCACCACCACTTCCTTCTTCATAAATTCTTGTCATCTCGCCGTTCATGGCCTCCCATACCCGTCGAGCCTCTCATCCAACGGTTACAATCACCACCCGCACCCGATGTTACATGTACTCCACCGCATCAAACCACCGCCCCTGATTTCTCACAGGCCGATCTCTCCACTATATCGAATCTTCTCGAAAATCCAAATGTAACTCCCGGTTCGAGTCTCGAGTCCGCTCTTGATGAAACCGGAATCGAACCGAGCATTCAGTTGGTTCAGTCGCTGTTCGATCGGTTAAGATCATCGCCGATGCTTCTCCACTCGGTGTTCAAATGGGCTGAGACGAAACCTGGCTTCACACCTTCTCCTCCACTGTTCGATTCGGTTATCAGTGCTCTGTGTAAAGCTCGAGAATTTGAGATTGCCTGGTCGTTGATTTTTGATCGGGTGAGAAGCGATGGAGGATCGGATTTGGTTTCTGCAGATACCTTTGTCGTTTTGATCAGACGGTATGCTCGCGCTGGTATGCAGCTTTCTTGTAGCTTCAATAATGGAGAGTAAAGCTCAATCTCATCTAGCTTAGTGAGATTTTCTCAGAGCTTTGCCTTTAATCTAGTTATGCAAATTTGCCTGTAGGTATGGTGCAACAAGCTATACGAGCTTTTGAATTCGCTAGAAGCTATGATCCAGTTTCTAAATCAGCTTCGGAACTTAAATTGCTTGAAGTTTTGTTAGATGGCCTTTGTAAAGAAGGACATGTTAGAGAAGCATCAATGTATCTGGAGAGAAGACGAAGGATGGATTCGAATTGGGTTCCCTCTGTTCGAATTTTCAACATTCTATTGAACGGATGGTTCCGTTCAAGAAAACTGAAGCAGGCTGAGAATCTATGGGCAGAGATGAAAGCGATGAATGTGAAGCCGACGGTTGTCACTTACGGCACTCTCGTAGAAGGGTACTGCAGGATGCGTCGCGTTGAGATTGCTATGGAGGTTCTTGAAGAGATGAAGATGGCAGAGATGGAGCTCAGTTACATGGTCTTTAACCCCATAATCGATGGTTTAGGAGAAGCGGGTCGGTTACAAGAAGCTCTAGGTATGATGGAGAGGTTCTTCGTCTGCGTATCGGGTCCTACCATAGTGACTTATAATTCACTGGTAAAGAATTTCTGCAAGGCTGGAGATTTATCCGGTGCTAGCAAGATACTCAAGATGATGATGAACAGAGGCGTTGATCCTACCCCGACTACGTACAACCACTTCTTCAAGTTTTTCTCGAAGCATAACAAAACCGAGGAAGGCATGAACTTATACTTCAAGCTGATTGAAGCTGGACATAGCCCCGACCGGTTTACGTACCATTTGATCTTGAAAATGCTGTGCGAGGATGGGAAGCTGAGCCTTGCGATGCAAGTGAACAAGGAGATGAATAATAGAGGAATCGATCCGGACTTATCAACGACCACGATGCTGATTCATTTGCTCTGCAGGCTCGACATGTTGGAAGAAGCGTTCCAAGAGTTTGAGAAGGCGGTGAGGAGAGGGATTATTCCACAGTACATCACATTCACGTTGATCGATAACGGGTTGAGAACGAAAGGGATGATCGAGATGTCGAAGATGTTAACCAGTGTAATGTCGTCTCTTCCTCACTCGAAGAGACTAACAGATACATACAGGGAAGTAGTAGATGCGCCGCCTGATAGAGATAGAAAGAAGTCTATATTGCATAGAGCAGAAGCAATGTCTGATGTGCTGAAGGGTTGCAGAAACCCAAGAAAACTCGTGAAGATGCGTGGATCGTCCAGAAAAGGTGTTCGTGAAGACGAGAAGTTGAAAGATGATCTAAACGAAGGAGATGGAGATGCAGATGCAGTCAGTACTATACCACCTCAGTGTTAAAATCCTTTGCAAGTTTGTAGTAAACGGTGGGTATAAATGGGCTTATAACGGGCTTATAATGTAGACTTTGGGTTCCATTTCATCTAGAATAGAACTTAAGACGACCCTTTTCATCCATTTAGAAGTAGACTTCAAGACCCATTTACATCTGAAATAGACATCAAAATCAAACCAATTTAGATCGTAATTTGTCTACTTATTAACAAATTTATTATTTGCACCCAAAAAAAATTAAGAAATTTATTATCTTATGCTATCCAAAAGCTATTATTTTTTAATCTGGATTTTGACCTTAACCACAGAATCTTTGTGATTTTTTTTCGAACTCGATAAATTAAAAACCAAAATAATCATCGACCGCATATAATTGAATTTGTACTTGATATATAAGATGGACCTGCTGAAATTCGATCACGTGCCATATACGTATGTATATATCTCACCTAGACTTGTCATATGTAAGTGGAAAACGTAAATTCGACATGTAAACATTTGGACCGAAAATTATAACCAAACAAAAAAACAATGTTGCTAAAAATTAAAAAGAAACAAAAGAAAAAAGAAAAAGAAAGAATTGAGAAGGGTGAATAAACAAGAAGAAAAACAAGACAGAGGGAATCAAAAGATGTATGGATAGTGAAAGGTCCTTCTCCTTTCAAAGCCTACGTAAAAACACAGAGGATGATGACATAATCTCTTATTATGTGTTTGAAAAATGTTGTGTAAAAAAAATTTGTCAGCGAAGGTCAAGCTGCTCTTAAAAGCAACATACCACTGAGATATCTACAGATCTGGGCCCACCTTTCATCTTCTTATTGTTATTCTAAAAAAATTTTGTATGGTTTTGTAATCGATGTTCTCAATCATGTTCATCTATCATCATCAAATCATCACTACCCAAATTTGGATTCAAATTCGGGGTGAGCGAGAAAAGGTGAAAAGGCAGCGAAAAGTAATACATTTAGAAATCGTTGACTAACAAAAAAAAAACATCTATCAAAGTATAAAAAATGGATTTAGGTCACATATCAATTTTTCTTGGAAAATATACATGAAATTTTATTTTATCAAAGTTTGTTTGAATATGTCATTAGTTTACCTGATTGATTAGCTATTAAGAAAATTTATTGTAAGATATTTTCTTAATTAGTTTGTTTAGACTGTTAATTAAACAGTAATGTTTTGGGAGAGTAAAACGAACAAAACCATTTACTATTAATTAGAATCGGTTAGGTATGGTCTTTTCAAAGCCTGCAAAAAAATATGTATGGTTTTGGTTCTTAAATCATGTTATTAAAGAAAATTATGCAGAAATATTACTGGACAATAGAGAAAATTTACTAAATTTTTTAATTTTTTAGAATCTTCTGTTAGCATTTGAACACAGTATACTTGACTTTGTTGAAACTATCATTTAATAATCATCACAACTTTCAAAATCGTTTCCCTAACAAACCTACTAGTATCAATCTTTTCTCATTAAATGTTGCCATATAGACGTAATACATAAATACATATACGAAGCACACACATACACAAATTTTCTTCTCCTACGCGCGCACACGCACATAATTATTATTTGTGTATTTTCTGAGTACTTATGACGTAAGATAGAGAGAGAAGATCTTGTCTGATAGTTCTCGTACGAGATGATCCAAAATCTGTCAGAGCTCCATCATTGTCGTCCTCGTGGACAACTGAAATATTGAAATTAATTTTTATTTATATAACCCATGTTCATTTTTCCTATTAACTGGAATAATTTTACCATGTTTTAAATAACTTTTAATTTATCCACTATGTTAACAGTACTATATAGTAGTATACCATTTCTTCTGTATAACACTTCAATTCTGAAGACAAGTTGGCAAAAGCAAAAAAATAAATGGCGATGAAAATAATATGTTGAAGTCATCATCACCACTCAGTCACAGTCCATCCATGTGACATAATGATGGCCAAATCATACACTTAAATTACTCTCTCCATTTCATATTATATATAATTTTCTACATTATATTTAATATATTTTTTTCTAACATAAAAAGCAAATATAAAAAATTAATATTAAATTAATAAACAAATAAAAAGTATTTTAAAAACATAAATAATCATTATTTTTTTAATATCTATGAAACATCTAAAATATCATACATTCTAAAACGAAAAAAATATAATTTATATAAAATGATAATTAAATATCTTAAACTGTTTTACATATAATCTGTCAAATAACACATATTCTCACCGTTTTTTTATATATGATATTTTAAGAGTTTATTTTTATTTTAAATTATATGATGTTTTCAGAATTCTATGCAAAAAGTGATGATAATTGAATAGTTTTACCTTTATATTAATTAACAAATTAAAACTTAACAAACAATAAATAGGATCACAATAGGTATTATATTAAACTTCTTAATCTGTATGCATAGTGCTAAAATATCTTATATAAAAAAAACGGAGAGAGTATCTAATAAAAAAGTAGGTTAAAATCTCCTTTAGATCAATTCTGTTAGAGGATGATTATGTGAAATTGGTATAGGCAGTCAAAGTAAATATTTGTGGACTCCATGCAAATATGTAAAGGACAAACTATTGTAGATGTCAAGAGCATTTTGGTTTTAAAAAGAAAAATTCAGAAAGGTATATTGCACCAAAATTTAGAGAGCACGACATGCATTCATGCAGCAATATTACCCAAATTTACAACACGTGAAAGTTGAAAAATCAACCACTCAACTATCCTCAACAAAAGAGAAACAAGTAAAAACTGAGAACAAGAGTGAAACAAATAATGTAATCGAATTATTATGATTTATTGAAATGAAGGTGGATAATATGTGAAGTACAGATACTACTACTTCTTAACGGCCCGTTAAATTTCATCCATTGTTCTGTTATATCCTCCGCAATCTTAACGGCGTCAAAGGCCGTTCCCAAGAGTCCTCTTCTCGTGAAACCCACCGTGTAAAGTCCATCCTCTCCTTTCCAACCGTTAGGAAACGGCGTTTTCGGCATACCCTCTTTTGTGAAAAAACTACTGTCCTGTAAAATTCAATGGATCAGAATTTTTTTAAATACAAAAATAAATGATTAAAAAAACAGAGAGAGAGAGAAAGAAAACAATATGACATCGAGAATTTGTTTTGTTGTAATTTTGGGGACTTTTAAATAGTGAAAAAAGGTTTTATTCCATTTTGCATGGAGAAAAGAAGAGTTTTGGATTGTTGTACCCTTTGTTGCATGCGTTATGTCCATATCATAGAAAGCGATGGATGATTCACTAAATGATAACACTAGAAACTATCATAGCCTATGTACCTTATTTGCGTGCATGTATATATCAATATATGCATATCCTTTATCATTTTACCATCACTATCACCGTTATTCTTGAAAACGATTTTTTTTTTTCCAATTGCATGCGTATGTTGTTGGCTCGCATTATTTCTTCATCATCACAGACATGTATATCTAATATATATGTGTATTAGTGTATGCTATTTCGTACCTTGAGCCAATCAGGCACATTACTCTTATATCCGGTGGCTAATATTATCGAGTCGAATTCCATTTCTCGCCCGTCCACAAACTTTGCTCCGCTCCTCGTTATTTCTTTCACCGCTTGCGTCACCTAAAACCGGACAAATCATTTATGTTACAAAAATAAAAATAGAAAACTCATCAAAAAAGAGCTTATTCACATAAACAAAGTACAAACGCACGCTTATAATAAAAGAACTACATTTTGACTTCCATACTTTTTATATATCAGGATGCTACGTTTTTGGTTTACATCTCTAATCTTATTGCTAAGAACAATTCACTCTACAAGGATAATAATAGTGTCAGTTGTTAAAAAAAAACAAGTATTATGAACTTACTCTAATGTGTCCGGATTGTATCAAAGATATAGCGCCGACATCAAGAACCGGAGTTTTTCCGGTGACGTTCTTGAGTTCAATTGGTCCGGTTTTAGGTCGTCGGAGGCCTAACCGGTCGGTATTGCCCAACGAAGATTCAGCAAGAAGTAGGAGCAAATTGTCTACCAGTTTAAGAGGAAACCATTTCAGTAGTGTCATTGCTATTCCAAATGTCGACAGACCCAAAAATTCTCTTGGTAATACATGCACCTGCGTCATTATAATAATCCGGTTAGTTCAGCAGATTCCATTTTTGTTCGTGTACTTTGATAATGAGCAAAATTGATTTATTACTCACAGAGTTTCTAACGACCATATGAGGCAGAGCATTGTATCTACAGAGATCCAAGCAAACCTCCATACCGGAATTTCCACAACCGACCACCAAAACCTTCCGGTTTGCAAACTCCGAACCGGACTTGTACGCGCTGGTGTGAACAACCGGTCCAGTAAAATTCTTCAATCCGGATATATCCGGAACCACCGGTTCAGCGTTTTCCCCTGTTGCCACTACCAGCCACGTGGATGTGTACACGTCATCTTGCGTCTTCACATTCCATAGACCAGAGACGACATCGAACTCTGCTGTCTCGACTGTTTTGTTAAATACCGGTTTGATATTAAACCGGGCAGCGTAAGACTCAACGTAGGAGATGAACTGTTGCTTGGAGGGGTATTTTGGGAAGTTTTTAGGGAATTTCATAAGAGGGAGCTCGCAGAAGTGTTTAGGGAGATGGAGTTTGAGACGGTCGTAGGTTCGTTTTTGCCATAAAGAAGCTAAGCAATCGGTTCTCTCGAGGACAACCGATGGTACGCCTCGGTTTGACAAACAAGCCGCTACTGCTAAACCGGACGGACCGGCACCGACGATGATCGGACCGGGAACGAAGATTCGACGATGCTCTTCCGCTCGACAAGTCCCCATGTGTCGATTAATAAGAGAGACTCAAGTAAGAAAAAGAAAGAGGATGTACTGTAAAGGAAGAAGAAAGAAAAAGCTGTCTTAATCTCTCTGACGATCACACGCACCTAAGGAGTGTCCTGTTTTAGGGACTTCTGTTGATTGTTTCTCGGGAAAAACCAAGGAACGAAGTTGGAAATTATAAAGAGATGAGGTGTGTAAATGCTAGAGAGAGAGAGAGAGAAGGCGTGAGAGAAAAGGAAAGGATGTGTGTGTGTGTGATTTTCAATGCTTAATAAATAATGATGGTTTTTATGGGTTTTTCATCTTCTTGTTGTTTGGGTACTGAGAGAGAGAGAGAGAAGTGTTGTGTTGATGTGTGTAGTGTAGGGAGTAGAGTAGGTCTAAGAGGGGGAAAATGAAGTGCAGTATTAAATTATAACCACTGGAAAAATCTTTGCCATAGATTCTATTTCTACTAGTCAAACTGGTTTTTTTCTACGAGTAAAGACTAGATTTTCTGTTATAAATGTCATTTAATCAACTCCTTTGCATTACCGTTGCTTGGCTCCACCGTAAAACCTATCCCATTAACGATGTAAGTAATTATTAACTGTATGTTATCAAATTATTTTTTGTATATTTAATTTAGACTCTCATTTGTTTTCAGGTTTTTATTAGTGTTAATAATTACTAAGGGTTCATTAATATGGGATAATGCGATCCAGTAGTATGATAAGTATTTTTTTTTTGTTCAACAGTTGTAATATACTAATTTACTATTATGCTTGAATTTATTACTATGATTGCTTGTGTGTCCAACGAAACTTTTAAGTCGACACTATTCATATTAACATATTTGTGTGTTAACTAGTGTTGACTTGAAAGTTTAAACATTTTTATTTAAATACTACAACGAACATCCCTTTTAATGTTTTATATATTCCTTCTATTTTAAAATAAATGTTATTTTGACACTTTTCACATAAATTAAGAAAAAACATTAAAAATTTTGTTTTATCCTTTATTCACATACAAAATAACATTCTTTTTCTAATTAATATATTAATATAATATAGTTTAAACAGGATTTTTGTTTAAAAAATTGTATTGGAAATACAAAACGACACTCTTTATGAAACAAAAATAAAACTCTAAAACGACACTTATTTTGAAACGGAGGAATATGATATTTGCGTTGACGTGTTTCATGATGCAGATGGATTTTAATACTTGAGATACGATCATCACATTCGTACCATTTTATACAATTTTCTAATTAATCTTCTACCGAAAGTTTGTTTGAGGTCAAGAAAGTAGAAATAGAAAGATTCATGTAATAAAATGCCTAATAATTAACATTTCTTGCTTTAACAAATGCCTATGAGGCCTTCTGACCCTGTTTCCATCATTAGTATTCATGGAGGATCATTTAAAAAAGTAAGATGAAATTATCCTTTTTTCACAACTAATTAAACCTTAAGCTAGAAGGAAAGGCGTATGTAAACTCTTTTTTGTTATTTTATTTCAACATTTTTTGGAAAAAGATCCAAAAGTCACTAGAAAGAATAATAAAACTTAAATTATATCAACAGAAATGAAATAACAACACAGGAAGAGGCTATATATATATACATATACTTTTGAAGAATATATTGATAAAATATCGACGAATATGAAAGATTTTTTTTATCGAAAGTGTTATATTTCGGCTACTTAATTGGCACAGACGAACGATAAGTGTCATCACTGCTAATATCTATCGGGAGACACATTTCTTGGCTACTAGTAAACTCGACATATCTTTTATGTCATATGTGTGATACCCCCTTATATATATGCGTGGCTTCATTATCGTGCAAAAGAAGATAATCAAAAGAGTTGCAAGAATTTTAAAAGATAACACTTCTACACTATGGTTTTGGGGTGGCCAGAGTGATAAGAACAATTAACGAGGATTGTACCAAACACATAAGTAATAAATAGATATGTGGAAAATGTATCTGTGTTGCGCATGACTGGCCACTTCTTCGTTAAATGTCAACTAATGCAGCCGACCTCCACTTCCCCTATGATCCTCCTTTGAGGTTGAAATATACTAAATACTTAGCATAGTTTATGCGTGAAGGCATTTTTTTCAAATAGACTTATTATGAATCTATTAAGGGGTCTATTAATTGTAGCAAGCTTGGATTTTTTAAAAGACACAACATCACATATATTAATAAGTCTACGACAAATTAAAGATATACTATCTCAGTATATAGATGATGCAACTAGGAGTACTAATTAACAACTTTGAAACCAAAATTATTTTGATGACATATAAAAAAAATGTGCTGATTGAATCAAAACCATAATATTAAGAGATATCATTACTAAACCAAATCCTTCAGATCTCATATTGTCATTCATCCAGGTTTTGTAGCCAAAAAATGTAATGATTGTTGCTATATATATTAACTACTGGTTTGAGATTAATCACTTTTGCCGATTGAATCTTCAATATCTCTCTTGTTGTCTTTGTGTGTGCTGCAGCAATGCTTTATTATTAATTAAAGGAAGATGAATTGTTTGTGTGTACTATATACGTAGTTAGGTAGAGAAAGAGAGATTATTTTAGGTGAAATGTATGCGCATGATAGTGTTTTAAGCGGGTCAATGATTTAATGCATGCTAAACCTCATCTCATTGATTAAGGGTTGACCTTGTATATTATGGATACCTATCATTACAACTGAGACGTAAACGATGTCATACATAGTTTATGTCTCACTTCCATGTAATTTATTGGTTAATATATTCAAATAAATAAATATACCTATTTATAATTTTTTGTTCTCTTATAACTATATATTTGAAGGTTAGCACATAGTGATTCGGCATGTATATATAGTCCTATTGAAATTTATTTTGTGCTAAATAATAGTTGCAAATATACGTTTCTTAGCGACTAGGCTAAAAATACTACCTAGATATAAGTTATAAACAACTTCAAAATTTGTAGCACTACACAAGCTTTTCTTAATAGCAGGTGTGCATTAATTAGAAATAGGCTAACTAAGAACCAGCATGACCAAGTTCAAATAGTTGAACGAAAATCATATGCTTTCTAACACAATATAAATTTCAAAATCAAACAAATTCTATAGACTGTTTATTTGTGCATGCTCGGTATAATAGCATGGTCCTCACTTTTTCTTTTGTTAATTAAAATGGTCCTAACTTACAGTTAAATAGAATCTAGACTGATGACTAAGCTGGAAGAAAAATACAAGTGTATCAGCTACTAGTAAATCTACTTTATATGCATGTTACATAGGTGTATCGATGGTCCCTTTGGTTAGACGAGGAATATTGTGGATCTTGGATAGATGATGATAGATCAATCAATATTAGCAATGTTAGATGCTTAGAGCCTCTGATTAATATAATATTAATATACTTATTAATATTATATATACTTTAGTATCATATAGATATGAGAAAATCATAATTATACAGATAATATTTTTTTTCTTTTCAAATTTCACATTTTTATATTTTAATATTAATTAAAATAATAATAATATAATATTATTGCATTAAATCTAACTAATACCAATTGAAAATGATATTAGTATATAATTTAAACTTATGCATAACAGACTTTGATAAATATATATTACAACATACAATTTTTAATTAATATTCTAAATTATTGTGTTTTTGATCTATTTTCAGGAAATATGAACTACTCACACACACTCATAGATTATATTGATACTGTATATGCCTTATGTTAAGGATTTTCACATGGATCTCAAAATCTTTAAATTGAGAATAGGTTATCATCTTTTCTCAATCTTTTATTTATTTTTAATTTACTTGTAGTATAAGATTCTCATTAAGAAATCACAATAGAGATGTTCATATATATACTTTGGATATAATGACAAGAAAATGAATATTTACACAGTAGAAAAAAGATTTTGGGTCCCAGAAAAGCGTCATCTTCCTCTGCCCTCTTCTATAATTTTCTCCTTCTGCATTTTACGACCCAATGCTCTTTGGAATTTTTCTGTCAGGCTTGAATTTGCCCTCAGTTTGTCTCATCATAGTACATGATATTAGAAACATATACGCGTGTTAGAGAGCTGAGATAGCTTAATTGGGAATTTGGGATGTATATGTTAGAATTGGACTATTACGTACTCTTAACATCGTATATAGTATTTGTAACTATAGTAAACCATATCATCACCATAAGTCACTAATTCCTTAAAATTAGTTTCATGGATTTAAATTTGGTACTAAAATATTTGTTATAAAAAAAAAAATTGTATGTCGAGGAACTATTTTTTCAGCTTTGAGTTTTAGAGGTTCAGATTAGAGTTTTGACGTTTGGATTGGTTTTTTTTTTTTGGGTTTTCAAAGTCTAGGTGTGGCCTTATATATAGTGCGAAACTTGTAAGGAATGTTTATGAAAAAAGGTTTAAGGTATACATGAAGCTTTGAAGAAACAGTTGTGTTTTTTTATAATATTAGTTATATATATACATTTTATTATTTCCCATAATACATACCTTGGTTTTACTATAGCTTTTCTTTAGTAGCACAAATTTGAGTAAAATAGAATCGTTGGTGTTATATAGATCATAAACCAAATTATATTGTCCGAGCAAGAGATAATCTAAACTTAAATATTATTAACTCCGATTTGTAGTTAAAGTTTGCTTTACTCTAATCACCGTCTATTCTTATCCAAGAAATGCTGGTTGGCATATTCAGGCCATCTTTGACGACAACTTTTCTATATTTTTCGTGTAAAACTATATTGTTTGGGAAAAATTGATATTTTTACATGAAACCTTATCCAAAATGTGATGCATTTTTGTGTGACGCATCACATCAATGTTTTTGGTTTTTTGCAGAATGAATAATGAATAAAGGTACGTAATATATATAAAAATGTCCCAAAATACATGAGGATTTCTAAAACCAGTATCCATTTTGCAAAGAATCTCCCAACATATCTATAGTCTCAAAAGTGTCATCTTATGCAAAATACCAATAATGAGACAGGGACGTACTTGTTTTGACCGTTACAGACGATTTGCATGATAAATAAATATATTTTAAAAAATAAGTCGCGAGCGTCTGTAGTCCAACGGTTAGGATAATTGCCTTCCAAGCAATAGACCCGGGTTCGACTCCCGGCAGACGCACATATTCTTTTTATTTTAACCTTCTAACAATACAATTTTTTATTTACTTCAATCTCTTTGGTTTAACATATATCTGTCACTCCAGTTTTATAAATCTTGTACCCAGTGTTATGTACCAGTTTTATAAATCTTGTTACCAGTCTTTTAACACAAACCACTCAGTAACATACAAATATATCACTTAGCCAAGAGGAGCACGAGAAAAAAGTGGCATCTCTTTCTGTTCCAATCCAAAACCGCCACGGCCAATTCCATCACGATCTAGACCTTGCTTTACACGCCCCAAACGCCTTGCATACAAAACTTGCTCAGAAACAACAGCCAATCTTATCCTCTGATACTCCTCAAGACCCAAACTTAGTCTCTCAGGTCCACATTTGCCCAAGCATTTGCCCAGCACTTCCGCATCAAGAACCGACATGTTCGTGCTTCTTAGACCATGAGGGGTCGTGGGATGAGCCGCGTCTCCAACGAGCACCACATTTCCCCAGAAGATCCGTTCTAAAGGGTCACAGTCGTAGATAACATTAAGGAAAGGATCGTTTGTTTCTTTCATGAGTCTCGCTAGCTCGGGGATCCAGATCGTCTCTGCTTCTTCATGCATCCTCTTGATCATTTCTTCGCTTACTTTCAGGGTAACAGAGTTGTTCTGATATTGTAATTTCACAACAAGGACGAAAAGAGTCAAGGAATCTACTTTGAAAAGCCATTCTAATCGAAAAAATGAAGAGAGGATTTAGTAGTCGTCACCTTCAGCTCAGGCTCTGGTTGATTGACATACCAAATCCAGTTGAGTTTCTTGTTAATAAGCTCGTAGAACACACAATGAGTCTGCGTACCGAGATCAAAATACAAGCATTTCCCAAGATCTGGATACTCTTTCTTGATTCCTCTAACCATCTCCGAGTTCTCATCCCCTGAGAAATCAAGAACACCTCTCCAAGCGCAATAACCAGAGTACCTTACACAAAGGAAACAAACAAAATGAGCCAAAATGATCCAGTCCATAAAATATCACAAAAAGAAGATCATATACTCTGATTTCAAACCTCAGTTTCAGGTTTGGCAGGAATGTTTTCCGAATCGAAGACAGACACCCATCTGCTGCAACGAGTAAATCTCCTTGGATCTCAACGGTTTCTTGAGTGTCGATCACTAAAGCCTTAACCTTTACAGTGGACTCATCTTGTGAATTGGTGAAAGACAGAAGCTTATGTCCCCAGAGAAACATGGTTTGAGGCAATGCGTTGTACAGAAGAGCGTGGATATCTGACCAATAAGCTGCTCGGAAATCGAAATTCTCGTCTCTTGTTAGAATTCGCGTCACTTTCTTCTCACTATCTGTTGCCTGATTCTACAAAACCAGCAAAACAAGAAAGAACCAAAAATATTTATAAAAATAGCAGGGCGGGAAAATTACTCTCTTATTGTTGCTATGATTCAAATTCAAGTGTTGATTTTTACCTGATCAATCGAGAGAGGCAAGGTGATATCATCTAAGAGGTGTGGATGAGGAAGCCAGGATTTGATGATTTGCCGAGCCTGAGGGTCGAGTCCGAGCCCAGCACCAGTAGGGCTCCGAGCCGGAGGTTCGGACGACTTCTCGAGCACCAAAACATCCCAGCCTGCTAACGTGAGCGAGTGTGCGCACGATACGCCTGCTATACTTCCTCCTACAATGATCGCTTTGCCCTTCTTCCTCATCTCTCACCAACTCTCTTTTTCGGATGTTTCTGCTTCACAAAATGCTAACGATAAGTTACACAGTCCAAGTGACTGAAAAGATTATAAGTATATGGGCTTCGTCTAGGCCCGAAATAGATTCTAGGCCCAGGGCTCAATCATCTGTTCTTTCTCGTTTTAGGATGGCAGTTACGGGATATGTCAAGAGGATGCTGACTCTAACATTTCTCTGAATGTGGACGTGTCCTGAGTGCTGTTGTTCACACAGACGAAAGCAAAGGGTGTTCTCTACAGGTTTGTGGCTTCTTCATCCCATTTTTGCTGAAAAGTACCAGTCGTGGATTTTTCTTACCAAACCCTCATGTTATCAAATGTTAACCAAAGATTTGTTTTCGTTTGTTGATTTTTTTTTTTTATAGCAAAGCTTACATTAATCTTGTGGGAGAAGAGGCAATAGAGAAGGCGCTGCAACTTAGTGGATGTGATGAGGAAGGACTTGAGAATATTGAAGTTTCTCGGGTTGCGTCGCCAGAAAAAGAAGGCAACGGCATGTTGGCTATCATCCCAGTTCCAAACAATCCCAAAAATGTAGATGAATTTTGATGATTCTTGATCCTTGTTTCTTGATTCTTGGTAGCAAAGTAAAGCCTCTCATTAATTCCTGGTTTGTTTTAGGTGGATTAATAAGATGGCTACGGAATAGAAAGCTCCAAGAAGAATAAGAGCACGGAGTGGAAATCCCTACGAAGCTCTTTAGCGCTTTCAACTTGTTACTTGTGTGTGTGTATTTTTTGTCTGGAGCAAGCTCACTAACCTAAGTATGATGTTTCTATCTGGATGTTTAAAGGAAAAGCCCAAAAATCATTATCTGCCTTCATTAATTCACACGAACCGTATACGATTTGATTAATTAGGTAAGACAAAAGCATTATCAATCAAGGAGTCTCAACTTGGTTAACTTAAGTTAAAAAAGAAGATTAGTTGTAATGATAAACTCAAGACTGAGACTTTTAGCTTTGTACGTACGTAGATGAAAATTGTAAGCTTGTCCTGCTCTCAAAATCTTTTCTCACTGACGAAGCTGATGAGTCTATTACTCCCTCCGTTCCAGAATGTATGATGTTTTAGATGTTTCACATATATTAAGAAAACAATTATTATTTACTTTTTAAAGTATTTTTTGTATGTTTATTAATTTAATACTAATTTTTTATATTTTTTTACCCAAAAAGTTGTCTTGGAAACAGAAATATATTAAATATAATGTAAAAAATCAATCTTTGTGGAACAAAATAAAAAACCCAAAACATCATACAATATGGAACGGAGGGAGTATTAATCTTGTGTCTGTTTCCGAGTTTTGTTATTGATCCTAAAGCTATAGATTCATGGTTATATTCTTACACATGTTCTAATGACCTCTTGGTTTTGGACCGACCTTTTTTGTTTGAGAAGTTTTTAATCCTATTTAGCTCTATCTTTATTTACCACTGAGTTTTGAGTTTCCATTCTTAAATGTTCTATCTGTCAACAACAATGAAATTCTAACAACGCTCAAGACTCTTATTGATCCCATATCTACAGATTCCTTGTTATCTACTTACATATTTAAACTTTGCAACTCAATTTTTGTTTACTAGTCATGGTGTTTGCAATGCTAAACAGGATAATGATGAGTGTTGAAGGCTCTCTTCCAAGGTTTGCTAACGAACCACCAAATATTTACAGTAACTCACAAATAACCCAATTTCATCAAAACATAACATCTGATTTTCATATTTTTAAGAAAAAAAGTTAAGTAAAATATAAGCAAATTATAAAAAAATATAATAAAAAATATAAACAAAATATAAATAAAAAATAATATAATGTTTTTTTTCTTTTACTTATATATGTTCTATAATCTATTAAAACATTCTCAAAAAACTATGACCAATAAACACAAGAATGCGTAAACAACAAAATAAATTTTTGTTCATGAACAGTTGAGCTCTTTTGTTTTCTCAGAAGAGTGTACATGGGAAGGTAACAGCCTTAATCCAAGACTACTATTGCAAACATTCTCAGTTCATATCAAGCTGAGCTCTAGCTAACAGCACTTATGTGCTTTATGGGAATGCTGGAGGCTGCTATCGTGGCACTCATATGGGAAAGGAACGACATGTCCGTCTGGAAAATTCACCCGGACATGAGGCTATTAGCTTCATTATACAGGGTAAACAAGTTTCTAAATTTTTTAAATTTTTCAAAATAACCCTTTTCTGTGTGTTGTGAGATAACATTTTAGATTGTATTATAGGGCATTGTCTCGGGATTATCATACTATATTATCGGATGAGTATCAACGGAGCGAGGCCTTGTATTTGCCAGTGCATTTAATCCACTCAACATGGTGATAGTTGCATTCTTAAGCACCTTAATTTTTTCAGAAGAGATGTACGTAGAAGAGATGTACGTAGGAAGGTAAAAGAATGAATTTCATTACTATTGAATTCAATTCAATTCAATTCAATTCAATGCTTGAGGCTGCTGTTATGGCATTGATATGGGAAAGTAACAATATGTCGATCTGAAAAATCCATTCGGACATAAGATTGAATAATAATTTCACTATTTTTCCTATAATTTTTTTTTCTCTTGACCTTCTCAATATTTGTTTTTAGTATAAGTGTTTTCAAATTTTTATAGACTGATCTAACCACTTTATAATATATATAGTTTATAACATATTTATAATTAATAATTGTTGGCAAAAAAATCAATATTTTTTTTTAACTATAAATATGATACAACTACAACTGTTAAATTAAATTTTTTTAGATTAATATATAACCTATTTTTATGACTAAATGATTTTTTATCTTCTGTTTAAATTTTATTACAATAATAAATGTTAATTATTATAAAAATTAAAATTAAAGAAAATAAAACATAACAAATCAATTAAAATTTAATAAAATTAATAAAAATGTTTGATAATATATCACAATTTTAATATATATATTGATGAAGTGGCAGTCTTAAGAAACAACAACTTATTAGTGTTGGGACTATGTGAGCTTTTAGTACAAGCCCAAAATATATTTGAGGCCCATGATATACGACCCGTAATTTAGAACATTATTTTTCTCTAATCCCATAATACGACATTTAATTAAAAATTCTCGATTTCCCCTAAATAAAAGCTTACCTTCGATTTTCCTTTCTCCGTCCTTACGACAACGAATCGATCTCTCTCTCTCTTTTTTCTTTTGGCAGTAATAGTTTTCTAGATTCTTCGGGTAGAGGAAGACGGCGATGGGAACTGGGCGAGAAGTCAGCCTATCGCTAGATGGAGTCAGAGACAAAAACATGATGCAGCTAAAGAAAATCAACACTGTTCTGTTCCCGGTTCGCTACAACGACAAGTACTACGCTGATGCAATCGCATCCGGCGAATTCACCAAGCTTGGTTCGGCTCCTTTACTTGGGTTTACTTTCTTATTTCTGCTTGTTTCCCCCCTCCTGCGTGTGTGTAATGATGGTTAATTTTTTCTTTATATGCTACATTGGTTTTGCTGATCGTGAACTTATCTAGGAATATGATTTTTGGAGTCAGATCGGATTGTGTTTTTATTTCTGTGGGATTGATATTTGCCTTATGGAACAGTACTCTCTTCCTTTAATAGGAAAAGTTTGTTGCTTTGGGGCTTATGAACTGTTCTGTGATTACAAGACTCTATACCATATCTTTTCATTACTTCAATTTTGACAGACTTCGTGCTTTTAAGATTCTTTGCGTTGCTGATCCTTGTTGTTTGCCTTTGTGGACTCACTGGCCATTGCTATAGGTGTTGTATTGCGAAATTGTGGTTTGTTTGCTTGATTTTGTCCTTTGGTAAAAGTGCTCGTTTTCTCGGAGAGATGAACTTGCTCACTGAAATTTCTTGACCGAGCCATGTTATATGATATTTAAAGCTTAGCTGTGGTATCTGACTGTCGGAGGGTGGAAGAAGACAATTTAGTTTGTGGTACCTATATAGCCTCTTTTATCAGTTTGATCTGTTCCTGTTACCGTTTCTTCTTTCGAAGCCTTGAATAGACGAATGCAGTTGTATATCTTGTCTATTGTTTGGTAAAGCTGACTCATGTTTGAGCTTTGTGTTCCTGTTTCAATGAGAATGTAGAAGAGGGCACAGTAAATGACTCAGTTGACGTTTCTTGTTTGCTCGTAAGTAAAGTATACTTGCATGATTGCTAGTTGCGTAGAACCATTTTTGATCGCTCTCTAAAGAATTGATTTTTCGAGTCTCATGCTTACTTTTGTGGAGTGACTGCATGACTGCATATTTTTTTGTACTTACTAGTCCTTAATTATATGCATGTCTGAAATGCGCGAGCCAGTTTGTTATATGATAGATATCTTGTAAAATATGCAATTATGAAGCTAAAGACTGTTAACATCTTAAATTCGACACCATCTTGTTAATATCTTTTAGTTTGAGACAGTTTTTCTTCTTTTGGTTACGTTGTTTTCTCCAGTTCGTGAGACATGAAAAATCCTTGATGTTGTAATGATGGATTTTCTTCCTCTCAGCTTATTACAGTGACATATGTGTTGGAGCTATTGCTTGTCGGCTGGAGAAGAAAGAAGGCGGGGCCATGCGAGTGTATATAATGACACTCGGTGTTCTTGCACCATACCGCGGGATTGGCATTGGTGAGTCATAAATCTGCTATAGCAAACTTGAATCCTGGCACCGACAAAACAGGAATTACATAGAAAACTCTATTTTGTTGCGTAGTTTCGTAGTTTTGATCTCGAGCACATATCCATGCCACCAAAAAATAGTCCACAGTATGTGTGCATTTCATTGTTTTACCAAAAAATTCCATTAATCGAAACTCTCTATGTCAATAACTTGTTTTTTATTTGTTGTTGCAGGTTCGAAGCTATTGAATCATGTTCTTGACATGTGCTCCAAGCAAAACATGTGTGAGATATACTTGCACGTTCAGACGAACAACGACGATGCGATCAAGTTCTACAAGAAGTTTGGGTTTGAGATCACTGATACCATACAAAACTATTACGTCAACATCGAGCCAAGGGATTGCTATGTTGTCAGCAAGTCCTTTGCTCAATCTGAAGCCAATAAATGACTTGGGGAAGCCATTCCTCCCCGGTTTGTTTGTTCTGTTCAATTCAGGGTCTATTATTAATCTTGTGTCTGTTTCCGAGTTTTTGTTGTTGATCCTAAAGCTATTCATGGTTATATTCTTACACATGTTCTAATGACCTCTTGGTTTTGGACCTTTTTGTTTGAGAAGTTTTAAAACCTATTTAGCTCTATCTTTATTTACCACTCAGTTTTGAGTTTCCATTCTTAAATGTTCTATCTGTCAACAACAATGAAATTCTAACGACGCTCAAGATTCTTATTGATCCCAAATCTACAAATTCCTTGTTATCTACTTACATATTTGAACTTTGCAACGCAATTTTTGTTTACTACTCATGGTGTTTGTAATGCTAAACAAGATAATGATGACATTGATGAGTGTTGAAGGCTCTCTTTCAAAGTGTGGAGTGTTTAGCGTGGGTCGCTTTGGCTTGCGTGCCATTTATTGATAGTCAAGACAGGGAGCTGTGTACTACTAGACTCTTAAAAACGGCATGATTTTCTAATGAGTCTCCTCCGTTCATCGGATTGACTCGTCTGTGCAATTAAGCACCGCCTCTTTGAGCTTCGAGTTCGCTGTCTTCCTCACTCCCATCCGATTGATCGATGCGGCGTTCTCGTTTCGTTGTCCAAGTTTTCTCCGACGCCGCACTCTCTGACGCCTCCACTACTTGTGCTCCCATCGTCTTCATGTGTAGTCGCCCTCTGGTAATTTCCCTCAGCCATTCTCTTGATGCGATTTCACCTAGCTTTTGCTTAATGGACAATTGGTTTGATTGTATCTAACGGAGCAGTACGGAGGTGGCCGAGGGCGGGGGAGAGGCCGAGGCGTCAAAAGTTTCTCCGATCGCCCGTACGACGACGCGAGAAGAGATCAGCTCGTCACTGGAGACTCGCATTTCCAGTCAGTTCATGACGCCAATCTCGGGTTCCGGCATGGAAACAGAGGCTCTTCACCGAATTTCGATCCTCGTCGTTACAACCATGGGCAGCAGCAACCGCCGTTCAATCAGAACTACGAATTTCGGCCTCCGCCTCCTCGAGGCCAATGGCAACAGTTCCATCAACCTAACCATTCGCCGTCCAGTGAAAGCTACTCGGCTTGCCCTCCCCCTCCGTTCTATCAAAACCAGATGTCTCGGCCGCCTCCGCAGCGGAGCTTCCGTCAACGGCCACGGTCAAAGCCCTCGGATTACCGAGAGTGGGAATATGCTAAAACGGCGCCGCCTCATGGGTCCGGTAACTTTTCCCATCTATTTTCACTTGACGCCACTTTCTGTGTGCTTCAGCATTTTGATATGTTTTCTTCTTCTTCTTCTTTTACTGCAGAAAAGTTTGTTGTTCTATCGTATAACATCTTGGCGGATTACCTTGCAAATGATCACTGGAGAAGTCTTTACTTTCACATTCCGAGGAATATGTTGAGTTGGGGATGGAGAAAGAGCAAATTAGTGTTCGAACTTGGCCTATGGTCTGCAGATATAATGTGCCTCCAGGTTATAGTTCCTGCGATTGTTTATGTATGAAAGAGACTATGGAGACAAAGCTTTGTCTTCTTTTTTATCACATATCTAACATATGTACAGTAATCTAATACTATCACTTTGCATATATCAGGAAGTCGATAGATTTCAGGACTTAGAGGAAGAGATGAAGCTCCGGGGATATAGTGGAATTTGGAAGGTACGTATACATGTACTAAATTTGGTACTTTAGGATTGGCATCATCTGCACTGACTTTCTTGGAGTAAGGATTAAATGGTATGTATCAAAGATTTGAGAACTAGGCTTCATATTTGGGGATAACTCTTTATTGTGTAAAATTGTAGATGCGGACGGGTAATGCTGTTGATGGCTGTGCAGTATTTTGGCGATCAAATAGGTTTGATTCCCTTCTTCTGCCTCGTGTGGTTTACTCTTGAATTTCATTTGGGTTCTCATTGGTATCATATTAGATTCAAGTTGGTTCACGAGGAAAGCATCCAGTTCAATCAACTTGGTCTCCGGGATAATGTTGCTCAGATATGTGTGCTTGAGGTAATCATACGTATACCCCCATATGTTGATAGTGACTTACATACATTTGCTTTTTTTCCTCTAAATTAAACTTGCTCTGCGTAGACACTGTTGAATTCACAAACAAAAGAGAATGAGGCATCTCCATCTGAAAGGTGACGTTATGAGATCTCTGAATGTTACTATCATAATTTTTTGTGATGGATAATCGCCATTCACTAGGATATGTGGCTGATTTTCTTCAGTTTCCGTAATGGAATATACTTTATGGTTGGGTTGAAGTGAGCTGCCATTTACTTTTGCAGCTGTTCCCGCCGAGTTGTCATTTGTAATATTCACGTGCTTTTTAATCCTAAAAGAGGAGACTTCAAACTTGGTCAGGTACTTTCCATTACGCCATATTCTAGTTTGTATAAAATTTACTGCCAAAGGACAATTTGGTACTCTGATTTAACTCTGTCTATAAGCTATGACCATGTAAAATGTGTTAGTTGTCGGAGATAATATTAATGAAATATTGCACTCGTATTGTGAGTCATCATCTATGTATTTATCTCTGCTGCACAGGTCAGAACATTCTTAGAGAGAGCTCATGCTGTTTCGAAACTCTGGGATGATGCGCCTGTTGTTCTATGTGGGGATTTCAATTGTACACCTAAGGTAGGACATTCTTACCTTAACCAGTTGACATACCGAAAACCACTTGTTTTGTGATTGTAACATGGATAATTACATTCTTTTACCTGGTTGCAGAGTCATTTGTACAACTTTATTTCGGAGCGGAAGCTGGATTTATCTGGTTTGTCCCGAGACAAAGTTTCGGGGCAAGTTTCTGCTAAATATAGTCCACCAAGGCCAGAAATGTACACAACAAGGTAAAGCATGAACTCACCAAGGTTTTGAACATCAGAATCTCTCAGGCTATATTCTGCCTTTTTGTTTATCGTCTGAATGATGATAGGCCTATTCAATTTTCTAGCTTTCAGCCCGCCAATAAATCTCCACAAGGCCAAGTTCAACCACGAGATTCGATTGCAAATGCTCGTATGGAAAATAACTCCAACATAGATGTTACAATTCTTGCTGGTCACGAAGCCACCTCCAGCTCTGAAGAAGTATTACCTGACGAGAATGTGGCCTCAGGTTGTAATCTAGGAAGAGAAAATAGAAAACCTGATGACTCCGGGGATCTCTCGATAGCTGAAGTTCTTTATTCAGTAACCATATCAGATCCAGAACCTCCACATGCTTCCAATGCTAAAGAATATTCGAGAGAAAAACTTTCAGCAAGTTCTGTTTTATCAGCGACAGAGAATTCTCCTGAGGAAATTGTGTCCAATTCTCATAATATTTCGTCTAGTATCTCCGCCAAGGTTGACACTTTGGCCGAGATGAAACTAGATGACTCAACATCGGACGAAGCAGTTGCATTCGCGCAAGAGGAAGAGGGTATAGGTGAAGATGGGGAAACCTTTTCGGCTAAGCTACACAATAATAACTTAAGTCAAAAAGAGGAACTTGTGACAGAGGAAGAGGGTATAGGTGAAGATGAGAAAATCACTTATAATCCGTCCTCTTGGACTCCAATGGAGATAGCAACTGCAACAGGCGACCCAGAAAGAACGACAGTTGAACACGCCATGGAACTTAAAAGCACTTACTCGGAAATTGAGGTATCGTAAATTATACAACCTCCCTAGTCATTACGCTTTTCTGCTTGCACTTGTGTTTCTCTGTGGATTATTATTATTATTTTTCTTGTTAGGGTAAAGCGAACACAAGAGATGAAAACGGAGAACCTGCAGTGACCAGTTATCATAGACGTTTCATGGGGACAGTTGACTACATATGGTAATAGCATTTGTGACAAGCCTCTTGAGGTTAAGATTATCATGGAGTTTGGGTTCTGACATATTAATCATGTTTTCTTTCTGGTTGGGGTTAGGCGGTCGGAAGGTTTACAAACGGTGCGTGTGCTTGCTCCAATCCCGAAAGAAGCAATGCAGTGGACACCAGGCTTCCCGACTCCAGTAAATTCTCATGATCTTGCTTTTTAGTTAGCCTAACTTTTGCTATTTCTCATTAGGAGGAGATGTTCTTCTTCTTTATTTTAGCCTAACATTCTGGTTTGTTACAGAAATGGGGAAGCGATCACATTGCTCTGGTTTCAGAGTTGGCCTTTTGCAGCGGCAAGAGTTGTCCGCCCAAAAGCTAAATATTAAACATGTGGATACTTAATAAGAAGCGTTATGGAAGATTAAAATCATAATAATCTTTTTTATCGGTTTCTTTTTTCGTTTTAAAAACAAAACAAGCAGGTGATGTAGGAAGATTGGGTTGTTCTTGTTCCGACTTCCTTGTGCTTGTTTTGCTTTTCGAAATTTATTTACAAGTTGTTGACCAAAACAAGAGAGAGAGATTATTTTTTAAAGGTTTAAGTATCTTCAGCTCTAGAATGTGTTCTGCGTGCTGGAAAGAACATGTGATTCTTATCTCAATTATGTGATTCTCGATTAAATAATAAAGAGAAGAGGAATGGATGAAACGAAACTGACGTTTGGAAGAGTATTATAATTTATAAGAACAACCCACAATCCAAAACATAAACGAAAACAAACTTAAATAGGTATGATATATATAGTTTAAAACATGGATTGCAAAAAGCGATTTCGGTCACAAAGACAGTGTTAGGATATCTCCTGCTCCCAAATTGTATTCTGCAAGTGACATGTTGTCCTCTAGGAATCCGGCAGTTCCTCTTAACCTGAGCATCTTTGCTGGAAGTCTGATCTCCTCGGCTACTTTGTCCTTCAAACTTGCCACGTTTTCCGATGACGACTCCACCGTGACCTCAAAGGATCGCCCATTTGGAATAGAGACCACGATTGTAAACGAACCCTGAGAAAGTATGACTGCTAATTAGATAGGGAAAAAAAAAAGAGAAAGAAAAGAGAGGACAGAAGAAAACATCACCTGCTTGTGTCGCTTTGGCTCTGGTTCCTGAGGTTTCTTGAGGGATAAGAAGACCAATTCGTACAGCAAGTCAAGTTCAGTCTCGTCAACCAGAGCCGCTTCCAAGAGTTCCGGCTTTCCATACTTGAGCAACCACTCCTGAAATTTCACAACGCCGTTCTTCTGGGCTTCCATCTCCTGTAAAGGATCCCTTTCAAGACGACGGAAAAAATCCTCAAGAACAGTAGCCGTACAAGCAGTAGGAGCATTACTATCCATATCTTCGGAATACGCAGCAACAAGACGCTCGAAATACTTGAACTTGCTATCAGTTGGATTCATAAATTCAAACCGACTGTCCAGATTCCTGCTCTTGATCAACTTCATCCCATGTCGAGCCACAAGCTGTGCTGTGAGCTTAATAGTATAGATCTCCTTGCGAGTGATCTCCTGGGTGAGTCGAATTATATACGGCCCTGGAGGCAGACCGTTTGGAAGCAGATCTTCTGGCTCGTAAGTGATCCATTCTTCCATTCTAGGATCAGCTGGTTGAAACTTGGGAAACTTGGGATCGGATGGTGCTTCACCATGGGGATGGGATGGTGCATCAAGACGATTCTTCTGGGCTTCACAGACCTTGTACTTGTAATATTCGTGATACGGATCTGAGCTCCACAAAAAACTGAATCTTTCCTCCCTCTCCGTCTCCGTCTCCGTCGCCAGTCTCTTTTCAAACTCCAACCCTCTCTGGGCAACCACTACTGCCATTCTCTCCAGATAAAACTTTTTTATTGGACATGTTGGACACAAACCCGCCGGAGCTTCACCTGAACTGTTTTGCCCCGATTCCAAATCATTCTGCGTCAAACCAGACATCTTTTCCTCACAAAAGAGAAAAAAAAAAGGAAAAACTTCTTAAAATCAGACTCAGATTTTCAGTGAACGGGAGAAAACTCAAAATTCAAATTCTTAATCTCTGAGTTTTATAACTTTTACAATTTTCTAATCCTAGGATAAAAATAGTTTCCTTTTTATTATTATCTCTGTGGTTTTTTATTTTTTTCCTTTTTTCTTTTTGTCTTGGTTTGTGCACACCATCCGTCTTTGACAAAATATTGCATCTTCAGTCACATTGTGTGGAAAGCACGACTTCGAGACCTAAAGCTTGGAAAGCACGACTTCGTCTTCCCGTTTCCAATGGCCCTTTACTTATTGGGCTCATAACGTCAACCCATTGACTCACCCATTCTCAGAAATCCAAATTCTCAATTCTGCACCAAATTAAAGATCTGTTGACTCACCCATTCTCATAACAATATGAGATTTCAAAAACAAAAACAAAAACAAAAATCAGGATAATGGAATAGGCCCAAAAAAGAAACTAATGGGTTTATCCAAAACCAAATATATCTTCAGGCCTCAACACAGATGTTCCTCTTCGTCTCTCTCTCTCTCTCTCTCTACCAATTCATCTGAATTCTGTGAAATTTCTCTCCATAACTCCATTTTGTTATTCTCATAAAAGCTTCTCCATTATCCATACTTGATATTCGTTCTCAGCACTGCAGGCGTTTTTCTCTGCAGTTATTTCGAATTTGCATGATGATGATTCTCTAGAATTCCTTGTATGTTTCATTTCATCTCCAGAATTATCGACCTTTGGAGTTGATTTTCGAGGCTTTTTCTTCATGGGTTCGGCTTCGATTGGGTATCAATTCGGATTAAGAGCTCGATTTGACGGGAACTTTAATCTGGGGTCGGATATTACTGTCTCCTCGCTTCCATGTAAAGTTGATATCTCCAGAAAGAGCTTCTTCTCAGCTGCAAGCTCCACTCACAAGGTACGGCTTTTGTCTGATTACACATTTTCCCTTTATCTCACTTATGCCAATAACACCAAAGTGCCAAACTTTTAATCAAGTTCGTATTTTGCTTCGGATTTGGATCGTATCTGCTTCCAAACTCCTAATGTAGCTTTTGATATCCAGCAACTTTCAAATCGAGCTCGGGTATGTTCTTTGCCAAATACTGATGAGTACTGCGATGAGAAACTTGAGACGCCGATACTAGACTGCATTGAAACTCCATCGCAGTTAAAGAATTTGAGTGTTAAGGTATAAAATCTTGATTTTTGTTATGCCATATGTAGTTAAATGAAACTCAAAGGGCTTGAAGTTAATAAGGATGGTTTTTTTTTCTTGTAGGAGTTGAAGCAATTAGCTGAGGAAATCCGGACAGAGCTTAATCCTGTACTATGGAAGACACAAAAGTCTGTCAAACCTAGCTTGGCTGCAATAGAGCTTACCCTTGCTCTGCATTATGTTTTTCGTGCCCCAGTTGACAAGATACTGTGGGACGCTGTGGAACAAGTAAGCTTATGTTTTGAAGTTCAGGGGATTGCTGATCTGGTTTTTATTATGTTTTGGTGGAAGAAACTGATGTGTTACTTATGGTGCGAAAATGCTAATGTTTTGTTTGTCGTTTGTAGACATATGCACACAAAGTATTGACAAAACGTTGGTCTACAATACCATCGAGGCAAAAGAATGGTATGTCTTGGGTCACTTCTCGATTGGAGAGTGAATATGATTCTTTTGGGACTGGGCATGGCTGCAACAGCATTTCTGCTGGGCTCGGTAAATTTTCCGTCACCTTTTGTTGTAGACTCAGTTGCCTATAGCTTTAGGCTTTTAGCTGATTACTCTGTTTTTGCCTTGTTTCGTTAAACAAGAATTAGGCTTTTAGCTAATGAATGCTATTTATCGCTTTGGTGTGCTGAACGTTTTATTTCTGTTTCTTAGGATTAGCAGTTTCTCGGGATATGAAAGGAAAGAGCGACCGAGTTGTTGCTGTGATAGACAGCGTGACAGTAACTGCAGGTCAAGCATATGAGGCAATGAGCAATGCTGGTTACTTGGATTCTGATATGATTGTTATACTAAATGATAACCGTCACTCTTTGCATCCAAATACGGCGGAGGGATCCAAGGCATCCATCAGTGCACTATCCAGCATCATGAGCAAAATCCAGTCTAGCAAAGTTTTTCGGAAATTTAGAGAACTAGCCAAAGTATGCATTCTCCATACTCCTCTTTGTGAAGCTTAGGTGCTTACAATGGCTGATGAACTTTAGTGTTGAACAATTAGTATTATTTTGTTGTGGATTTTGGCAGGCTATGACGAAGAGAATCGGAAAGGGCATGTATGAATGGGCAGCTAAAATCGATGAGTATGCACGTGGTATGGTAGGACCAACAGGATCAACTCTCTTTGAAGAACTTGGACTGTACTACATTGGTCCTGTTGATGGACACAACATTGAAGATCTAGTCTGTGTTCTCCGAGAAGTAGCTTCTCTAGATTCGATGGGTCCTGTGTTGGTCCATGTGATCACAGAGGAAAAACGAGATGCAGAAATCGCAAAGAGCATCGTGGTCAAAGGTATATCTCTCTGCTTATATTAGTTTCTTGACAATATATGCTTATCAAAATCTCGACTCTTGAAAGGTTTACTTTTTTGTGTCTCAGACAGACGCACTTACAGTGATTGCTTTGTTGAGGCTTTGGTGATGGAAGCAGAAAAGGATAGAGATATTGTTGTAGTCCATGCAGGAATGGAGATGGATCCATCACTTCTTACGTTTCAGGAGAGATTTCCAGACAGGTTTTTCAATGTCGGAATGGCTGAACAGCACGCTGTCACGTTCTCTTCTGGTCTTTCTTCTGGTGGTCTCAAGCCCTTTTGCATTATTCCCTCTGCATTTCTACAAAGAGCGTATGACCAGGTTTCACTTTTCTCTCGCATAGAGTAAGCTTCCTCTATTAAGATTTTTATTATAAGCAAAGGGCCCTTAGTGTGTTTGATGGTTTTCGTTAGGTGGTCCATGATGTTGATAGGCAGAGAAAAGCGGTGAGATTTGTGATCACAAGCGCAGGGCTTGTTGGATCCGATGGTCCAGTGCAGTGTGGAGCTTTTGACATAGCTTTCATGTCATGCTTACCAAACATGATAACCATGGCTCCAGCCGATGAGAATGAGCTTGTAAATATGGTTGCTACTGCAGCTTACATCACTGACCGCCCGGTTTGTTTCCGGTTCCCCAGAGGCGCCATCGTCAACACGAACTATCTCGTCCCCACTGGATTACCGATTGAAGTAAGTTCCAATCTAAGCATCAAAATCCTTTTCGTTGCGAAAACAGGCCATGGTGACACAAGAACTGTTTTTTTTTTTATCATATTAGAGTAGATCGGAAGAGGAAGAGTGGTTGTAGAGGGTCAAGACGTGGCTTTGCTCGGGTATGGAGCCATGGTTCAGAATTGTCTTAATGCTCACTCGCTTCTCACGAAACTCGGTTTGAACGTGACCGTAGCTGATGCAAGGTTTTGCAAACCCCTGGACATAAAGCTTGTGCGTGATCTTTGTAAAAGCCACAAGTTCCTCATCACTGTCGAAGAAGGCTGCGTCGGAGGGTTTGGTTCTCATGTGGCGCAGTTCATAGCCCTCGATGGCCTGCTCGACGGGAAAATCAAGGTACACTGTACACAAATCAAAACCACATCATTTTCAAAGTTGTCATCTTTTTTTGGTTTTGGGTTCTGATTCTTCTCTCCTTTGTGGATTAAAACATCGGTAGTGGAGGCCGATTGTGTTGCCGGATGGCTACATCGAAGGAGCTTCGCCTAGCGAGCAGCTTGCTCTTGCAGGGCTAACGGGACATCACATAGCAGCAACCGCTCTGAGTCTTTTGGGTCGAACTCGTGAAGCATTACTTCTCATGAGCTAGCTTAAGCTTCCTTTTCATGTACAAGAAGATAACGACTTTTTTTTTTAACTCGTGAATATGATGATCAGTGTAATTATTAACTTTCTTAAGCGAAAACTGTAGATAATTTCTGTAAGTTGTATAACTGTAGAGGTGAAAATTGAAGTGAAAGAAAAAAAAATTCAATTATGCAGTAAACTTTAAAGTAGGTCAATCTTTTTATATGGAAAAAAAAAATTTCGCAGTTGAAAAGATATAAGAATCCATAAATTCAATGCGGTAACGCCAGGTTTTCATTTCTCTATATTTTGTTGTTGTTGTCACTTGTCAATATCTCTAATAATAATGATACAGCTAGTTTCTTCCATTCGGTGTTACATGTTCCCTAATCTGGGAAACAACAAATTATAGAATAGACGTGTACTTTCGACTTTTTCATACTCCCAAATTAATAAAAACCTTTTAAAATTTAGGAAAGTTTTACTGTAAAAAAACCATATTCGTAATCTCAACATTTCTTCTTAGTTACGAACCCGATTTCTTTCTTCTTCTTCTCGATCTCTCTCTCGACGTCTCGATCATTTCCTCGCCAGGAAGCTTCTTTGATCTGAATCGTGTGGTTTCGTTTCTTAATGTAAGTTTTCTCTTTCCCGCAAGTTTTGTTTTCGATCTCAAAGTCGATCAAAATTAAGTATATTGTTAGTAAATCTGTTGTAGAAACTTTACCTAAAATTTCTCGGGAATCGAGATTAATTGTGAATTAGCAGAACCCAGGATCGTTGCATCTTAGTAAGAACCCTAATTATTCAATATCTTGACAAAATGATGCCTTTTCTCTGTTGCAGTTATTTTAAAATTTTAAGCGGTTGCGATTCTCTTTGGACGGTCCTGAAAGATGGAAACAGAAACGGAACACCATCGAACTGTCTCTGTCGACGACAACGACAGCCTCTTACCAGAGCCTAGCTCTACGAAAGAAAGCCTTCTCGAAGATATCTCGCTTAGTGGCCAAGTTTTGAACCCAGAACTAGCGAGTGCAGGCGAAGTTCTGACAAAAGTTGAATTGGATTTTGCTTTTATCTCCGAGAAGTTGGTGAATCTTTGTCTTCTTACTATGCAACTCGGCTCCAGGGAAAACGACTTTGAGTCCTTTGTTTCTGAGAAAGAAGAAGGAGAAGAACCTTCGAATAACGATGATGATGATGATTCGGCTGAGAAGGCGTTGGAGTTTGACCTCTTGTCTTCAATCCTCAGTTCAGAGGTTAAAGAAGTTGAGTCTCTTCTTGGTTTTCTCCAGAACGAAATCCAAAGTGCCCGTGTCATGATATCTCCGTTTCAACAAGATGGAGAAGGTATCTCTGATTTGGAAGGAAAGTTACATGATGCTGAGCAATCTTTGGGACAGTTAAGAGACCAAGTGGTGGAAATGAAGAAGCAATCTTCTAACTTTCACAAGTTATCTTCTGGTTTGGATGAACTTGGAAGCTGTAAGTGGACAAACCTAACTAAGACCAATTTAACGCGATCCATGCTTTCTTTTCAACCTTGTTGTTGTTATGATTCTCATGTTCGATATAAGGAATGAAGGTTTTGATTTCTTTTGCTAGGGTCCCAAGGTCGTGCTGCAGAATCTCAAAACGATGGTGAGTTTGGTGATCTGAGCTCTAAGATCAATATGCAGACTGCTGATCAGCAGAGGAACGTTTTGAGGATGCTTGAGAAATCTTTGGCCAAGGAGATGGAACTTGAGAAGAAACTAAGTGAGTCGAGAAACACTGAGTACGAACTAGGGATGAAACTGTATTCTTCCGAACAGGATGTTGTCTACATGGAAGAAGTAATCGAGGATGCGTATTCCAGGTGTCTTGAGGCAGAGAATGCATCTGAAGTCTTTAAAGGAATGTCAAAGGAGATGTCTGGAAAACTCCAGATTCTTCAGTTTAATCTAAGCGGCTCTTTCAAGCGAGAAGACAACTTGAAGACTGAGCTCAAGGAACGTCTAGAAGCTGAGGAATGTGCCTTGCACAAGCTTGATAGCAGCAATGCAAGACTTCATGACTTTCTTATGGCACAAACAGAAGGCTTAAAAGAGAGTTTGAAAGAAGCTGAAGATAAATTGATTCTGTTGAACACTGAGAACTCCACATTAAGTGAAAAAGTTAGCTCTCTTGAGGAACAACTGAATGAATATGAGCTTCAAACAAAAGATGTGGATGCTACTTCTGCTGCTCAGATAACAGATCTCGAACGTATCAACGAGGACCTGAAAGAGAAACTAGCGAAAACTGAGGCAAGGGCTGAAGAAGCGGAATGCAAATACAAAACGCTAGAAGAAGGCAAAAAGGAGCTCCAAGGCGAGTTGGAGAAGTTAGCATCGCTTGAGAAACACTTGCGGGACTCGGATCTTCAGCTAGAACATGCAGTTGCAGCTGTTGAAGCAAGTAAAGAAAAGCAGAGCTTGTTATACTCCACTGTTTCTGATATGGAGGATGTGATCGAGGATCTGAAATCGAAAGTTTCAAAGGCTGAAAACAGGGCTGACTATACTGAAGAGAAGTTGATCATGGTATCTGAGTCTAATGCAGAGCTCAACGATGAACTGAAATTCTTCAAAGGTAGATTGAAAGACATGGAGAAATACTTACAGCAAGCAGAAGAAAGAAAATCGCGAACCGCTAAAGATATCGCTGTACATAACAAGATCATGAAAAAACTGGTCATGCAACTAGCTGCTGAACGAGAACGCCTTCATAAACAGGTATTAAGACAATACCTTACTCACAAAAACCCGTTCCCAAGCAAGCTTCATCATCATCATAGTGAATGCTTAAGATGTTGTGACTTGTTTGCAGATAACTAACTTGTCAAGAGAGAACTGTGTGTTGATGGTGAAGTTGAAGAAGATTGGAAAGACCGGTTATGTAGAGAGTGGAAATGGAAGTGAAGTTTCACCAAAGTCTGACCATCAAGAAAGTAAACCTGAAGCCACCATCACTTCACTAACTAATAATCTACAGGTAAATTAAATCTTCTCTACTGAAAATCTGATTTTGCAGGCATGTAAGCGAAATTGAAAATTACGAGTCTGATCTTGGCTTTGTTCTTTGAAGACCTTATTATCAAAAGTAATATTGGTGATCACTGTTTTTGTAGGAAGAAGAAACAGAGTCAAGAGCAGATATTGGAAGTGTAAGGAGATTGGATGTTGGAGCTATTGGGTTCAAGCAAATTCTCGTTGCAATCTTCGTGATCTTAACGTCGTCAGTGGCTTATTTTATATCCCAACAAAACATCTAAGAGTCTTTAACTTTTTTTGAAGAATCTCATAGGCTCCAGTTTTGTTTCTCTGTTTGTCATTAGTTTACAATGACGGATTAAATTTTAGTTTTTTTTTTGGCTAATCTTAATTACAGAAAATCTGCTACAATAAGTCAAAACATGCTTCTTGTTTTTAAATATCTTCAGTGTTAACTTAACCCCCCAACTCTGTATTGATTCTTTCAATTACTACAAATAAACTTCAATGTCCAATATCATAAGTAAGCTCATCTGCACATCTAATACTTGATCTGTGAAATATGAATGAGAACATCCAAAACCTGTTGCATCACCGGTCGTCTCTTCTTGTCATACGTGGTGCAACTTCGGATGAGTGTGCACAACTGTATCGCCGCATTCACAGGATAATCGTTCCCAAGTCGGGGATCGATGATTTCCCCAATGAAGAAAGGTCTAGTCCAATCATCTAGGGTTTGCCTGTTGACACACTTTGCTATATCTTTCGAACCAGTTAAAAGCTCAAGCAAGATCACACCAAATGTGTAAACATCGTTCATTGCCAACTGACCTAACATACATTACACAATCGTCTTAAAAACATTAATCAGGATTCCTAAAACAAAGAAGTTAAGATTTTTGGTGTACCTGTCTCTAGATATTCAGGAGGTAGGTATATAGCTTCTCCCCGATATATCTTATCTTCTACCAATTGTTGGTTTGATTCAAGGTAAAACAATTTTGCGTTGTATTGCTGATGAAAATCCAAACTTAGGTCTTGGTTTCTAAGGATCATAAACAAAAAGAAGAAGAATGGAAATATATAAAAAGAAAAAAATAAAAGGCATATTACCTCGTCAAGCATAATGTTATGCATTCTGAGGTCTCGATGTAGCGGGCCGCTCTTGATCGAGTGGAGAAATGCAAGAGCTTGAGCTGTTCCAATGGCTATCTTAACTCGTGTTCCCCATGGCAACGCCGCTGCTTCTGTTGAGAGAAACATGAAACTACTTGTATGTAAAGCAAACTTATCTATACTAATGTATCGAAATGGATCCATTAATTTAGAAGAGATCTTAACTTCCGAAAATGTAATGGTCCAAACTTCCTTTGTGCAAGTATTCGTAAACAAATAATGTTTTGTCATCTTCACAACAGTAACCTAAAATTTTGACCAGGTTTGGATGAGAAATTTTCCCTAGAGAATCCACCTCTTCCTGCAACTCATAGATTTTTTTTGGCTAATCATATATACTTTAATAAGTAGACAAGACATTTTCAAGACGAGTGTAAAAATTAGTTAAGTAAAAAATGGACAGATCTTGCTTACCATCCACGCTTGTAGAGCATGTGACCTATTTTTAACACGTTCCATGACAGAAACAGCGATTCCGGTTTTAGTTCTTGATGTTGAAAATTTGGTGCCATAGATGTATCCCTTGCCCTTGTAGAATGTTCGAAGACAGCGATCCTTGCCAAGTACGACCTTGTCTTCTTTGAATTTATTCGTTGCTTTCTTCAATTCCGTGACGCTGAAGACTCTCAGATTCCTCTTTTCACATATATATATATATATATACATTCAAATTTTAATCACGTATTTAAAGATTATTCTATTAGATAACAAAAATAAAAATGTTATTAGTAACAGAGAGATGTACCCAAAATGTGAGGGTTGATGAGAGGCTCGTAAAGAAATGAAGGATGTTGTTGTGTACAAGGCTTTAGACCATTTCCCATTGTTGTGGAGATGATTAATCTGTAGAATATGATTACACATCTTAATTGGATTTTTATAAAGAGGTTGATGATGAGTCAAGTGTAACGCGTCCTCATATATTAAATTGTACGACCCTCAGAATTCAACACTTTGCTCACTTAAGACAAAACAGAGGAAAAACAAGCAACCACAATAGTTACTATGGCTATATCCACATAACTATATAAGGCAAATTTAGGAAAAAAATATGAGACTTAAGCAAAAACCAATTACAGAAACGCGGTTATTCCATTTTAGTAAGTTATTTGACTTATAGCTTAGTTGGGGAGTTGGTGAGATATACACAATAGAAGTAACTTTTAAAATAATCTTTGTTTTTGTGATATTTTCAAAGCTAACCGTAAACTTATTCAATTTCAAAACTCACTCTACCCCTACGCATTAATCTTTAATCTTTGAAATATCATTCAAATCATCCACAATTTGTTGCATCAGAGGTCGTTTCTCAGTGTCCAGCTTGATGCATCTTTTGATGAGCTTGCCCATCTGTGTTGCTGCATTCACAGGATAATCGTTCCCAAGACGTGGATCGATTATTTCCCGGATTTTATTTCGATCGGACAAGAAAGGTTTCGTGGAGGTATGTAAGCCTTGCTTGTTCTGATTCTTTTCTCCATCTAAAGCTTTCAAACCGGTTAAAAGCTCAAGCAAGATCACACCAAATGTATACACATCGCTCTTTGTACCCAAATGACCTAAAAACATACATCACAATTCACACAATTGTGTTAGCATTACAAAATTCCTTAAAGGTTACACGTAATTATTATTTTATTTTGTAAACAAAAGTTAGATTTACCTGAGATTACATATTCAGGAGGTACGTATTCAGTTCTTCCCATGAATCGGGTCAAGCAACTTTCATCTAACAAACTTAGTTTGTTTGACCCAAGATAAAATAACTTTGCATTGTATTGCTGATGAATTCAACTTAAGTGTTAAATATTATCAAGAGTAGGAACAAGAAGAATAGTGTCGTAAGTCATTGATTACCTCGTCAAGCAAAATGTTAGACATCCTGAGTTCTCGAGATAGCGCGCTGTTATTGACCGAATGTAGGAATGCAAGAGCTTGTGCTGCTCCAATGGCTATCCTAACCCGTATTTCCCACGGTAATGCTTCTTCTTCTTCTTCTGTTGAGAGAAACATGAAACTGTTTATAAAGGAAGACTTTATGTACTGATCTTTAAAAATGGATCCATTTAATTGCAAGAGATCTTTACTTCCGAAAATGTAACCGTTCAAACTTCCTTTGTGCAAGTATTCGAAAACCAAGAAGGATCTGTTATCTTCACAACAGTAACCTAAAAGTTTGACTAAATTGGGATGAGAAATCTGTCCTAAAGACTTCACTTCTTCCTGCAACCCAATAGGTTATTGTTCCCATCAGAGAGAAGACAATGTTTACAAAAAAATGCGAAAGTAAACATTGATTAACTAAAAAAAAATGGGCAGATTTTGATTACCGTCCACTCTTGTAGAGCCTGTGAATTATCTTGAGAACATTCCATGACAGAAACAGCTATTCCAGTTCTCGATGGAGCAAAGGTGGTCTCGTTGATGTATCCTTTGTAGAATGTTCGATCAAACCCATTACTATCACTATTTATGACCATGTATTGTTTGAATTTCTTAGTTGACTTGCTCAATTCCGCAAAGCTGAACACTCTCAAATTTTCCTCTCCTGCTTTCCCTTTTCATATCAGGTATATATTATATGTTAACAGGAAGTAAAGTACATTTAAAAACAGAGATGTACCTGAAATTGGAGGAGGGTTGATGATAGGCTTGGGAGAAACTGAAGGAGGTTGTTCTTTAAAAGGCTTTAGACAATTTCCCATTGTTGATGGTGATGATAAATCTGTAGATTTTGGTTTCAAGATTATATTTGGGTTTTAAGAGGTTGAAATTGACTCCAAGTGTGAAACTAGCTTTAGAAAAGGTTCTATAATGCCTCAGAATTCAATCCTTTGAAAAGTCAACCTTTCATTACTGTTGACTTATTTGCTTCACATACTGTTTCATGTTTGTTATTGTTGACTTATTGCTTAATTGAATAGAAAAGAGGCCCATTTGATCTTCTTTGGGAAAATCAACAGGCCCAAATGCAAGTCCAAGTCTTTTTGCTTTCCATTTACGGAATTTGCAATATATGGGATCATTATTAGTGGAGAAATGTTTCTAGAAAAGGATCGGCATGAAGTAAAGATAGCGAAGACCTTCCCATGTGAGTCGCATACACACAAGGGTCCTAAACCATTGATGAGCTTATCCTCCTTGTCTTCTATTAATGCTCTTAAATAAGCTCCCAACTAATTTTGTTAATTATTTGATACCAGTTCTTTTTTTATGCATGTAACTATGAGAGTATTTCAGGACATCTGATTGTGATAGTTCCTGAGATGATGCAATGAATAATCATACAGTCTCAATCTTTTTGAAGTAACACATTTTGATTCTACTTGATCGTGTAAAATTTCCAATTTTTCGGAGGGTTCCATGTACAAGCGATGAGGGGGAAAAAAATTATTTCGCCGACTGAGTAATTTATCATTATGTCTTGTGTTGGGGTCAGCCTGTCGCTGAGTTAATTAGGCTATTTTGTGAAAGATGTGTTAGTTAAGTCCATTTTAAATTGATTTAATAATGTATATGAGTTAACTAATCTGTAAAATGTTGAAACTATCTCATTATAGATTTGTTGTCTGGTAAAAAGAAGAAATTTTCAAGATACTAGGGAAATAAATCGAACTTTATCAATGAACGTGACATATACAATATTTTTTGGGGCAAAGTTTTGTGGAAAAAATAGTCTTATAAAAAATAACAAAAAGATGGAGGTTTTTCATTTGGCATACATTAATTAACTAAACATTCTGAAGTTTGTTTGTTACTTGGGTTTGTCGAGAGGCTGTGTAGTGTGGCTCGATGCGGGTGTTGGCACGTGATTCTAAAATTGGGCATGACGAGCGTGGTTTTGGATTTTCATGGGAAGGCCACGTGAGCCGTTTAAGACGCCGTTAAATATGGATGGGAGATAGACTTTCCTCCGTTACGGCCTGAGAAATTGACGTCAACTGACAGAGTCAAGTGGACGTTCACCGCCACAGGAAAGAAGCAGAAGACTCGGTCCACAGTCTACTACACTCACATGCCACTCTTAGCTTTCTTCTTTAATTTTCTCTAATTTTCTATGGGCAAAAAAAAAAGCTGAAAAACAATGACCAATAATTAAAAAGAGACAACAAATCTTAGGTGATCCATAGTTATAACGAGCATGTTTTATTGGATAACCACAGTCTCCAGTCTTTTAAATAATACTATCGGATAACTGATGAAATCACTTTCACATCAAATATGGAATTCATATTTCAGCTATGGAAACATTTTACTAGTAAACTTTTTTTACCATTACTATAATTTTTTATATCGTTACAGTACATCAAAACTGTGTGATATAAAATGTAAATTATTTGTTTAATATATTTTTCTTAAATAATAAAATATTATCCATAAATTTTGCCTACTTTGTCTGCTAAGTGAGCAGAGTTGGAATCGGCCCATGGGCCCGTGAAATAGTAAAAAGAAGTGACTTAATTAAGGAGGCTGAGACAGTCGCACGATGGTGGATTTAGCGCTCTGTTTCTCTCATATCTGCCGTCTCCTTTTCAAGTGGGCCCCATTCCCACTGCACCGTCTACGGCTCAGGCCCCACCCACGTTCCCCTCCCTCACTCATTCACCCTTCTTGTCTCGATACTTACTCGTCATCTTACTCAAATTAAGTAATCCAAATGGTGACCTTTGTGAACAACAGACTTGTAAAAAAAAAAAAAAAAAAAAAAATTCTTAAATCAAGACTCAAACAGGTTGCAAGAGATAAATCTTATTGCAAAATGTTTGTAAAAAATTACAAGGTTTTTAGTTAATTATCCCTTTCGTCTTTCGTTTTGAGCTAACAGAAAATTTAAAATCATGTGAATAAGACGCAATGCAAAGAGACCACGTTCCGGCCGACATTGAAGAGCCAGATTTTAGCCGAACCATGGCATAGCTGACCAGTCACCACAGCTGAATTTAATTAAAACCAAATAAAAGAAAACCTAAAATATAAAGAAAATAAAAAGGCTGAGGAACGACACGACAGTGACTCAAATGTTGTCCAGAAAAAGAAATCAAGTTAAGTACATGCAAATCTTAAGAAAGTGAGATCCAACTGCTCATAATAACTTTATACAATAGATTCACAAAGAAAAAGCTCACACAATCCTTCTACTCGTAGCAACTCCACCGCATATCCTTTGACCATTGTATCTCGACCACATGACCGAATGACCAAACTGCCCCTTTTTCTTTGAAAAAATCCCAAGATTAATATAAGTCCAAAGTTATTAATAATAATATTAATACTTGAAATTTTACTTTAGTTAGCTAATTGTATAGTGTGTTGTGCAGATGTAATTCTAGATATTTGGATACGAGATCAAATGTTTCCATGAGTTGGCATTTGTGTTGACAACAACACCATGTGGATATGCATTCAACACAATCTTTTGCTAGTATAATCTTTAAAATTAACACAAATAACATGCAAAAAGCTGTCTAATGTTATTTCTCTGTCTACGAAAACTGATACAAATATCTTTGAAATCTGTTTATTATAAACCTATCTTTTAAATATTTGGCCAACATACTTCTATATGATTATATCATTCAGTGTGTTTTTTGGTTTGCTTAAAGCATAATACATTTATAAACATATATAGTTTTTCATCCTTGACACATCAGTTGCACTTATGTATTGCGTTTACCAATTAAATTTAAGACTTCTATGTTTTAGCTTGAATAATTGAATTAGATGGATTTTCAGATTGGTACCACTGTTCTAGTCTCTAAATTATTTAGCCAATAATTATACGGTTCTGCCAAAATATTTGTACACTGTCCAAACATCTTGACTACACATGCGTTTTATATTTGTGTACATTGATGCAAACACAGAGGGAATTGGACATTACTACCTAGTAGAGCTAGTAATATTAGGACACCATGTTCTTAATAAGTAAAAAAAATATAAGTTTGAATTGTAACGTAATGAAATAGTATTGGTAATAGAGAGTTAATAGTATTGGAGTTAATGGTAGTAATCGAGGTCAAGATACGGACTAATAACATTAATAGCCGTAAGAAACACAATAATGTTAAGCCCTTTTTATAAAAAAAAAGAAACACAATAATGTTATTAATGCCATGCAACGGATAGTATAGTAAAATAAAAGAAGAGTTTCAGAAACAAAAGGAAAAACGTTCATTGGCAAATTGGAGTTAATGCCATTAACATATGCATAAAACCTTTTTTTGTTTTAAGGATGATAATAATCTGACGGCAGACAAAAGCATTGAGAAAAGAAAGGATTTTCCAGAAATAACCCTAGTTCGTCTTCTCTTCTGCAATCTCTCGGGTAAATCCCAAAAGAGTGAGTCACGGCCCCACGTGGATACGCAAACCACGTCAGTGGCACAAATCCGTAAATTGTAGCAAAACCTAGAGGTATTTTCATAACTAAAAATCCATATAAGCAATTGCCGCTCCTCTCATATACATATCTCCCATAATAAAATACTAAAATCTATATCGCTTTCTCTAGTCTTTACTCTGGTCGTTCAAAATGAAAGGAGGCAGCGTCTCGTTTCTCTCCGTTATTCTCTTCGCCACCGTCACCTCCGTCCTCTGCTTCCGTGACGGTAAATCATTAATTGATTGCATTTGTTGTTACTTGATTTTCCTTTTGGATTCTTTAAACGCTTTATTCTGTTCAAAGAAAGAAAAACTTAGTTCTGTTTACTTTCTATCCAAAGCCCCTTCTTATTTTTCGTGAACAAAAAACTCCAAAGTCCCTAAGATGTTTGGTCGGGACGACGCATTTGTGTTTTTTTTTTGAATTGATTAAATTTGTAAGTCGGTTAAAAGTCTAATTTACCTTTTTGCCCATTTCTGACACAAAACACTCTGAATATCAATCAGTGACATCGAGTGGGTCCAATTATAAGTTACATCCCAGTTTTTTTTTTGTTTCTTCTGGATATATTCGGCGGATTCATGTTTCTTTCAGTTGATATTAATTGTTATTTCCGTAATTTTGAATGCAGGAATGTTACCAAACGGCGACTTCGAGCTAGGACCTAAACCATCGGACATGAAAGGAACGCAAGTGAAAAACAAGAACGGAATCCCGAGCTGGGAGCTTTCAGGCTTCGTCGAATACATTAAATCCGGTCAGAAACAAGGAGACATGCTTCTCGTCGTCCCCGCCGGAAAATTCGCCGTCCGGTTAGGCAACGAGGCGTCGATCAAACAGAGAATTAGCGTGACAAAAGGAATGTATTACTCGCTCACGTTCAGTGCCGCGAGGACTTGTGCTCAAGACGAACGGCTCAACATATCGGTGGCACCTGACTCGGGCGTTATTCCCATACAGACGGTGTACAGTAGCAGCGGGTGGGACCTCTACGCTTGGGCGTTTCAAGCCGAGAGCGACGTGGCAGAGATTTTGATTCATAACCCTGGCGAGGAAGAAGATCCTGCTTGTGGTCCACTCATCGATGGTGTGGCAATCAAGGCTCTATACCCTCCGAGGCCTACCAATAGTAAGTGTTTTTATTTTATTTATATATATTATGATCTCTATTATTGTTCTAAGAAAAATCCTTTCCATGACATATACAAGAATTAATCAATTGGTGCATTTTTTTCTATGATATGAAACAGAGAATATATTGAAGAACGGAGGATTTGAAGAAGGTCCGTATGTACTCCCAAACTCCACAACCGGCGTTCTGATTCCTCCCTTCATAGAGGACGACCACTCTCCTTTACCCGCTTGGATGGTCGAATCCCTCAAAGCCGTCAAGTATGTTGACGTCGAGCACTTCTCGGTCCCACAAGGCCGTCGAGCAGTCGAGCTGGTCGCGGGAAAAGAAAGCGCAATCGCTCAGGTGGCTCGGACCGTTGTGGGAAAGACTTACGTGCTGTCGTTTGCGGTTGGAGATGCCAACAACGCGTGCAATGGATCGATGGTAGTCGAGGCGTTTGCGGGAAGAGACACTTTGAAGGTTCCTTACGAGTCGCGAGGGAAGGGTGGCTTTAAACGCGCTTCTATGCGGTTCGTGGCGGTTTCGAACCGCACGAGGATTATGTTTTACAGCACGTTTTACTCAATGAGAAGCGATGATTTCTCGTCGCTTTGTGGCCCCGTGATCGACGATGTTAAGCTCCTCAGCGCTCGCAAGCCGTAAAATGGTCATTGTTTTAGTTTGAAGGTTTTACGTATAAGCAGTGTGGTTTTTTTTTTAATATTTTTTTCGTACTCTGGTGCTTTTGAAATGAGATGGTTAATCCTGAAAGAGTTGTTGTCGTGTAGGGATTCTATATGAGGCAGAAAGGTCTTGCTTATATCTATTTTCTTGTATGAGAAGGCTGAAGAAATGTTGTCTTTCTTAATTACTATTTATGGTTTTTTGGGATATCAGATGATTTACGAAAATAAAATGTTATACAGATTTACGTATTGAGGTCGTGAAATGTTTATCGACAGAGGATTGGCCATAAGGATTTACGTACATCCAAAAAATTTGCCTTTAATTTAAAATTTGATGTGCTACCAATTCGTTCGAGTATTTATGTTTTTTCAGTTTCGTAAATTCTTTTTGTATTCTTCTATCAATCAATCCATTATAAAATAGGTGATTTACTAGACTCCTCAAATAAAATCGCTGGAAGACGTCGCTTGGTTAAGTACACTATAAACGTCGATACAAACCTTCTCGGCGTATAATTTTGTTTAGTTGTCTACGAAATGTATACAACTAAGAAGAAAGAAAACCCAACAATTTCGTGTTCTTTTGATTAAGTTTTTCCTTTCACAATATATTCAGGATCTCTAGTTAAACTATAAAAGAACAAATTTTTATTTGTTTTTGTCACACAAACAAAACACTTAAAAGGCCACACTTCATCTTAATAGTCAAAAATTTAAAAAATGTTTTCTTACGAGAGTTTAAAATATTATTTCAAAACATTCATGAGTTTTAACTTTTAATTTACACATAAAAAAACTAATGTATAGTAGAACAGTAAACGTATAGTAATTATATTTGGTAGAATTTTTTAACCTGAGAGGTAGTAAAATATAATAGGCTTTTTTACTATCATCAAACAGGCTTTTTATTAAGCCCAGTAGCCCAATATATAATCACACGTGCGGTCCACACCGAGCGATGAGCTCACAGTTTCTTATTTTTTTTTTTAATCGCCGAGCAAGAACAGCCGAAAGTTTAACAACACAAACGTTATCCGTCTCATCCGGATTTGTTCTCTAGGGTTTCGTTCTTATCTCTTGCGTACCGCTGAATCTCTGCATCTACAGGTTCTGGTGGATACAAGGCGCTGATTTTGCTTAAATTCGTGTTTCAGGTAAATCTATGTGAGATGGATTGGTTTCGATTTCATGGGCTTATTTCGAGGGTTGAAATATTTTCGGTCAATAGTCTTTGTTTAGATGCATCTAGTTGAAATCCTTGTTGTTGATTCGAATAATTCTATTGCATGCTGTTGATTCGATCTTCTGTATCCGTGTAGTTTGTGATTTTTGGTGGATTGTGTTGTGTGCTGTTGATTCGATATTCGGATTTGGTGGATTGTGTTGCGTTAATCGAGGCCGTGAAATCGTTTTCGACATTTGAGATGTATTATTTTTTTGTGCTTCCATATCTTAACGAGCAGATTCAAGCATACCAATTGATATTGGGAGAAAGCACGACCTTAATTTTTGATTCTTTTGTTTGTTTGTTTAACTCGCAGCTCTTGAGGTGAATGTTGAACTCATCTGGAGATTAAGAAAACTTTTGAAGAAGCAAAAAACTTTGATGGAAATGGCAGAGCTAAGCAGGTCCATGCAGCTAGCAGGAAAGCGAAACTCACCACCTGAGACCACTCTAAGTGGTTCTGTATCCGAGGCACCAAACAAGCACTGTAGACCATGGTTACAGCAGTTGTCTCCAGCAAGCAATGGGATTCTGCATATTCCGACCAATGCGCTTTCTCAGAAGACACTAAATTCGCTGATGCACGGCAATAACGTGGCGCAAATTGACCCTGCTCTTCAGAAATCTGGAAAGCCTGTTGTAAACAAGAAACAGCATATCCCACCTCGAGGGTCAATGAAACCGAAGGAGGAAGTTAATGAGTCTGTGAGGTCTAAAATGAGGGAGTCATTAGCATCTGCGTTGGCGTTGGTTCAGCAACATGATAAATCTCCTAAGGGGAAAGAAAATTTAAAGACTGAAGAAACTCCTAATGTGAAACTGGAGAATACTCAAAGTTTTCAACCTGCCTCACCTGCCACCCTCAGTGTCCCTATAGGCGATGGGATCCTGTCAGAATTGTCCACTGGTGTTGAAAGTTCCGTGCAGAAGGATAGTGAGATTCCCATCGACATCAAGATGGAAGATGCTAATCAATCCGATGGACTTAAGTCTCAATATGACGAGGTTTTCCCTCGGGATGATGTTCCTTTTACAGATATTATTTTTCCCAACGATGACCTTTTACAAGGTAATGAACTCTCTTGGGTTCTGGACAATGTTTCAGATCTTGGCGTGACAAAGGATTATGGGACCGACGGTAAAAAGTCATATCAGGATCCAGAAATTTTGGCATCTACAATTGAAATGGAACTGTTTAAGCTATTTGGAGGCGTGAACAAGAAGTACCGAGAGAGGGGAAGGTCCCTCTTATTCAATTTGAAGGATAAGAACAATCCTGAGCTTAGAGAAAGGGTGATGTCTGGAGATATCTCGGCTGAGAGGTTGTGTTCTATGACAGCCGAAGAACTGGCTTCCAAGGAGCTTTCTGAGTGGCGACAAGCCAAAGCTGAAAAGATGGCTGAGATGGTTGTCCTCCGGGATACAGATATTGATGTCAGACGTCTGGTGAGGAAGACGCATAAGGGTGAGTTCCAGGTTGAAATTGATCCCATTGACAGTGGCACGGTAGATGTCTCTGCTGGCATTATGTCACGTAGTAAACGTCGACCCAAACCCAAAGCTCATTCTGCCAAAACCACTCCCAAAGATACGACAGAAAAAGTTGCTCAAACAACATCACATGATACTCCTCCCCCAGCTGAAGAGATCGATCCCATGCAAGGTTTGGCGGTGGATGATGAGTTGAAGGACGTGGAGTTTCTTCCTCCGATAGTATCGCTTGACGAATTCATGGAATCCCTGAACTCTGAGCCTCCGTTTGAAAGTCCTCATGGTAGTTCTGAAATGCAGGTGTCTGCGTCTGAGAAAACTGACTCCGAAGTTGGGCCACGCTTAAAATCTCCTAAAGGATCTCCTAAGGAACTAGGCGATAAAGGTTCTCCTGAACCAAACCCGGAGAAGATCGAGGAAGTTTCCCAAAAATCTGGTGCCAGTGTCAAACTTGATGACGATGTCTCTGGAGAGAAATCGCCTTCACTTGCTGATGTCAAGGGAGAAAGAGTATGGGATGGATTACTGCAACTAAGCCCGTCTTCAATAGTCCCTGTCACTGGCATTTTCAAAAGGTAAGTTCTTTGCACCTAAGCTATTATTTTCTCACTATTATTGATATCTGTGATACTGTTTTCTTCTCCATGCTGATAGTATATATTCTTTCGAACATTGAATGTTATTAAACCATTGCTTGAATTGGGATTGTGCTATCAATCAATCTCTTTTCTGATTCAACTAGATTGGTATTTGAATAAGCTTAAGAATAGGTAGCTTAAATGAAAAGAGCTCAGTGTGAGATACTGATAAGATTTCGTTAAGACTTAAAAAGAGCTCAGTGTGAGAATCTCTGACTAGGTTTTTTCTATGGCAGTGGTGAGAAGACGGACACGAGCGAGTGGCCGGTGATGGTGGAAGTGAAGGGTAGAGTTAGGCTGAGTGGGTTTGGGAAGTTTATTCAAGAGCTTCCTAAGTCTCGAACCCGTACCCTAATGGTATACAAAGCTTTCTTTTGTTATCACTGTAGTAGCATTACATTGAATAATCTCTTGCTTCAAACAACAATAATCTCTTATATATATAGTCACTTTTGTCTCATCTCAAAACTCTTCTGTCTTCTCTTCATGGAAACCAGAAAGCAAAGAGATTACATTCAAACTATCCGTCACAGGAATGCGACACCTTTGGAGCAGAGAACCAAACTATATTGATTGGGTCAAATTTTGTATTAATTCATCCATAAAAATTTGGATGCAAAATCCATTATATGTCTCTGTATTCTGTATCTGAGTTTCTGTGTCGGTGTGGGAGATGTATAGAATAATAAATAGGGAATCTTTCAAAGAATCTTTGGACCCCACCACACTCAAAAACATAGCCAAAAAGAATTTCGAAAGTCAATTTTCCTTTTTCCATCCCAGACCCAAAGTCAAAGCACAAGCTCACGTCGCATATACATGAGCAAATAAATTTCGAAATGTCTGGTCTTTGTTTGAATACTAATCCATGGTGTTTTCTTATTTTGCATTGCAGGTAATGTACTTGGCTTGTAAAGACGGCATTGCTAAGAGCCAGCGTGGCAGCCTTTTTGAGGTAAAGAAATCAAAAGAATTTTTAATAATCTTGAACTTGTAGTCTTGTACAACTCATTTCAGCACAGAAACATGTCTTAAAAAAACTCTTTCTTCTCTTGGTTAAGGTTGTTGATTCCTACGTTGCTGATCAGAGAGTTGGCTTCGCAGAGCCAGCCTCAGGCGTGGAGCTTTACATTTGCCCGACACGTGGGGAGACTCTAGATTTGTTGACCAAGGTCATCTCTAAAGACCAGCTCGATGAGATCAAGTCTTTGGATATTGGATTGATTGGAGTTGTTGTGTGGAGACGAGTCGTTAACAAGCCGGGTTCTAAACGTCAGCATTATTCTTCTTCTTCTGGCTCGAGAACCTCTGTTTTGTCTGAAAACAAGAAGCAGAGAGTGAATGTCACCGAGAAACCTCTTGTTGTTCTGCCTATGGGGAATCGTCATAATGGTTATGGTGGTAAACCTGTGAAAGATGATGGTGAGGATGATGTACCGCCTGGGTTTGGTCCTGTAGCTCCAAGAGATGATGATGATTTACCGGAATTTAACTTCAATTCCTCCGTCGTCCCAGTTTCTTCTCCTCACCCATTGCCGGCTCAACCCAAGTCGCTGGACCAAGTGAGAAAGCTCATACACAAGTATGGCAAATCTGCAAGCATCTATGACGATGATGATGACGACGACATACCTGAATGGCAGCCACAGTTATCTAGCCACATGCTCCCACCGCCGCCGCCGCCTCCACCTCCACCTCCCGGCTTCAGGCCCGAGATGGGTCTTCAGGATCATAACAGAACGATGGTTAGACCACCACAAGATGGCTTGTGGGATAATCAAAATGGCGGGCAAGGACAACCCTATGATGGGAACCGGTCAAGAAACAGAGGATTTTAACATCTCTGTTGATGATAGTGTTCTCTGTAATTGTAGTTTTTTTTGTTCCGTTAATCTTTCTCATTAGCTTTTTCGAAGACCTCATCTTCGTTTTGTAGCCATCGTAGAATGCAAAGCTCGAAATAATCCAACTTTTCAAATGAAACATCTAAAACAGTTTTGTGTTTTTTTCTTAAAAACGAAAATAAGCTCTGCTTTGCTTTTTAATAATACCAATGGATTTGAAGATTTTACAGTGCTAGATCAAGTTTCCTTCAAACTGTTACATGTTCTATTAACGAGTAATTGTCTAGTTTCTCTTAGGTTATCAGTATCTTCTGAAGACACGATTGAGTTTTGAATTCTTGCTCAAATGTCAATCTTCTTGGAATCTGACAATCAAATCTAATCCATAAATCATTTCCATCTCTTAAACTCTGATATTATCATTCGGTTTTTCGTCGAGCCAATTCAATCAGCCGGCAATTATCATTTTAGTTCCTTTTTTCTTATATATCAAAGGTTTCACCTTCACCTTCACCTTCTCGTGCGAAATGAGACTTAGAAGAGAGAGTATGATTTTTATGATTACCGTCCCGGCCCGTTTGATACTGGGCCAGTTTAGGCTCATATTATTATTGAGCTCAGCCCGTTTTAATAATTATTTAACTTAAATGGGTATTGCGCATCGACCGAACCGTAATCAAACGCAGCTGCAAATGGTTTTATTTGGTTTTAACCGTGCTATCCGAACAATTTTAATCCTTCCGATCAAATATATGAATGTCATCATGTTAAAATACAAAAATCAAGACCCATAGTCAGAAATTTTGTTTCCATATAAATAAATACCGACATTTGCAAATACATTGATTCTTTTTTTCTTGTTTCTTACAGTAGTTCCAAGACAATAAAAAATCTGAGATCTCCTTTCTTTCTTAATGTGTTACTAATTTTATAAGATCATTACAAAATTTCGTATACCTTTACACTGTAACACACACACACACACAAAGCATTCATTTAACAAATCAATTGGCAGAGAAAATGGCAATATATCAAAAATAAACATATCAATTATCATTCATAAGAAAGTCCAATCCACAAATGGAGCTGCACAACTCAGATTTGCACTTTCAAAAACTATACAATTTTTCCATCATTTAACAACTCTCATATCATTTTCCCTAAGATTACCATCGACTCACTGATACTGTACTTATTATGGGTGCCCAAACCAAGAAAGAAAAAATAAAACTTCACAACCAAGGATTCATTAGATCAGGCCGATACAGGTTCACTGGGGATAACCGATGACGAGGATGCAGCAGCAACTTCAGTAGCTGCATTCTTTTGTTTTGAAGCTTTTGAGGTTGAAGTCCCTGATTCTGACATATCCCCAATATCCAGCGTCTCTGGGAGGTTTTCTTCAGCTTCAGTGCTGTATATCTGCAGAAAGGGAGATCAAAATCATCGCTTAAGATCAACAAAGAGATGCGGACTAAGAAAATCATCATTATGGCCTATTGCAGGGATACAGAACATGTATTGTCACTGCAGCTTGTTGCTTCCAACCGAAAAGCTGAAAAACATGCCAATATATATATGCCAAAATTATAATGCTGTAACGAGAGATGAGTAGTGAATTTACCTCAAGCTGATTCAGCATCTCAATGGTTGCTTCAAGATCACCGCCATTCGCCAGGTATACATCAGTTATAGACTCTTGTGAGAGACCGGAGAATGTCACCAAGAGGTATTCAATATCCATGTCTATATCCATCTCCAAATCCAAATCCAAATCATCATCCCTTATCTGCTTGTACGCCATTTCAGATGATTTCTTCGGCATCGACACCTCAACGCCTGCAAAACTTATCTGTTGCCCCTGCACGACATGTGCGGAGGGATTCGCAAACACCAAACCGTCCATATCAGCGAAATCCACTCGTTTGGAGAGTGGTACATATGATGCCGCATGAGGATTCAATGCAAATGCTCCAGGCTTCATTGCTTTGTCTTGCTAAGAGTGATTACTGCCAAAATTGAATCGGTATTCATTAACAACAAAAAGACAGAGAAAGAAGAGAACACGGACACACACGGAAGAAACAAAATCAAACAATCTCAAATTATGTCTAAAATTTGATGCTGATTAAACATTTGATTGATGCATATAAAGATTTCAACCAGAGAAACAATCCCAGTTTAAACTTCGAAGGAAGCACTAAAGATCAAGAAGCTTAGCAAGAGGGAAATCGTATTGTCTACCAAATTATAAAATCTCTTCCATAGAATCATTAAGAGGCATCGCATGTAAAAGACTGAGAAATTGCTGATCCTACTCTCAAATCTCTTGTCCCTAATGACGCCAAATGAAAAATTTCACTTCACAAATTTACGCGCTTAACAAACAAAACCAGGTTTCAATACGAAGAGACAATCGTGAAAGCTAACAAAACTAAGGCACCCTAAGAGCTACGTTTCACACCTGAAAACGCAGAAGAATAAGGAATCTAACCGAGACGACGAACTCTGAGTATAAGAAATACGAAATACTCTTTTGGCACGAATCGCGTTACTGCATGAACAGATCGATTGACAAAAACAACAGAACAAACAGGAGATTATCCACACAATAAGAGAAAAACAAATGATCCGAAGAAGAGTGTGATTATATGCAAAATCGAAAGAGACGGGAACGAATAGACATCGGCTTGACCTCGTCAACGATCGAAGTAAAAGGAGAAGGAGAAACGAAAGATGAGGAGAGAAAATGAGCTTACCAGAGAAAAACTAGCGTTGAAGATCGCTCGACGAATTAGCAGAGAGACCTAAATGCGATAAATGTGGCAAGGGAAAGAGAAAAGCTTCGCCCCAATTATGGATTTATATATTTCAAAGTACAGTTACATGCTACTACTACTAATCATGATGGGGGTCCGTTTGGACACACCATTTATCTTATCCTTAACCGGGATATTTATCTTTCGGTACAAGGACGTGACGACCACCAATGTCAGATTTACAATAAACTCGGTTACGGTTTGGTTAAGTATACCGATTGATAACCATAAGAGAACCGGTTTTGTAACCATCTAAACAAAATAGTGCGGATGGATGAGCTTCAGGAAGAAGAAGTGAAGCTCCAGAAACGCCATACCCATGGCTCTTTTGTCTCTCCCCTCTCCGAACTGTCGTCTTTTCAGGTGAATTATCTGAAACATTCGTTTACTTGCGAGTAGTGGGTTTTTGTTCTTCTGTTTGTATAATTTTGTTCGTCCAAAGCTTTTGCGATTTTTCGATGGAATTTTCGAATTTTCAGGTGCAGGAGCAGCAACATTTCGAGCAAGTATCATGGAGAATCGAAGGAGCTAATGATTGCTCGCTCTGGTGTTTCTGCGAGATCGATTTCTTCGGAAGATGGGATTTCTCGTAGGGATTTAGTGTTAATTGGTCTCTCTTCTCCGTTGTCTATGCTCTTGCCAGTTTCGTCTGCTGGTAATGTTTTGTTTGCCCGCTCTAATGTTTTAGAATTGTGGTAGAGAATTTCACTATTTTGGCTTATGGGAATAGAGCTGGTTCATGGAATTTATTCTCTTACGGTGTTTAGGCCATTGATGGTTTTCCTTCAACTTGTTATTGCAGCCACTCATGCAGAAGAAGCAGTGAAAATGGGTGCAGAAGAACTGAAAATGGGCTCAATGGTGGATGATATAAATGCTTATTCTTATGCTTACCCTCTGGAGTTTCCATCTGAGAAGCTTGTCTTCAAATGGTATCGTATATATATGTCTCAAACACGAAAATCGACTGAGTCTGTTCAGGATGTAGTTCACACTTTACATTGGTAATGCAGGGTGGAATCAAGAAAGCCTGAACGTTACTCTTCGGCTGCACCACTCTCTCGTAAGTGCTTCCTTTTACTCCTTGAATTTCTGGATCCTTATGTCCATGATCCTTTCCCTTTATAACCATTCTAGTTACCGTGTTACGCATCAAGTTAGTGACTGAATCTGTTTCATCTGGTCCAGCTGATGCGCGTCTACGGATTGTTTCTGAACGAGTTGACCTCATCGACAACCTCGTGATTTCTATTTCGGTAAGTTCTGGTGTTGCCCATTTACCATATGGCTTGGTTCTCTTTGCTGTCTTTCTGGCGTTATGTCTTTTACGGTTCTTGATCCAGATAGGTCCCCCAAACTCAAGATTCCTAACATCAAAAGAAAAGAAAACTTGGACAGCCAAAGACGTTGCGGACTCTGTTTTGTCTGATAAATCGGCATTGGTAATCCATCTTGCATAACAATTTTTCCTTTTCTCAAACTTTAGCTAGATTGTTTGAATGAGTTTGTGCCTACAATTTCCTGCAGCGTGTCACCTCAAGTCAGCGTCTTGAAGAGAGCTCGGTTCTTGATGCACACACTACTGATGTAAGTTTTATCTTCTGTAAGATAAAATAAAAAAATGATTCTACAAAACGCCTGAGCCTCATATGCTTGCTATATGCAGATTGATGGGGAGCCTTACTGGTACTACGAGTACCTTGTTCGCAAATCACCAACCAAAATCGTAACTCTCTCTATTTCTAAGCAGATCCTTCTTCTTTAAAGACATAATGGGTTTGATCATGATCTGACTTATTGTCTTTACTATGTTATTTGGGCAGGCTGAAGCATCAAAACTTTACAGACACTATATTTCTTCAACAGCTGAACGCGATGGTAAAGCTTTTTAGCACGCGGTAACTCTAATTTTAACTCACTACATTTACCTGAATCTCACGACTTTGCAGGGTACTTATACACCATAAATGCGTCAACCCTTGGCAAGCAATGGGACATGGTACAAAACCCCTAACCTCCACTTTCTGTTGTTCCGTTGTGTTATTGTTAAAATGTCTGATTTTTGAGTGTTTGTATCAAATCCAGATGGGACCGGTGTTAGAAAGAACGGTTGGATCCTTTAGGCTTCTTCCTCCTACTGATAGTTATGTTCCTCCTTACAAGGATCCATGGAGGTTTTGGTGATCATTTTCCATCTACCTCAGCTTCTCAGCAAAAGTGCCTTCTTTTTTCTTCCGAAATTGTAGTTAAATTTGATATGAGAGGTTGAGAATGGCGATAAATCTCTCACTCGGTTATGAAAGTTGATGTACAAGAAACGAGCCAAGGGACTAATTTTCCCATATTGAAAGATCTTGTTCACTATCAAATGTATTGAAAGATATAAATGTTGTGTCCAATAATTTTTTATGCATATGTTGTTCTTCGGACTAAGAATATAATAATATCAAATCAGAGCTTTTATTATATGATATATACACAAAAAGGGCAAAAGTAGAGAAACTTTCTCCATAGTCCCTCCTCTCATGGGGCTTGCTTAATACATTTGAGTCGTCCTCCTTTAAATTTTCTGGGTAGCATAAAAAAATTAACAAAAGCAAAAAGACATAAATGGAGGGGAGCCACAAAAACCGGCTTCTTCAACCCTCTTTATATAATTAAGATTATTATCTGAATAAATGACCACATAATTATAAAGATACATAACAATAACCATTGTCCCAATGGCAACCACCCACCAAAACCATGAAAGATTAGGCCAAATGTGTTGTTGTTGTTAAGGTAAGTAGAAGCACAAGCAATATACAAAAATGATCATCCATGGCCGCCTCGGTTTAGAGAAACCAGCAGCTCTTTTTCACAAACAGATGATTCAGCTCTAGCTTCTACCTTTCTTTCCTCTTTTCATGGAATTGGTGGGCGCATTGGACATCACCCCACCGTGAAGATCACGCCGTTACTCTTCTTCTCCGACAGGTCCTTGTCTGAAGACGAGTCAGACGTGGCTTCTTCTTCTTCCTCCTCCTCCAGATTCTCGTCCAGACGAATCACCTCCGAACGGCACTCGCTACTGCAGAAAGCTTTGTATCCTCTGTAAACCAAACCAAGACATTGAAATTTAGCAAGACAACTCAATTTGCTTACAAACTCAAAAGAACCATATGACTTAAAGAACGTAACTTTCCATTTCTAAGTGCACACACCAACGCAGAGAGAAGCAATTCTAAGTGTCACTAGAGTTGACAGAGAAGAAGAGTACCTGTACATGTATATATCTTTCCCCATACCCAACTTCTTGTTACAAGACGAGCAGAAGCTCAAGAAGTCACGGGAAGGTAACACGTCAGTAAACGTTGTCAAGTCAAGAGGAGCAATTTCAAAAATGCTCTCTTTCATGTAACCACAACAACTTTTCTTCACCCCATTGTGCTCTAGCGACTCCAGAACCTGATCACCGTAAAAATGGGTGATTTTGGGGTTAGAACCGTGCGAAATAACACAAGTGTAGTCCTCTGAGATCTCAATGTCACTCTCGGTATGCCCAATAAGTGATCCTTGGGTTTGCTCCATCACCTGACAAGCATTGACAAGCATTGAGCTACCAAGCTCAATCAATCCAACAATGGGTTTATCATCATTGTGCATATGAGTTCTGGCAAAGGGCTGATGAGGTTTCTGGCATCTGGAATTTCCATTTCTCATCAACGACCCAAAGATCAAGTTTCTGCTATCCGGCGATGGCAGAAGAATCCTTGAGGAATCGGTGTGATGATCATCAAGAGAATCCACAATACTCAAGCCTACTTTTCCAGAATCCCAGCTCTTTTGATGCACTTTTCGGATTGACCTCGAGGAACACCCACCAAAGGGGTTCCCCAGACTCGAGAACAATCTGAAATCCAAAGGAGACGTTGGGCTCCAAGCTGTTTCGTAATCAGATGGAGACTTGACTTCGTACACACCGGAGATGATTCCGCGGTTCTTAAGCCCCGATAACTCCGGTTTTGTCGAATAGAAATCGGAACCAGAGACCATTTGATTGTTAGGATGCTGAGGCATGCTTGATCTGCGTCTAAAGCAAACAAGAGTTTAGATGATGATCGAGAGGTCGAAACGTTGTTCAGATTGATCGATAAATGACGGATCAATTTCACAATGTCGAGGAAAAAAAAAAAAGCAAATCTTTGGAAACAGAATAAACCTCACCAGAGCTAAAGAAATCGTCTATACTAAGGAAAGGATCATCGAACGAAGAAATGTCAGACAGATTATTTTTAAAAAAAAAAAACTGAAAAGAATGAAGAAAGAAGAAAAATGATGATAAAAAAAAAATCATAACAAGCTTTTGAAATCTATATTGTAAGCTGCAATCTGGAGAAGAAACTAGAAAGCAAGACTCATATCAGAGTTTCAAAGAAGAAGAAATTGGAAAGAAAGGTACCTGGGTTTTTCAGGACTTGTTCTTTCTTGTGCGGTAGAATTTAATCAGACTATTGAAGAAGAGGGAGAAGAAGAACCCAGAAATTGCAGAGAGCTAAGACAATGCGAAGTCTTCGTCTATATCTGTGCAAGTCTTGTGAGGTACTCTTCTTTTCTTTCTCTCTCTCTCTCTCCTCAAAATCAGCGAAGCAGTGAGCTTCTCAGATTCTCTCTCTCTCTCTCTCGAATTCACGTTTTAAGTTCTCTGAGAAATGTAAGTAGTAGGGTCTATGTAGCTGAAATCAACAAAGAAAAAATAGTTACCTTTCTAGAAATATTTAATTAATTATACAAACTAAAAATATTATATTTTTTTATTTAATTAGCGGAAAAAGTGGCTGAAGTGACAGAATAAAAATGATAGCACATCTCTGCCGGAATTCTTTAGTTTGGCAGCTTTGGCTGTTTTAGCTCATTGATTCAGTTGCCTGAGTTTTTTACTCTTAGCATGTAAGAAACAAAAATGTATATTTCTATTATGTTTGTTTAAAAGATTACTATTATGCTTACAAAGTAATGAAGAATGTTAATTTCAAACTATATTTGTTTATAAGTATTTTAGATTATTTTATTAATTACTTTATTATAAAATATTTTGATTTGTAATTATTTAATTAAACACATTAACAATTTAATAAACGATTGTCAAAATTTATTAATATAATCCATAAATTTGATCGATGATTAAAAATACATTAAAATCAAATTAGAAACACGCTAAAATATAAATTAGTTTTTAAAAATCTAAAAATAAATTTAATTTATAATTTTATATTTAAACTTAAATTATTTATTAATTAAATATTTTTAAAATTTATGGTGATTTGTTACAATTTATTATTATTATTATTATATATAAATTTTTCTATAAATATTTTGTAATTATAAAAATAATTTAATAATTTTAAATTAATAACTGTTTATCAAATTTCTGATTTAAGTTTTAAATTATTTTAAATGCTTAATGTTATGATAAAAATAATTTAAAATAGTTTATGACATAGATGTTTTAGTAATTAACAAAATATTTCAAAACAAACATTATTTTAAACAAAATATTAACAAATAATATATATTATAAATATTTTCAATATTTCATTGTTTTCTAAGTGATTCATGAATTCAAATGACTGGGTTTGTATTTTATTTGATACATTAAAGTTTTTACTATATATAGTATTTATTTCGTTCCATATGCTATCGAAATAAAAAAATTTGATTTTATTGGTGGAATGTAAACCGTAAATGCATTTCATTATAGTTTGTTGTTTTTCTTACACTGCTGGCTTTATTATCAAGTCTTCGTTTTTTTTGTCTTTCTATCGAAAGTAACTGTTTGTTTAAAAATTATGGTTATTTTGGCTGGTAAAACAATAATAATTACTGTTATTTTTGTTTTACGTATAATGTAATCTTTCTCTCTCTTTCTTAAAGTCCCAGTTATGTCGACATTGTATAATTATTAAGGTGTCAGAACTACAGGAAATATTGAAAATTACAGTGTGTTTAAATACAAGTAAAAAGGATCCCCTACACGGCAATTATATTTTTGTCCTTTTTCGTTCTGTGGTCTACTTTTGCTTTTTACATTATGGAGTAGTAATTTATTTGTAACTGCTTTTATAATAACAATAAGAAGAAACAAATTATTAAAAATAGAAATTCTTTTGAAATGCAAAACAAAATTTTAAAATAAGAAAGAACCGCATAAAGAAAAGATTTTTATTTTTGCCTTATTCTAATCATTCTTCTGCAGCATAACTTTGTTTGTATATATATATATCTTATCGGCAATATCAGTTTATATATGGCTAATTACAATCACCCTTTATATATTCTGTCATTTTTAAAATCATGTGCTATAGGCAAGTATGCACCATATATATATACAAAGATTTTATAAGAATGTGTGTTACGTGTGTAATAATATCACATTGCATTATACTATAGAGTGTATCACATACCAAAAAAAAAAAAAGATAGACGGAAAAACATAGTAACATAAGAAAAGAAAAAGAAAACCTGAACACGTTGACGGTCACCGGTCTGCAAGTAAACGGTCACATTGAAGCAGATGGGTTTAGGCTTACGACTAAGACCAGCTATCGTCATCATCGATTGACCGTCAAGATCTTTTCTCTGCGTGGATGTTTCTCTTTACGCCACGTGGACACGAGTCACCACAACCTGACCTGTGATTGAACCATAGTTAAAAACACACACATCTTTACCACCCTCTCGTAGCCATCATTCACTTCTTGTCGTCTTCTGCTGACTCAGATTTCTCCTCTTGTTCCATTGTACGACGACACGTGTATCATTCGCTTCTCCGCACGTGTCAGATTCTAGTCTTCAATACGGTGCGTTTGGTCTCGCTGCCTGAGTTTTTGTTTTTGTTTTTAATACTACATCTTTTTAATACACCTTCCGAAAAATTCCTTTTGTTATATCTTAGCCGTAGAATATTAGCAGAGTTATTTAAGAAGATTTATGTTTAGGAGGTGTGTCTCTGATAATTCCCAATTGTAAAATAACTTTGAAACTTTTATAATCGATTTTTTTTTTGTGCAAATAAGTTTTACGATCGATTATAGTAATTAACTGAGGCTATATGCTGATTACGCCTACGTGGTTGCTAGTTATAGATGTTGGAGGAGGCAATGGAAGCACGTCGTGGAGAATGTACGTTCATATGATGTGCTATCGGTGATAACCTCTTTCACCACAAAGTTTATTTCTCCTTTTTCACCACAAAGTTTATTTCTCCTTTTTCACCACAAAATTTCAACATTTTGCCTATAATATTAACTTTACATAAAATGTAGATTTGATAAATTATTCTAATATTTTTGCGTCAAAGAAGGCTCTAGCTGACAATAGTTCTTCTTATACCTTTCACCTTATTTTTTTTATAATTTGATTTTAGGTCAATGAATCCACTAAAATATAGCTTTTCAACAAACGTTGGGGAGTAAGAAGTTAAACACATGGATCAATAACACATGTGTGGCAAATAAGTTAATTAACACCTACTAGCATCTTACAAGGAAGGAACTATTGTTTAAAAACCTACCAGTCACAGATAAATAAAATTTACAACTCACAATAACCCTCTTAAACTATATACAAAAGGGTCGTCCGATTGAGACCAGAAGCCGCATAAGCAGGTATGTTCCTAAACAAAAGAGAGAAAGAAAAATAAGAAAGTCGAAATTTATCATTTTTTCCCTGCAAATTTTGACTTACCGTGCCAAAGCTGGTGGATTCGATAGCAAAATTTCTTCAGTCACTGTCTGAGAAGAGCTTGTGTTCTTTCTTCTAATGTAGTAATGTACAGTTCGTGATGTTTCGGTCTGAAACAAAGAAGAAGAACGGGACAACTTGGCTCTTTTAGAAGATGATTGACATGTTTCTCGAGGCGAATCAAGAGTTGATACTTACACAATACAAGACGAGATCATTCTGAAGCTAAGGAAGCGTAGGCTTGAAGTTAATCCGCAGAGATTTTTTCTCCTCCAATTGCCGCTACAAGGGTTTACAGATTCAGTTATTTTAAAGGAGTCGGAAGAACACACACTGGAAATTATGAATGACGTCCACCTATTATGGTCCATGGCTATTGAATAAGCGTTTAAAAGATTTTTTATTTTTTTTCCTTGTGGAAGAGTAAACTGAATACTTTTTTTCTTTCATTTTTCCATACAGCAACTCAAGTTTTTAGTCGAAATAGTGCAATAATTGTCTATCAAATCTCATACCTTAAGTACGGTTTCAAGCGTGTGGTCAGATCTGGTTCTGTGCAAGCACCATTCCATTGCCATTTCAAATTCAAGGGTGTTCGGCTGCGAACAACGAGATGTAGCCATGGTATCTCTCTACAAACAAATTTAAAGATCAAAGAACAAGAACCTTGTTAAACGAACGATGCATTTTAACTTGCGTGTGAAAAAAGGGCAGCGAACAAAATACCGCCTCTCGTCGCACTTGAGGTTTGTGTGGTTTGATATGGCCGCAGAATAATGGCGGCTTCCCTGGAGGGTTAATCTTAGCAAACGCAGCAACAAGGGGCCTGATAAACAGAAGAAGAAGATCATTAATGCACACATGCGTACACATCATACCACATGAAAACTGCTATGTCATGCGCGGTTTACCTCCCATTTGATAGCAATAAGCAGCCTTCATCTAGTCTTACAATCGCTCTTTCTGCAGCTTCTCTTGAATTGAATATGACCAACGCTTGACCTGTACATCAACCAATATGCCATAGTAAGGCTCCTCCTTCTAGTTCTACTACGTGATAACCATAAATCAGAACCCCTCTTGAGTAATATGGTGGCTTACCAATATGAGATATAGTATATGATGTACGCTCTATCATCCTCGCTGTACATTGCTCATTCAAAGCAGAATAGACTATATCCTGGAATATAATTTCTAAATTTCTTAGATAACATATAAAGAGAGAGAGAAGGGAGATTTCCATGAGGTAAACTAGCAAACAACTGAACTACATGCGGTTACGTTGATTACGCAAATACAAAATACGTTTAAGAGACTTTTTAAAAAATAAGCTCTTTACAAATCGCTAATACCTGCACTTCATCAGATGTATAAGTAGGATCCAAGTTTTGAAGGAGAACCAGTTTCTCTTCCTTTTCTGCTTCCCTCACACTTTCTTCCCAAGGCTGAACATGTTTTAGCAAATTTAAAAGTCAGTCCAGATTTAACACCAAAAGGCTATTTCTGATATGACGTACAAAAACTGATACCGATCCAGACTAGCTAGAAGAGAAATAGACAGGACACAAACAGATGCGTATATAAGAGAAACAATCTGAGTGTGGATATCAAAGTAACAATTGAGAGTCTCGAACATAGAAACGATCAAGAAAATATATCACTTTCTGATTAGCAATGACTGAGTCATTAAAAATTCAATAGGAAGAATTAACAGGTCACACTATTAACTTCAAAAACCAAGCATGTCAAACACAAAAAATGGAGGCAACCAAAAACGACCATTCACAGAGTTGAGGAAGGAAGGGAAAAATACTTACAAGAGGTCGAAACCATTTGCTGTTTACCTGAGATCAATAAAAAGGAAACAAAAACCTATTAGATGAACCTCCATGATTACAAGCACCGTGGTAGTGGAATCTCATGAATCAGCCAGTTCCAAACCAATGTAGAATAAGTCATATGGCATGAATCGCATAATTTGTAAACTTACAGCTTCAGGCTTTGGCCTCACTTCAATTACTTGATAATTTTTTTCGTAATCATCTGCCAACATCTTGTCCTCAGCGCGTTTTAATAGCTTACCATCAAAGCTGGGTTTCTTGGATAAACCTTTTTCAGTTGCAGTTTTTGCATCTTTTCCTTCAGAAACTGACACCCCCAGATCTCGATTCTTCTTAGCAAAACTGGGCTTCTCGTGAGAGACTTCATCTCCTGGCACTCTGTCTTTAGGTCTCTTAAAACATTCTAAATCTCTTTTACCATCAGAACTAATTTTCTGCAGAATGTTTGTATTTCGTCCATTTGGTACTGTAACAGAACCATCTAGTTTCTGTTTCTTTTGAGGCCTGTCATCCAATCCATTCGACTCTTTACTTAATCTTTCTTCAGCGGGCAGAGACTTTTGTTTAGTCAACTGTTTTTTCACATCATCTACTTGAGCTTTCTTGGAATTGGAATGATTTACCCTGGAGCCAGAAGCTTCACAAGAATTACTATATCTTTCTTCTGCAGGCATAGCTTTTTGTTTAGTAAATTGTTTTTTTACTTCACTTTCTTGAGCTTTTCCATCACAATGATTTCCACCAGAGCCAGAAGCTTCACGAGAGTCATGTTTATTGTGGCCCGTGCCTTCCTGCACACCAGAATCCTTGTTAGACCTTTCTTCTGCAAGAGTAGGTTTCTCTGTAGCCAGTTGATTGTGACCTTTTTCTTTCCCTTCTTTACGACCACAGCTGTTTTCTCTACAGTCAGAAGATTCAATAGGCTTATCTTCGGCTGTCCTAACTGAACCACAAGCTAAAAGACCATTTGGTTTCAAACTATCTAGATTTCCATTTATGCGTGCTTCAACTTTCTGCAGAGCAGTTGCTTCTTTCTTACTATCCGCTCTGTTAAAGATAAATTGAACTGCAAGAATTAGAGTGAAAAGAAGATGTGATGTAAATAACGAATCAAGATAGGAATTGATCACAGAGGAAAATATCAAAGCTATCAGATGAGATGAAGTGAAATGTACCGTCAACTCCAGCGACTTTATCATCTATCGTATCCACGACTTTACAAGTTCCAACATCAAATGCTCGGCGGAATACAAAGTTTGCTGACTTGATTTCTTCATCCGTAGGTTGTGGATTCCTTTTGTCCTTTGAAATGCATAGAACAGAGCATTTTCCACAAATTGCTTCCTAGTTGAATAAAGTTTATCAGTACACAATGCAGGTGTGATTTACTAACTGATCTCGAGCACCAGCTATAAGCACATAAAGTGAAACGAATATGCCGACCGAAACGAGACACAACGACGAGTTTGATTCAACATCGAAACTGTTGGGGAATCTTCAAAAAGAAAAAAAAACGAAGCTACATATTCTAGTTCCTTATCAACGACTATAAGTCACAATTGACTTCAGTTCTTTTGCTTTAGAGTGAGATCTATCAGGGTAACAAAAGAAGACAACAAAAAAAGCTACATGGAGACATATGTAGGTGAAGATAGAACAAGTTATCTACTAGACAAGAAAATTTCAGTGCTCAGAACAATATGAGATGCATATCAGTGAAAATTTGTAAAAAGTATACAGAAGGACAATCAGTTACCAATTGGCTGATATTAGCGACGCCGAGACCTTCACCCGACGCTAAGAAGAGTTCGTTTGCAAGTATATCTGGGACTCCTTCAAGTATATCTGGCGAAATCTCAGAAGGTTTGTAGAACCAGAGAAGCTTGACATGCCTTGGGGTTTTAGCACGCTTATTACACTTTTCCCAAATTTTGATGATCATGCCTATAAAGAGTTCATCAGAGTCTGGTTCACTGGGATCGGCAACCAAGACACAGTCATAAAGACAGTACTCATCACCGTCAAATGTGAAGGATTCATAGAACTGCACATCTTTCTTTACTCCCCCGATTCCTCTCTTTTTACCCCACTTAAATTCTAAGTCTTTAGCTCCTGTTGGCTCTCCCATTCTCTAAAAAGCAGTTTTTCTACCTGGCACAAGCAGCAGAATCGTGCAACCAAATCAGACAACTGAACAAATTATTCATCTGAACAGATGCATACAAGATTTCCCACAAAAGATCGACTCTTTTCAAAAGGATAACCGAGAATTACTCGAACAAGGTGCATAACAGCTCTACTGCTCTTCACGAGCTTCGTAACAACAAAGGACACATAAGAGGAAAACACCATCCTAAGAGATATTAAATCAATCAGTCCCATAAATCTCTCCTAACGTAATCAACTCTCGATCAGTTATCTACCATTTACCCCAATCAATCAACTCCTAATCACTCTGAATCTCTATCGGAACAAGTGGTAAAAAAAGGCAACACAATTCATCTCCCAATCAAAACATTAGCTAAAAAAATGGAATTTTTTTTTCATGCAATATAATGTAGGCTGAGATAAGCAATTGTGTTCTTGAAAAACAACGATGAACTGGGAAACAAGAAGACTAAAGTCCTCTCTGACAAAAAAAAAACAGCTTTTTACCTTCACTGAAGAAATTCAAGTTTACAGTTTTCCGAGTCACCGAACAGATGACCGAACCCTAGAAACCAATGCTCGAAATCAGAGTAAGCCGAGTTCGATTAGGTCAAAATTGGCGAGGCCCAGGTAGGTTATCGCGGAGAGAGAGAGAGAGAGAACAAAAAACCTAATTCGCCGTTCACCAGTTACCCTACTTCCTCCCTCCCTCCAGTCTCGCTCAAATTGATATATAAATGAATTCAAATCTTTATCCGAGCAGAATCTCTTCTCTTTGGTATATTCAATTTTGTTGAAGATTGTTGCAGTTTCCAGAAAACGGTAAGGACACACAGTTCATGAAATTGAAAGCGCTTCCTTTTGTTTGGGATTTCATTAGGTTTTATAAAAGTAAAAAAAAAAAATTATTTCCTGAACTGATAAACAGATAAATCCTAAACCTGAAAGGTCAAAAAAACTTATTACCCTCTAATCTTCTCGGACCAGACCAGAACATGTAAATTTAGTTTTCTCGGTAAACATTGAATTTCAAACGCGTGACTTTGTACCCTCTAATTTTTACCCCTCAAGACGGTAATTGTTTAATAATAAATCCCATGTTGTCTTTTGACATGATGAACGAAACGAGATAATTTTGTAGCGAATGTAAAGGCACATGCATGCATTCGCTGACAAATAATGTTTTGGGCATAACATATGTTTGGTCGAGTGGAAGTGATGTATTGGAGATAATCTACAGTACCTTTTGGGCAACGAAGACCAATATACTTTAGTAGTTTCGTGGCCTTTTTTTCTGACAAATAATCAAGTACGCAAGCGTAAATATTCTTAAACGGAAGCTTTTTTTTATGTAATGCGTCAAGATATGAGACAATTGCAATAAAGATTCGAGAAGCATGTGCCATTTAAACAAATCAATGTCCTCATACCAGTTCAGTAGCAGAGTGGCTACTTTCCATCCATCAATATTAACAAGTTAGAGACGTGTTTTTTCAGAGGAGGACATGTTTTATTAGACAGACAGGATAATACTGTTTGGACTTCAGATGAGTTGGGTTTAGAGATACTGGGCTGTTGTTATAAGTGGGCCGTGCATCTTCTGTTGTAAATTAAACGACCGCGTTTTGTGTCATTACTATTCGCAGAATCAAAATGATAAAAATAAATGCGGTGAGCGTGGATCGAACACGCGACCTTCAGATCTTCAGTCTGACGCTCTCCCAACTGAGCTATCCCCGCAAGATGCTTATCTTCCTATATTTGTTAATATAAACCTAGAAATATACTTTGGTTTTGTAGAGATGATGAACTTTTAAGAGACCAACGACGAAATGACTTACGAAATACAAAAAACAAAATCTTAGCGTTGCTTTAATCAAAAACATTGCCCAAGAATTGGTAGTGATACAACTAACTGTCTTTTTGTTGTTCTTTGTTATATAAGCCTCCTTCCTATTAAAGAAAATACGGAGAAGTGCGGTTGGGCTCTTAGTGTTTGAGCCAGTAGTTTCGTAGCTGAGCCATATGCAACAATATCTCGTCCCGACCTTGATTCGTCACACTGCTGGTCATAATCCATGGCGGTGTTGTCTCAAAGAATCCTTGGATCAAATCTTGGAACTCCTTTATATTCTCCTCCGGTTTCTTCCCTCCGTTTTTCTTCTTCTTCCTCTTGTCGCATTTCGTGAATACCATCGTCATTGGCACCTGAGATTACAGATAACAATCATTCATTCCACCGAGACAAGACATAAATTAGTAAAAAACCTTCATCAGTGATGAACAGCTAATGGGGATTCTAAGGGTTTTTAAGTTTTAGAAGAGTTTCTTTCTTTTCATACCTGGTTTTGACCAAGCCAGCTAGCGTAATCGAGGTCGATTTGCTTTGGAGGGATGCTGGCATCAACTAGCAAAAATACTGAGACTAATGTTGATCTGTTAAGGAAATAGTCTTTGGTGAATTTGTTCCAGTCTAGTTTCAGTTCATGCGGTGCTGATGCAAACCTGCAAATACCAAATGCATCAACTTCATTTTTTTTATAGCGAAAGTCTTCGAGATTTCCCAGGACAGAAACTGTAATTGTAATTGACAAAAAAAAAAAAAAAAAATGCTAGACAGAGACCGGTACGAAATGAAACACTTTCAGAACATTCTCATATTCAGATTCCGATGGCCAGAGACTTTGGCAATAGTCTCATACGAAAATGAAAACAAAATGATATAACTTTAACTTACCCGTAGCCAGGCAAATCTACCAAGTACCAATTGTCGTTGATCCGGAAATGATTAATGCATTGCGTCTTTCCTACATCAATGATAAGTTACCAAGAATTATGATGGGAACCAAAGTCTGTTTTTTTCGTGTGTGCTTCATTCCAGTGCTAGGATTGCTTTACGGTTCAATCTCGTACAATAACTTTACAAGGATAATCCAGTCTACCAGATAGTAAGAACAAGTTACGGCTCCACACTAAAGGGACAGTTCCTTCATATAAACACTAAAATCCCGTTGGCATGATATTGTTATCGCAAGATCAAGCATACCACATTACTCAAAACGATTCCGTCGAGTGACGCCACATCTTAGTAAACATAAATCTCCTCATGAACACGAAGAACTGAAAAGATCACTGAGTCTTAAACATCCAATTCCTTCAACCACAGTATTCAATTCAGTTTCACATCACATTTCACCCCAAAAAAGGCCACTATCCAGACCAAAAGTGGAAGCTTTGTATCCAATTATCTAATTACATCTAAAACCATATACAAATCAAAACACCAGGTGAATGATAATCACGACAGAGCGAACCTCAGCTTACCAGGTTTCTTTGAGGTCAAGGCAAGGCGTTTCCTCCTCACCAACGAATTGAGGAGTGAAGATTTCCCAACGTTGGATCTCCCGACGAGCGCAAACTCCGGCAGCCCATCGGCCGGACAATCCTCCGTCCGGACACTGCTCTTCACGTAGTCGGCCTGAACCACCTGTGCGTCCCTCGCGTACTTGCTGAGCACTATGTTCGAACCCTTCAGTATCCTCGTCGTTAGACTCGCCGGGTTGTCGCCGGAGATATCCGTCTCCGGCGGAATAAAAAGCTTGTCGAGGGAAATCTCCACAGGAGCATCATCTAGATCGGATGCATCAGAGACCGGCAGTGGTATGGGTTCAACCGCGGCGAGACTGGATTTAGGCGCGAATTGAAAAAGGGTTCTGACTGCTGTAACCGGCGGCTTGGGGTTTATGAAATTGAAATGCGAAGAAGAGAGAGAGAAAGGGGATTTCGCGAAGACGGAGAAATGAAATCTTGGAAGCTGCGCTAAAATCATAGCTGATTGATTTCCTTCACTTCTTATAGTCGTATGTGCAGTTTTTTCTCTCTAGATTCTTAGAACAGCCATGGATGTTCGAGGAGAGAGCTTACGGGGCTGCTGATGGAGTGAGAAAAATCCAGAGGAGGCGCAGGTTGGAGAAAATATCCGCAGCAAAACGCATCGTTTTGGGATTTTGGTTGTGGTAAGCAGGACGAGAACTTTCCTGATTTGCAATTCGCCCTCTCTGTTTCTACGATTGTATCAATTCGCCTCTATCTTCTTTGTTTCGTGTCACGTAATTTATTCAGTACAATCAACAACAGCTTTATTATCTTCGGTACTCTTTCTCATATCGTAGAAACTGCCAGAGAAAATGATTTTGCTGACAAAACTTATTAGAAAGTCATCTCATGTTGAATCTTAAACATTACATGAAGTTACAAAATGGATTACTAAAAAGTACCTCCAATGGACTAAATAAAGAATAGAGGGGTAAGTTAGGAATAAAACAAAAACTAGGAGGTGTACATAGCAAATCCGGTCGTTGGCGTCTTCTCCCACCTCTCGACGCACGGGACTCGACCAGTGAACCAAAATCTCTCTCTCAATCGTAGCAGCGCCTGCTTCTGATCTCAGTGGGATTCTTCCCGATCGGGTGACATCTCGTGGTTCCAGCTCCGGTGGATCTCACGGCGTAAAAATCCAAATCGTATCTGAACCGCAACCATATTAACCATGTCTCCTCCAGCCGCTTCGCAGCGTAATCCATCACCGTCCCAACCTTCAGGGTAACTCATGCTCCATCCCTCTACTTCTCTCTTGATCAGTAGCGCTGCATTTCTCCTTGTTTCCCTGCATTCTTAAGATAAAAATCAGCCATCAGTTTTATGATTCGATCATCTCTTTTCATTCGTCGTCGCTCAGCTCCTTAGTTCTCGAAATTTTGATCTGTATTGCTCCTATACTAAATCCAGAAATTCAGAAGCTCATTTGTAGCAGATCTAGTTTTAGAATGTCATCTGGATTAATTCTCTGGACATGTTTTGCAACTCTAAGTTCATTTACATTTATGTCAAAAAAGCTAATGTGGAACCTGTCGAGGGCCATTCGTTTGAATTCTCTGCCTTTAGATTTTTATTTCTGATAATGAAGTGTGTATGTTCGATAATCTGATCTCTCTTCAGTCAAATGAAGCGTGAACTGAATCCATAAATTGCTCTTAATCAGGAAAAGCGAAGTGACAGATCTGAAATCCCAGCTTCGCCAGCTAGCTGGAAGTAGAGCTCCAGGTGTTGATGATTCCAAGCGCGACCTCTTCAAGAAAGTAATATCCTACATGACTATTGGCATTGATGTCTCATCCGTATTTGGAGAAATGGTCATGTGCTCGGCAACATCAGACATCGTCCTGAAGAAGATGTGTTATCTTTATGTTGGAAACTATGCAAAGGGTAATCCTGATCTCTCCCTTTTGACGATCAATTTTCTCCAAAGGGATTGCAAAGATGAGGATCCTATGATCCGTGGGCTTGCTTTGAGGAGCTTGTGCTCCTTAAGAGTGCCAAACCTTGTGGAGTATCTGGTTGGTCCCTTGGGGAGCGGGCTAAAGGACAATAACAGCTATGTGAGAACAATCGCTGTAACTGGAGTACTAAAGCTGTATCACATCTCTGCCTCGACATGCATCGACGCTGATTTTCCGGCAACACTGAAAAGTTTGATGCTTCATGATTCAGATGCTCAGGTTATTTTTTGTTTTGTTGAATGCAGTTGGACACAAACTCTCTCTAGCATTTCACTTGTTTTGTATAATTAGTACCTTTTTGATATAAAATATACTGTCAGGTAGTTGCCAATTGCCTGTCTGCACTTCAAGAAATTTGGAGTTTAGAAGCAAGTCACTCTGAGGAAGCATGCCGGGAGAAGGAATCCTTGCTTAGCAAACCACTTATATATTATTTCTTGAATCGGTATGTCCTTAAGCTCCTAAACCTTCAATGACAATACCTTGTTGTTGCAACAATGAGTTCACCTTTGTTGTGTTTCCTTGCAGGATCAAAGAGTTCAATGAATGGGCACAATGTCTCATACTTGAGTTGGCAGTGAAATATGTGCCGTCAGATAGTAATGATATATTTGACATTATGAACCTGTTGGAAGACAGACTTCAGCATGCCAATGGAGCTGTTGTCTTGGCAACAGTCAAAGTGTTTCTACAGTTAACACTCTCCATGACTGATGTTCATCAACAGGTACAAAGACCACCTCCTTTATCCGTAGTCGTGGATAAATATTCTGATGAAGTTAGTTTTGTGTGGGATTTCATGATGGTCAAATTGTGACATAGTTTCTGCAATGTCCAAAAGTGAGCATTATATTGCTTTTGGTGACGTTATCTGGAAGCTTGCAAATCAGCTTTTAATTTCTAAAAAGCATCACTTCACTCTCAGCAAAACTAAGTCATCACCGTTGGATGAGATTTGAAATTAGACTAGTGTTTTCGTAGTTTATTATGATCACTGTCTCACTGGTGCCTAATGATCTTGTATAGGTATATGAGCGTATTAAATCCCCACTTCTGACTCTCGTCAGTTCTGGAAGTCCAGAGCAGTCGTATGCAATCTTGAGCCATCTTCATCTTTTGGTTGTTCGTGCGCCATTCATCTTTGCCGCGGACTATAAGCATTTCTACTGCCAGTACAATGAACCCTCATATGTCAAAAAGTTGAAGCTTGAGATGTTGACTGCTGTTGCAAATGAGAGCAACACTTACGAAATTGGTATTGTTTCAAACTATGTCAATATGGAATCTGGAACGAAAACCTTTCTCTTCTGGCTCTTTAACGTGGCTGCTTCGTTATTTTCTGTCCATTCAGTGACGGAACTGTGTGAGTATGCTGCAAACGTTGATATTGCAATTGCAAGGGAATCAATTCGGGCAGTTGGGAAGATTGCTTTGCAGCAGTATGATGTAAATGCCATTGTTGATAGACTTCTTCAGTTTCTGGAGATGGAAAAGGACTATGTCACTGCTGAAACTTTGGTAAACTATCATACGTACTATTCATCGAGATGATTTGCCATCATATTGTGTGCATGTTCATGACTAATCCATTTGTCTGTCTCCTCCTTTAGGTTCTTGTGAAGGATCTTCTAAGGAAGTATCCGCAATGGAGCCATGATTGCATTTCTGTTGTAGGCGGTATCAGCAGTAAAAATGTCCAGGAACCGAAAGCTAAGGCGGCTCTTATATGGATGTTGGGTGAATATGCTCAAGACATGAGTGATGCTCCTTATATTTTGGAGAATCTGATAGAAAACTGGGAAGAGGAGCATTCGGCTGAGGTACTTAGGCATCGCGTTTCTGTTTTCTTTTTCCTTTATCAAACTGCAAAGATATGCGAAAGGAGTAAGTACGAAGGGCGTTTCAAAATGGGGATCACGCGAAAATGTCAAACGCAGAAAGAGAGCTGGGATTAGGAAAAAGTGTAACATATAAAAATGAAAAAGGAGTAGTTTCATAAGATTTTCCGAAAAAAATTACGTTGATCTAGCAGTAATTGCTAGTATGGTTCTATGTTTGCTCGAAAAAATGGCTTGCACATTCGTCTAATGAAAGTATTGTCCCGTTGATCAGGTTCGGTTGCATCTTCTAACTGCAGCAATGAAATGCTTTTTCAAGAGGCCACCTGAGACTCAGAAAGCCCTAGGAATAGCTCTAGCTGCAGGCATGGCTGATTTTCATCAGGTATCATCCAATCTCCCCCTTCCAGATTTCTCTTGTTTTGAAACCAGTAGGCCATTAAATCACTTATTCAACATTCACTGTTGGAGTAGGACGTTCATGATCGAGCCTTGTTCTACTATCGGGTTCTGCAATACGATGTACATGTTGCAGAACGTGTTGTTAGCCCTCCAAAACAGGCGGTTTCAGTCTTTGCTGACACTCAAAGCAGTGAAATCAAGGACCGTATCTTTGACGAGTTTAACAGCCTTTCTGTGATCTACCAGAAGGTATGTTTTCTGACGTTACTGCCCAAAAAAATGTAGTATTATGCATTCATTATTCAGAGCTTTTCCTTAGTTGCTTTCATAGTAACGTAATTTTTATTTTGCAGCCATCTTACATGTTCACGGATAAGGAACACCGAGGTCCGTTTGAGTTTTCAGACGAACTTGGGAATGTTTGCATCACACCTGAAGCCTCCAGCGACATTGTTCCAGCTCAGCAATTTGAGGCAAATGACAAGGACCTGCTTCTGAGTACTGACGAGAAGGATGACAACAAAGGACTTTCCAGTAACAATGGCTCCGCTTACACGGCTCCTTCGTTTGAAAACTCTAATATATCCTCACAACTGCAAGAGCTTGCAATCTCTGGACCCGCCACGTCCGCAACAACCCCACAGTCTAGCTTTGATTTTGATGATCTCCTTGGTTTGGGTTTACCAACAGCTCCTGCTCCAACATCATCACCGCCTCTCTTGAAACTTAACCCAAGAGCTGCTCTAGACCCAGGCGCATTCCAACAGAAATGGCGCCAATTGCCAATATCATTAACACAGGTTTTCTTTTTTTGTTGTTCTTCCGCAATTTGGCACCTCGCGACGCTATTTTTTTTTTAGCTTCCTCGTACATTCTAGCCTTGGCTCGATTTTTAATCACTCGTTCATGAATCTTTCGTCTGCATTTCTTACATTGTTAGATGCATTTGGAATCGTAACATTAAAAAAAAAAAATTGGTCGGGGATTTTGACTAGTGAGAGATTGTAACTTTCTTAACTTCATGCGCAGGAGTATTCTGTGAATCCCCAGGGAATCGCGGCATTGACAGTTCCGCAATCACTTATCAAACACATGCAGAGCCATTCCATCCACTGCATCGCATCGGGCGGTCAATCTCCAAACTTCAAGTTCTTCTTCTTTGCTCAAAAGGAATCAGAAGCCTCAAACTATCTCACTGAGTGTATCATAAACTCTTCATCCGCCAAAGCTCAGATTAAAGTCAAAGCGGACGAGCAGAGTACCTCCCAGGCATTCGCAACCGTATTTGAAACAGCCTTGTCCAAATTTGGCATGCCTTGAAAAGCTTTGAATAAAGTTAATCTCTATGTATCAATAGTATCTTCTGGATGATCTCTACATTTGTTGTAAAATGCGATAATACTTCATCAGTTTTGTAGTCTCAAGAGATTTTCTTTCCTTTTTGGGGTGTTATGGACACGTACTATTTACTCTTGGACTTGAAACTTTCGAATGAAATTATATGATTTGGCTGCGTTTACGTTACAGCTTTAACACACGTAACAAGTGATCTCAAACGGAATAAAATCTGTAAAAATGAAGGTTAGTTTTGGGAATTTATTTATTTTATTAAGACGACGGAGGAAAAAAAAAAAAGTCTTGAGTTTTTGGTTTTTATATTGTCGTGAGTGGTTACGATTTCTTCATTTTCGTAAACATCTAGGGAAGAGAGGGGAGATAGGGAAGTGAGAGGGGGAAACCCTAGATTCGATCTCCATTCGATTTGATTCGTTTCTCGAATCGAAGACGATGGTGTTCTACTTCAAGGCCCGACCAGATGCCGGCGACTACACCATCTTCATGGGGCTTGATAAGTTCGAGAACGAGGAGCTCATCAAGTACGGCTTCCCTGAAGACGTCTGGTAAGCGAGAAAAATTCTTGATTTGTGTTTCCGATCATCAGTTTTTTTGGTTTCTGTGTAGTTCTGTTTTCGGATCGGTGTTAATTTAGTTGGTTTGATCGAATTCCGACTTTGTTCCCTTTGTTTATGGTCAGATGTTATGTTTCGTCATGATCTATTGTAGATTGATTGATTTGGTAAATCCATGGAAATGAAACGGAGAAGAATATGGTGGTCAACCTTTGCTCAAGTTTATTTTAATTATTATTTCACTGAGTCTTGCTGTGGGCAGTCGTTTGTATCTTGTCTATTCTATCAATTTAAAAATCTCTGAAATTGTTTGTTTGCTGAGAGATGCATTAGAAATGATTGAGGATAATGATACGAGCTTAAATGTGGTCATCGCTATTCTATTTTCTGGGATAGATTTGGTTGCATGTCTATTGTCCACTCATGCTTTGTTGGCTATATTCCAACTTTGATGTTTGCAGATATGAATAGAGGGGTTTGGTACTTTGACATTTTCCTTTTTTTTGTTTGTTTTAAAAACAAACTATAAGAGTTGAATTTTATGGCTTATCTATTGATCACATGCTGCTGCTTAGCATTTATATTTCGGTTCAGTAAGTTTATTCACATGACTGAGGTGTATGAGTGAACTTATGGATACAATCATGTCTATCGTTTGGTCATGCTGTTCTTACTTATTTCAGTATTTGATGTGTTCAGACATGAATAGGTTGTTGTTACCTTCTAAATCGACGATTTCCTCTCTTTTTCCAAATAAACTCTAGAGAGCTCCACCTACTCTGCATTTAGCTGATTCATGACCAAATGCTAAAAGTAATTGTAATCTGATGCAGGTTTCACGTTGATAAAATGTCGTCAGCTCATGTTTACTTGAGGCTTCACAAAGGCCAAGGTTTTGATGACATTAGTGAAGGTGTGCTGGAGGACTGTGCCCAGCTTGTGAAAGCTAACTCCATTCAAGGTAATATCCTTTTCTACTTGTTGTGAACTTAACATTTACGTAACCATTAGTCTTGGAGTATCAGCTTGTTCCCATTTCTCAGTTTCGTTTAGAAGGAGGGCACATATAGGCTATATACTGTTTTCTTACCGACTGGTCTCTGGGATTATGTGCCAGGCAACAAGGTGAACAACGTCGATGTTGTGTACACTCCCTGGTGCAACTTGAAGAAAACTGCTTCCATGGATGTTGGTCAAGTTGGTTTCCACAATTCAAAGATGGTATGCTTCTTCATCTCTCAAGAAACTTTAGTTGGGCATGCGTGAAAACCACTCAAGTATGGTTGCAGACCTGACCGATAATTTTGGTTTTTTTTTCAAGGTTCGGACCATCAGAGTGGAGAAGCGAGTCAATGAAATAGTTAACAGATTGAATAAGACAAAAGTTGAAAGAACGCCTGATCTGAGAGGTAAGTCTTTGGTTTGTGGGCTTGCTTATCCTTAACTTCCAATAGATAGAGATTGTACGTACATCTTTCACGTTCTTACAGCGTCCTTACAATTCCTGGTAGATGAAGTGACTAGTTTTTCTGTATTTTAATTTGTGTTGGTTGTTCATAATGAAGCCGAGAGAGAAGCAGTGAATGCTGCAGAAAGGGCGGAGAGGAAACTGCATCTGAGGGAGAAGGTCAGTTTCTGTTTTGGTCCTTGTATCTTCCTAAATCTCTGAAAGGTCTATTGATCAGGGCATTTGACTCTCAAGTCTCGTTGTTTCTGGGTTATGCAGAAGAAGCGCGAAGAGATAGAGAGGCTTGAGAAGGAGAGGCAAGCCGAGATGAGGAGCTACAAGGGATTGATGGTAAGTGATAAAATGACATCCAACAAAGACATTGCTTCAAGCAACAAATCGCTTCAAGAACTCGAAGACGATTTCATGTAAAAGCATTGAAGAAATGAGAAAAAAACAAACAAACCAAGTCGGTAACATTCTGCCAGAGGTGATCTGGTGCTGTCCTTCTAAGAAGGCTTATGATGTTCTACTAGCCTTCGACTATAGTGATGATGATCATTGCCTTGTTTCATCTTTTGTTTCAAAAAGTCTTGAATACCTAAAACCCTAATTTGGTTCCATTGAAATGTTTCAGAGGAGTGAATCTGAATTGTGAGAAAAATAGAGAGCGTTATATAACACAGGTGAGCCAGTGATCTGGTGCGATCATGGTTTACTCTACCTTGCTGTGTTTGTTGAAAATCATTTTACTACCCTTATAGTTTTGACTTTGTGCTCAAAAAGTCCCAAAGTTAATTTACATGGTTGAGAGCATAGGTATAATCTCCCCCACTTCATATGAAGCTGCCCTTCTTAGGTCCGACAACCGGATTGACTATCGTTTTAAGCCACATTATCCAAAATAGATTATACTTTTCGATATTCAATTCAAAACAATATTTGAAGTACATGTTCTTAGTTATTCAATATTTTTAGTCGAAAATATCCTTGATATGTATATATGGAAATACTGGTTGGGTTATCCGTATCCCCACCCTAAAGTCCCATGATTTGAAATAATACCCGAGGGTGGCCCCAAAGTTGATATCAGGCAATCAATAGTCCAACTATTATAATGTACTGAAATTCGAACGAATATTAAAATCTGGGTAAAATTCGGAAAAGGGAAAAAAGAAGGGGGAGAAAAGATGAGAACCAAATAATGACATGTCCGTTGAGAAGAACTTTAAAAAGATAGGAGACACGTGTCATATAATATTTAAAATGGACGGCTGAGATTTGAATTAGATCACAGATTCGGAGCCGCTTGATAGAAGAAGAAGAAAAAAAACACAAACGTTTTTGAGTGTCTTTCTATAGGGTTTGTTTGAAAAACATTCTACACTAAAAAAATCCAATTTCCGCCATTCATGTTTGAAATAGCTCTACCGACCGTTTAGATTTCTCTCATTTACTTCGAATTTTTTTAGTCTCTTTCTCTCTCTCAATACACAGATTCTGAAGTTTAATAGTCCCAATCAGAGATTTCTCGTTCGCGATTTGGGTTTTTTTAAATTCTCATCCTCTCCCTCTCTTCGAGATCTGATCACTTCCATTTCTGAAGCTCCCGTCGGTGAGTTCTCCGATATATATATGATTAGAGATCTCGAACTAGGTCTGATTAATCTTCGTATCTAGATTTATTTGGGTATTATGATGTCATTTCGAATTTATTGTATGATCAATGTATTTCTATTTAAAGTTATTACGAACCAATCTTCAGTAGAGAGAGGCCTTTGGATCCAAAAAAAATACCAAATTTGAGATGTGAAGCAAAACACCAAATTGTCCTACTGTAATAACTTGGTATGTATCGACGGATTTTGAGAGACCGTCTCTAATTCCTATGTATGTTTCTTCACATTTTCATTTTGGGCAGATTGTGAGAGGATGGAACAACAACTTTGTTAGATAATGTTTTGGAGTTCACATTGCGGAGAAGAGAGGAAACGTATGGGAACTGGAGTTACTATTTTTGCTTCTTCATTGACAAGCTATGGAAAGTGAGTGTACACCAATCTCAACCCCTCCTGAGGGGATTCTTGAAGGGAGCTCGAAATCGCGTCACGGGTATGCTTCTCTTTTAACACTACTTACTATTAATAGACCGTTGCCTTGCCTCTCCATAGACTAGCACTAAAGGTGAAGAAATCGTTTTCATGCCAACAGGTTTTGTTTTGTTTTTGTTCTGTCGATTTTGCAGGAGAACTAGTGGCCCCGCAAGACGTTCAACTCGAGGTCAATGGACAGCAGAAGAGGTTAAATTTTTTATGTTTCCTTCAACTTTTTTTTCACAATGTAATTAGTGATTCTTTATGCTTAGATACATGTATTGCACTGAACCAGAGATACACAAGAAGTGGGCATTTGGATATATGCATTTCTTCACTCTTTGATCTGCATAGTTTATCATCTGTTTGACCAATCATATTTTGCAGGATGAGATTTTGAAGAAAGCTGTCCATAACTATAAAGGGAAAAACTGGAAGAAGATAGGTAAAATTTCACTATTTGGCATACTTTGCTGACGATTCTTGTCTAATTGAATGTCGTCACATCTTTGTCTGATCTCCTTTTTCTTAATTTCCAGCTGAATATTTCAAGGATCGAACTGATGTCCAGTGCCTCCACAGGTGGCAGAAGGTCCTTAATCCTGAACTTGTTAAAGGGCCATGGACCAAGGAGGTGACAATCATAAGCTTTTCTTCACTACCTGTTGGCTTTATTGTTTCCAAAGATCCCCTATGACTGCTTATTGCTCTCGTTTGATATGTGTGTAGGAAGATGAAATGATCGTTCAGTTAATCCAAAAATATGGGCCCAAGAAGTGGTCCACTATTGCTCGATATTTACCTGGCCGTATTGGAAAGCAATGTAGAGAGAGGTAGACAGTTATTTCTCTAGGAACGACAGTGTTTTACTAGCACTTGAAAGCTTTCGTACTCTTTTCTAGATTTTTACTGTGAAGTGTGTAAACAAACACTCACAACGATCGTAACTGATATAGGTGGCACAATCATCTCAATCCTGCCATAAACAAAGAAGCTTGGACTCAAGAAGAAGAGCTGGTTCTGATTCGTGCTCATCAAATCTACGGTAATAGATGGGCAGAGTTAACAAAGTTCTTGCCTGGAAGGTACTAATATTTATTGTCTTCTGGAAATAATCGTACATCTATTAAATGCTAAGTCTTCCTCTATTTATCGTAGCGATATGGTTTTTTGATGCTATGTTATCAACAGGTCGGATAATGGAATTAAAAATCACTGGCACAGTTCGGTTAAGAAGAAACTCGATTCCTACATGTCCTCTGGCCTTTTGGATCAGTACCAAGCCATGCCTCTAGCTCCTTATGAGAGAAGCTCCACGTTACAATCTGCCTTTGTCCACACAACTACAGATGGTAATGGCTGCCTAAGTGGACAGGCGGAGAACGAATTAGAAAACTCTCAGAGTTCAAGCATGGCTGGTTGCTCTCTATCTGCAAGAGATTATCAAAATGGAGTAATAAACATGGGGCACCATTTTCACCCCTGTGAAAGCTCTTACAAGAATGAGCAAGCTGCATATCATTCGGATCAGTATTATTTTCCGGAGTTAGACGATATCTCGGTCTCCATCTCAGAAGTATCTTATGACATGGAGGACTGTTCACAGTTTCCTGATCATAATGTCTCGGCTTCTCCGAGCCAAGATTACCAATTCGATTTTCAGGATCTATCGGATATTTCACTGGAGATGAGACATAATATGTCAGAGGTACCGATGCCATACACCAACGAGAGCAAGGAATCTAGTCTGGGAGCTCCAAAGTCTATAGATGTAGCTACGTACACCAACCAAACAAGTGTTTCGTCTGAAACGGAATGTTGCAGGGTCCTTTTCCTTGATCAAGAGAGTGAAGAGCTCTCAGCTTCAGACAGCCAGATTTCAGAAGTTACCAAATCTCCTATGCAGAGCTCTTCTTCAAGGTTCATTGCAACATCCGCCTCTGTCAAAGAAACTCTCCGGCCAGCTCCTTTAATCATATCACCCGATAAGTATGCCAAGAAGTCACCTGTATTGATATGTCATCCTTTTGAAGCAGAACCAAACTGCAGAACAGATGAAAACGGTAGCTTCATATGCATCGCCGATCCATCAAGCTCTACTTGCGTTGATGAAGGGCCTAATAACTCCAGCGAAGATGATCAACCATATCATCTGAATGATTCCAAAAAGTTGGTTCCGGTGAACGATTTTGCATCTCTGGCAGAAGTTAAGCAACACTCTATTCCTAAGCATGAGCCAAACATGGCAAGCGAGCAGCATCATGAGGATACGGGAGCATCATCATCATCAAGTCTCTGTTTCCCAAGCTTGGACCTACCTGTTTTCAGCTGTGATGTTTTACAATCCAAAAACGATTCGCTGCACGACTATAGCCCTCTTGGCATACGCAAGCTACTGATGTCCACCATGACGTGCATGAGTCCCCTTCGGCTGTGGGAATCTCCCACTGGAAAAAAGACGTTGGTTGGTGCAAAGTCTATCCTGAGGAAACGCACCCGTGATCTGCTGACACCGCTATCTGAGAAAAGAAGTGATAAAAAGCTTGAAATTGATATAGCAGCCAGTCTTGCAAAGGACTTTTCACGTCTAGATGTGATGTTTGATGAGACTGAGAGTCGAGAATCTATCTCTGGAAATAGCAATGGTGTCGATCTTGGAGATAAGGAAAACCAGTTTCAAATGTTAAATGGAGAAGGTGAAGAGAATTGGAGGGGTAAGCCTTCTTCAGTCTTTAGTCACAGAATGCCAGAAGAAACCATGCATATAGGAAAGTCACTTGAAAAACCAGAGAAAACTTGCACGGAGGAGGCAAACGTCAGGAAAAAGAATGATTCAGAACCAGATGTTGGAAATGTAAGTCTCTTCTTTCCTTTAAGCATCTAAACATATGTTGAGATATACTCCAGATTTAAGCGGAACATATACGAGATTTGGTATAGAGGAATTGGTTTTGATTATGAATCTTATGCAGGCTGAAAGTTTCTCTGGCGTTCTTTCTGAGAACAATACCAACAAGCCAGCACTGTCTTCTCCTGGTCAATCAGTAACCAAAGCAGAGAAGGCACAAGTTTCAACCCCAAGAAATCATTTGCAGAGAACTCTCATGGCTACTTCTAACAAAGAACAACATTCTTCTGCAAGTCTTTGTCTGGTCATCAATTCGCCTTCTCGAGCGAGAAACACCGAGGGTCATCTGGTTGACAACGAGAATTTCAGCATGTACATCTATGCCGCCACCTTTACTAAAATTTTGTTTTTAAAAATACTTGTTTTCATTTCTTGCTACAATGATTTTGCTTCTCCTCCATTTTCAGATTCTGTGGAACTCCATTCAGAAGAGGTCTTGAATCTCCCTCAGCCTGGAAATCTCCGTTTTATGTAAACTCTCTCTTGCCCAGCCCAAGGTTTGACACAGAGAGGTTTGACACAGATATAACTATCGAGGTATCTCATATTGCCTTAGGCTCCTTTTGATTATATATTCGACCTCTTACATTCATGGGTGCATGCAATGTCATATTCTTATAACTCATATATATCGACAAACTTTTCTGAAGAAATTTGTGCTTATTTTTTTCCAGGACATGGGATACATTTTCAGCCCTGGGGAGAGAAGCTACGAGAGCATAGGAGTGATGACGCAGAGAAATGAGCATACAAGTGCATTTGCAGCATTCGATGCAATGGAAGTTTCACTTTCGTCAAGCAATGATGATGCAAGGAAGATGAAGGAACTGGATAAAGAGAATAATGATCCTCTACTGGTAAATAATATAATATACTATACAAATCATTCAGTCTCTAAGTTGACGATTTAGAGATTGTGATTTTATGGTTCTAGAAACAAATAAAAATGTTTTTTTCCTTCATTGGTTTTGGTTTTTTTAACATTCCCATATTTATAGGTGGAGCGTCGAGTGCTGGACTTCAACGATTGCGAGTCTCCCACCAAAGTAGCAGAACAAGTCTCATCCTACCTCAATACATAATATGCACCTTTTATAAACAGACTTTAAACCCTGGTTGAATCAAATTCGCTTTTTTTTTTTTTAATGAATCAACTTGAACGAATTATGTAGATTCTGTGTTCCATATATATATATATACATCTTTAGTATTGCCTTCAATAAGCATGTACATACACGTCACAACCTATACAGTGACATATTCCTTTTCTGTTTATTTGAATTCTGATATAAATCGAGTTTTTGGAATTTCTTCAGGAATTGTATTCTAATTCACAAGCTTTCAATCTCAATTAGTTCTGTTTTCCAGTGTTCCCTTGCCAACAAAACACTGGAAAACAAAATTATTTCGCTGAAGCGTTTCACTAAAAATATGTTGCTGTAATCAAAGTAACGAAATTGAATGTGAATGTAATAAATAGTAGAAGAGACACAAAGCTCTCTTGCGTACTTTATTGATTCTGTGATGGAATAATAGTGACAATTTATCTTGTCACTGATATGCTGAAAAACTAAAAGCAAGCTTCTTTATTGATGATGCCACCAATTAACCATAGTGGGTGGTGTGAGGTTTTTCAGACGGCTTTGGTAACAGCAGCATGGATAGAGTCTGCAAGATGCGGTACAGTCTTCGAGCTCAGACCAGCCATGCTTATCCTCCTTTTTTTTTTTCATTTTTTGAAACCAATAAACCACACACCAATTTAGACAATTTCAAAGGTCGGGAAAGTAAACCTTAAATCGAAAAATAAAGAATTTACCCGTCGGATGTCATGTAGATGTGGTACTCTTTAGTCATGAAGGAGACTTGAGCTGGGTTTAACCCTGTGAATGTAAACATACCAATCTGCTTGATGATGTGACTCCAGTCTCCAGGCGTCCCTGTCACATTACATGATTCGAGTTTTATCAGCTCTGTTGTATGTCCATTGTTGTATGTCCATTAACACTTGTGATTTTCACGTTTCCTGGTGATATCACAATCAATAAGACCTTACCTCGAGCACGTAATGCCTCGAAAAGCTGTTTCCTCATGCTGATGATACGATCAGCCATTGCCTTCAATTCTAGAGTCCATTCGTTGAACAAGTTCCTGTCACGGAGGATTACAGCCACGATAGATGCACCATGGATCGGAGGACTCGAGTACATTGGCCTTATTACTAGTTTCAGCTGGCTTTCCACTCTCCCCGCAACATCTGCTGATTTGCATACCTACAAGCACAAGCCCTTATTGTCAACCATGGGTATCTCACAGCAGCATTCAAGAAGACCCTTAAGAGTTTCTTAATTGGATTGAATCTTACAATGCTGAGAGCTCCAACTCGTTCTCCATAGAGTCCCATGTTCTTTGCATAACTTTGAGCAACAAGGCACTCTCCGCCGTCAGCAACAAACATCCTGATCGGTTTTGCATCTGTATTCAGGCTTCCACTCGCAAAGCCCTGCAGTGCGAAAAATAAAGAGATAAAACATGGAAGACAAGTATTAACCATTTTTTTCAGAGGAGAAAAGGCTTAGGCATCAGCTGATCTTATACAAAGGTGTACCTGATAAGCACTATCAAAGAATGGCATCAATCCCTTAGACCGTATCAGCTTCCTGATTTGCTCCCATTGTTGAATGGTTGGATCAACACCAGTTGGGTTATGAGCACAGGCATGGAGAAGCACTATAGAACCTGGTGGGGCAGCACCAAGGTCTTCTAATAAACCTGTGAACAACATAAGAAATGGTTTCCGTTGACCATTCAGAATTTTTTTAAAAAGGTAACCAACAATTTCGAGAAGTATGAAAGCACAAAACTCAGTAGCATTTCAAAAGCCACAGAATGAATTATCACCTTGGAAGTTCAACCCACGTGTTGATGGATCGTAGTAGCGGTAAGTTTTCACTGACAAACCAGCAAGGGTGAAAATTTTGGGGTGATTTCCCCATGTTGGCTGAGTAATATAGATTGTTTTCTGGAAAGCAAAGAGAAGAGTTCAAAGTTACATGAGAAGTTCACTAGGGATGAAGAAAATGAATCAGTCAGTATCTACCTGATGATAATGCTTGGCCAAAAACTCTCCTCCAACTCTCAGGGAACCAGTACCAGACAAACACTCCACGGTTGTAACTCGATTCTCCGAAATAGCAGGACTAAGTCATGCGTGAAAAACACCAATCAGAAAGAATGATCAGACCACAAGAAACTGTTAAAAACATAAAAGGATAATTCAACAACATGATCTACCTGTCAGCGCCTAATATGAGCTTAGCGCTTAATTTGTTGAACTCAACCAATCCAACAATTGGAAGATACTCCTTGATTCGTGATCTACAGATTAAACACACACACACAAAAAAAAAACAAGACTCGGCATCATCGCTACGCACACATAAGGGTATAAACAAAGTCAAACCAAAAAGAAAGAGAGCTAAACCTGTCACTGATAAGCTGCTGCTCTGCTTTCCTCACAACATTAAGAACCAAAGGTTTTCCTTCCTATAACAAAAAACACCATTAACGAACCATCAATTCTTTCCATGATTTAACAACAACATTAAAATAAAAATTCTTACTGCTTTCAACGATAGTTAAGAGGAAAGAGCAGAGACAGCTTTAGTAAACAAGAATAAGATCATTACCTCGGTTCGGTAAGCACCAACTCCTAAATTCAGCTTAATTGGGCTGGGGTCCTTGTTATATGCTACTGTCACCTATTAATGTTTTCGTTCAAAGCAAACATCAGGATATATCTTAGAGCTGAGATAATACATCAGCTTATAACACCTATGTTTCTGAATTTTCCAATAATATAATTAACGAGTGAAAATTCGGTGACAAAACGCTTAATCTACGAAAATTCCATCCGTGCTACTAATTAAGAGAGCCAAAACCAGAAGAAGAAGAATCAAATCTTCGATCATTTCATATATCATCAAAACACTATCCCGTAATCTATCGCCAGATCGCGAATTCCCACTAATGAACAAGCCGATCCAACGGAATCCAGAACCACGAAGAAAAAAAACGACTACAAAACTAAATGCGTAGGACACTAATATCCAAAATCGTCGTCGAATATATTTGAAAACTATATACACACAAATACATCGAAGAAGAAGAAGAAGGTACCCCAAGAATAGGATCCTCGGGTGCTTGAACAAGATGAGCGAAAACAGAATTCCCGGTGACTCCCGATGTGGGCGAGGCGAAAACCGAGCTCAGACGATCCGAAATCGGAAAATCTGCTCCGGCAGTGAGATGACGGAGCACAGCACCGATCCTGCGATCGCTTGGCGACGATGAAGAAGAAGAGAACTCGGTAGTTTTCATTTTTTGTTGGTTGTGGTGTTTACGAAACGAGCTACTCTCATTCCCCTTAAAAAACAATTTGGACTTTTCAGTAATTTTCTGGTTAATCCGCAATCCAAAGTTTTCAGATGCCACGTAGGCTTAGCATAAAGTTGCGTGCCTTCGTTACGTTGATATTTTGATAAGGGACCATCATCAAGATAATAACAAGTCTTTATAAGATTATCCTTAAAACCCGGCAAAAAAATAAAGAAATAAAATACCTCCAAAATAGGGTTAAATTCGCATTTTAACCGTTATAAAAAATTTTATCTGTGCTCATTGTATTAGCTTGGTTTCAGTAGAAAATAATCAAGAAAAAAACTTTGAGATCTTTGATCAAGCATGCTTGAACATGATGAAGATCTGATTTAATATTTGAAAATGCATGACAATTTGCTGTCATTATAATACATGAAATTCGTTTATTGATGATAAAAAATAAAATAAAAATTTGATGATATAGTAGTTGTTATATATATGTACCAGCCCCCACTGCTCGCTTATAAGAAGTTTATTACTATAACTTAATCTTTATTTTTAGATTATTTTCGATATCTAAAATTTGGATTATGAAACCGTTTAGCTAATGCCAGAAACGAAAATCCATTATAAGGCTATTGCTCAAAGCAAAACATTCGATCCATCCGGTAACTTAATTATATATATTGGAGATGGCAAAAAAAAAAAACACAAATTGTTGGAGTTGTTCATATATTCTTTTAGTTGATACGGACATTTCTTGTATTCGTCAAAAATAAAGTCATATCTTATAGTAATTATGATCGTACAGTGCCACCGTTTTCAGTTAGCTGCAACGATGGATCGATCCAGAAGTAAAATCTTAATTACTGAAGGCATAAAATATATAAAATTAACTACTGTGTGTAAATAAGAAGAAATTTTCCATTTATCTAAATGACTTCTTTTCATTTTGCATTACAAATATTAAAAAATCAAACAAAATGTTACTTAACGGGTTTAACCCATTACGTACATCCGTAATTTTTATAGTCGACTGATTCACGATAATCTATTTTTAACGGATTTAAAATATTTAAATTCATATCACTTTTATCATTAGTGGCAGCAACGGAGTGTCGGATTTGATCGAAATAAACTAAAATGAGGTGGGGGTATATATATGACAATGAAAATGATGGGGGCAATAAATATATATATTTTTTTAATCTCTTCAATCATCCAAAATATACAATTTAACAAATTGAAGTTTACTTAAAGTTTAATAGGGGCAAATGCAGCCATATTTTCCTTACTAGATGATCCGCCCTCTGGTCATTATTATGTTAGTGATTTGGGATTTGGTGTACGAATAATAATCAGTTTTTGACATCTCTATGATAATGAAGATCTAATTAGTTAAGACAACTATCGATGGCTTCATTAAGATCCTTGCAATTTAGATATGGGAAATCCTATGGTGTGGCCAAAGCTCTATGATAATGAAATCCAATATAATTGTTGTTTTTGCATTTTATAGTGGGGTTTCTGAGTTTTCGAATGCATTGATATATTTTAATGGATAAAGCAAATTAAATTCTCACAATATAAATGGTTGGTCTATATTGGGAGATGTAGACCAAATATTTACTTGAGTTCGACAATAAAGAAGAAATTATTTGCATGCCATTTTTTTCTTTTGTGGAAGGATACGGAATTTACGGAAAATGTGAAAAATCGAAGTAAATTAATAATATATTAGGGTGTATTTGAGAGATATTTTAGTAAATGTAATTATATATGGACAGAATCTTTAAATTTGTATTTCGTAACGCAACTCAGTGAAGATATATATGTAGTTCAATTTTGAACTTTGCCGATTTTTGTTTTCAATCGAAGAGACTATATATAGTTCGTAGATCTAAAAATTCTTTTGATCATGAAAATTAATTAAGAAACCATGAATGCTGAAAAGGATACCCCGAAAACTTAATTGCTTACACGACAAATTAAAGTGTTGGAAGTTTGGGATGTAATATTGCAACGGTACATATCATGGCGTCTTTGAGCTAACTCGTTTGCCAGCGTCCTTATTTTACAAATTTTTCTGAGTTATATAGATCACGACTTACAATGTAAATATGTAATCCAAAATCCATTGATAAACAATCTTTAAATTTATGCTATATATAGTTGTCTTTTTTTGTTAATATTATGTACTTTTCTTTTTACAATGGCTGATTTCATTAAGCATTATACTCTTTTCATGTTTTTTTTTAATTTTATTAATTTAATTCACTTTTATTAGCTAATAACATCATTTCGATCATAAATATTAATAATTACCAACATCTTTAATTTCATTCATAGTTTTTATCTTTTAGGATTTTTTTAAAAAATGAATGTTCGCACCATTATATCATCACGTGTCGTTTTATATCCTCATTTATAATTGTTTCTAATATATCCTTATTATTTTTCAAAGATGTAAATGCGTTACTTTTTTTTGAAGAAGGGGTTCAAAGTTTATATGCGTTACTTCCCTTGGCGTTTTTGCAGGTTCGTTTCCAATAATAGTACTAACCAAATACTTTAGTTTCTTTAATTATTGTCTTTGATTTCAAAATATAATTTTATAGTCATAAAATAACAACGGTTTCATCAAGAAATAACTGCAAAATTATTAAAATGGAAAATTAAAATTGCAAAGTATTTGACCTATTAAATACTGGGTCAAATATATATCACTTTTTAGAAGTGATAGGAAATATTCTAAAAATAGCAAAGACAAAAATGGTTCAGAAACTTTTTATGTGCCAAATATAGCTTGTGCCATTAATTGGTAACTCTGGAAACACATTATATAATATGGTTATTCAGAAAACAAATCATTCATCTTCGTTTATGTACACGTTATTATTATTAAAAAATTTATGACTATCATTTTTGAAATATTTGACGGTAATATTAAAAAATAGTCAAAATGTTTAGTATTTGTCTAACGATCTTATTGTAATGGGGTTTTCTGTCAATCTACACCTCACACAGATTTCCTAATTTAAAATTTTGAATTATAATACTATAAAAAAGTTAATACAAATCACTAGAACTAGAAAGCGTCAACCATAATAAGTATGAATCTATATATGGTAAAACTGCGACATGTATATACGACAATAAAATTCGCAATATTAAGTGTTACGAGAAAAAAAAAAAATCGGTAAGAAAAATATCCAACTAAATTCCTACACATCATATTTTGTTTTTTTCCAGTTGTAAAATCTTAGCTACGGCTGTCAGTAAAACTCTTTTAATACAAACCCACTGTGATAAATTATTACTATTTAGGAATACTATTAATGCAAAGTAAAGTTCGGAAATGGGAATTACTTTTTTTTTTAAACGTTAGTATATAACAAAATACGAAAACCTATAGTAAAACGTATGTATGTAAAATAAAAGAATACCAGACTTGGTCAGTTACGTTTTAGCTATGCCAACTTATCGTGCAAGTGTTGTTTGTGTGTGTTTCTTCTTTCAGAAACAAAGATGCGCTGGATCTTGTGGCTCATATGAAATGTCTTTTATGTTCAACCCAGTTCCTAGGTATTAAAAAAAGAAATAATGTATTCGCATAGGCTACGGATTTACGTAACTTTTTTTTTCCCAAGTCACGAATAATTTGCGAAACGTTTGAAGAAGTTTTTGAAATCAATTTATTTAGTTTCTTTATTAAAAAGAGTTTTTAAAGACTTATTGAAAATTTCTTAAATAATATTTTTGAAGTTTTGACAAGAATTGTAGTAGTTTTGGAAAACAATATATAAAAGTCGGTAATCTAGAGAATTTCCTCTTACTTATTTTTTTGGTGTATGCATGGCATTTTCTGTTTTCAAATCTTAAGACATAAATTTATGAATAAAATAGTCAATTTGAAACTAATCAATAACTATCATGAATACAGCAGAACCGTTCATACCAATTTCTAAAAATACTTTAAATTAATTATCAAATGTATTAGATATATCATTACAAAGTTCAGGTATTTTCTAATCTACATTTTATGATATTTAACAAAAATTACTAATTGTTTTTGAATAAAAAGATATACCATAAATTTTAGTTTTTGAAATAGTAGACAACAAATTGGAAAAACAAATGTTACCATTTAAGTGGATGTCAATTATTAAAGTAATTATTTTTGATGTCAATCACAGTTCTTATTTATTTTGTCTGCTATTTTAGTTCTTTTTTTTTTAAAAGAGTTCTTATTTTTTTTTTATGTCAACCACAGTTTTTATTTATTTTGGATGACAATTATTATAGTAAGTCCGTTCATGGATTACGAAGGGTATCTTATATGTATTAGAAACCAATACTGTTGAAACAATGTGTGGTGGGTTTTGTAGTCTACTATTAGTACGTAACATAGTTTTGTAGTAATAATTATATTGTAACCCGCTATCGTTTGCACGTGCATGCAAATAACCAGATGAATTACCTTCGTTTTTTTTATTAAACCATAATATTTAAAACCTGGTTATTTTAAAAAATACGGTAAGATATAGAGTGTATAGGCCTAAACTATGGCTATAGCTAGTTCTATTTAAAAGGAATATACTAATTTAAAGGAATGGTTATAAATGAAATGGAAAAAAATAGATTGATAAATAATATAGAATAAAAAATTGAATTATTAGTATAATAATGAATTCCATTCATCCCATTTATTTCTCTATATTTATAAAATAGAATAAATTATAATAAGGATTTGCTTTTTTATTATTCAGAAAATGAAATATGTAGAATTGTTCCAATAAATCTATTCCATAAAAAAGCATTCCAGATGCATGCAGTTTATATACAGAGAGAATTTTGGTTGAAATTTAGTGAATATACTTTATAGTTATTTTTTAAGTATTTAGTTGCGGTAAAAAAAATATAAATAAATAGGTATAGTAAAGTTGTGGACTCAAACTCGTATACAAATAAATTAATTTTTTTTTTTCAAAAATACCGTAAAGTTTTGGACCGAAACCGTATAACATAGGCCAGACTTTATTCATGATAATACCAAAACAAAACGTAATTCATCTCTCTGTTGAACAAAAAAAAAACGTTAATTATTTCTCCAAAAAGGATAAAAAATCAAAACTTCTTTACGTTAATCTCTTGTATTTTTTTCTACTAGCATAGTATTGAACACACATAAATTACAAGCGTGTATTTCCATATTTATTGGCAATAAATTTTGGTGGAAAGTTGGAGTTTATTGATGATATCATCGTGGCTTGAGGGTTTACGTTGCCACCATAATTACGACCTAGTAATATCATCATTAGTTCGATAAAGGCACATATACGTACGTTACGAACGCACACACATGCATGCATTATATATCATTAAGCATCTAAAAACAAATATAATGATTAGCGAAAGAAAAGCTGAGATGATATTTCAAACTCGAAGACCGGAAATCACATACAAATATCCTCTGATTAGGTTTCACATACAGTATTCGCTCGCTCCTCATTAAAACTTGCGTGGCTTATATATAGTACGTAGCTTCCACGATAGATTTATAACCCTTTTTCTTTTCTTTTTCTTTTTCAAAATATTACTTGTTTCTTTCGTGTCAAAGGAAAAATATTGCATATGTCCGATCCACGAATAGTTCTCTTGTTTTTTTTTTAAAGTATATAATTCAAGGACCGGTTTAGAGTCTACATGAGATCAAGTATTTGCTACAACAAAAAAGTTCTTTTGGTTAGGTGAGATCGATAATATTGAGATTCTTTTATTGCTTTGCTTCTGTTTTTATTTTTACGTGCCAGTTAGTATGTTCCTTTGTACGAAACTACAATCTTTATTACATCTAACCAAAATTCATTTGTAGATCTTCAACACAAAAGCCAAATGCAAACGAACGAGAAGCTCTGCGTTTACTTTCCTTTTTAACAAATTCTTTTATTATAAAACAAAGTGTGAAATATTATTCAACAAATGTGAAAAAAAAAGTTCTCATAAAAAAAAATCATTTGTGAAAATGTGTGTTTGTAACACTAATCACCCGTACGAATGATTCACCCTTCTACAAAATTAATGAGACAATGGACCCAGAACTATGAATTTTCTTGTTTTACAAATAGAATAAAATGTTCGGACCCGGAGAACCAAACAGATCTCTGATAAGTGATATGAATGTCGTCTAGGAGCTAACACATCTCAACATAGTGAACCGTACGCAAGAGTATATCTGCGTGCATATAAACGTATTACGTATCATCCATTATATTTACGTCTATTTAGCTCGAATGTTTCTAAGGAAATTAAATGGCCCACAGAGAATGCGTGTATAGTTGAATACAAATAGTATTATATGGCCCACGATGCAAATCAACAGGCAATATCACTCTTTTACTTGATTAATTAGCTGTTTAATTAAATATGCGCTCCATGGTATCTGGTGTTCACTCTAAGCTGAAGAAACTCACCTTATCACCTTCCATTATATAGAATTAAGAAATTTCAGATCTTCATAATAATTGCTTTAGATTTAGAACCAATAATTGATAATACATGTGAATTATTATATATGATCAAAGCTAATGTATTTGGTCAGCGAGCGCTATCTTCACAGAATGCATCGTATTAACAATTTTTTGTTGATAGAAATTTTTGGACTCTTAGCAAATAGTCTCATCAGATTAATTATCATCGTTGATAATAGATGTATATCATATTAATGTTTTCAACAGAGAAGATACTTTTTTTATTTTAAATATCAAACTTTGGCTAACCGAATGAGATAGACTTTCATCAAAATGTATCAAACATTGAGGCAAGCAGATTGTGGTTTAGATTTTGAGTTATTATTAATTATATATTTTGTAAATGAAGATCAAACAAACTCGAATTGATTTGTAACGTATATAATGGGTGATACACATAGATGCATGAAACTGAACATATAATCTGAATTCTATGTGTATGTATAATTACATATGATGATGTTGGGGTGTGTGTAAGAAGTAAAAATCCAAGAGTTAAAAAGGGGGGAGAGAGAGAAGGTTGATGTGGTTGTCGAGATGCTACCAGAGAGGCACATGCAAAGCTTAAATGATGGTATCGCTGGTGGCCAAAGCATCTCCTTAAAGCTGTCCTTTTTCATCTTAAGTCCTCTTTTTTTATTTCCCTTTTCTACCGCTTCTCTCTTTCTCTCTTTCTCTCTCTATACATACATAATAATATACATATATGTAAGTTGTATGTACTTGTGTTTATACCATTTTTATATATATCAACTTGTATATAAACCTTACAAATGTTCAGCTGTGCACGTATGCAAACCTAAAAGTGTATTAATTAATTAAATATAAAATCTCCTCCTTTCTCGAGTTACAAATAAGTGTGAGGATAATATTTCAAAATATATGAATCTTGATTTATACGGTCTAGATAAAATGTTTGGTTGGTTGAAGATAGGTTCCTCGCTTTATTATCCCAAAAAAAGGATGATCACGAATATGTGCTCATTTCCGTTTCCATAAAGTTGTGTATTACATTAAGAAAATTAGCTAGAAACTTTGGAGGGGGTATGTAATGTGCAATTTCGTAATAAAAAAGTATCTAATGCATCCAAAAATTCAAAATGGACCATTATCACGTTTTGGTCATCACAATTTGTCAAACCCATAATTAATTGCGCCAAACAAGAAATTTTGATCTTATGCTGGCAAAAGAAAATTACATATATGTCAGTGGGAAGAAAAAGGAGATTATATTTTCCCCCAAAATAGACTAAAGTAACAAACCTAATTTCAAAGGAAAACATATTATTATAAAACCTCAAAGCCGACAAAAACTAGGAAAAAATAGATAATCAATTTACCAAAGAAAGAATATTATAAAAATACAGTATAAAAGGAGAGAGAAATGTGTTATAAAGGATAAAGCCCACTAAAGTCTAAAGGCCATCACTCATCTAACTGTATAATATTATTTTTTTCAAGAGAGAGCAATGTATAATTTTACCTAGTTTAGTCTTTTATTTATTTATTTATTAATTTTTTGCTTGGTTTTTTATTTTAGTGTAAGTATATACGTTTGTAAAATTTTATAACACATATTGATGATACTAATTAGTTCTACCATATACGTGTGTGTGTGCTAATACGTGCAAAATTTAAAGGGAAAAAACGCATTAGCTGTCTAGCTAACAGTTACATCCAAATCTATATTATGTAATTATATTATACCGACGAATTTTGATATACAAAATAGAGTCAACGACTCAGTATCCAACTAATTGCTTTATTATGCAAAGGTCTAAAGAAAAACAAAGTGGGGATTTTTTTGTTGTTAAACTTTTGCTTACATCATAGGGTATCCTATTAGGTTGGTGTACCATGTGATGATTCTACCACCGAAAAAACAGAAATCAATAAAAACACATATATATAGTACAAAAACAATAGAATTAATATATATTTTTTATATACAAAAACTGATATCTGTGAAACAAAAATTTCTTATTTTACTGTGGTAAATTTTGGAAAGCGGAAAAAGGATGTTAGGGTTAATAAACATTTATGGAGAAAATGGGCTCATCTAGGGTAACATCACCTACCCATACAATATTATCATGCTTTTAGGGCTTTTATTTTCTCTCTGGTCCCACAGTTTCCACACTCTCTCTCTTCTCGCGTGAACCACACGCTCCAATCTCTCTCTTCCTGCGTGCCGACGCTCCCTTTTCGATCCGCGCCACGGACGAAATGTGCCCACACGCGAAAAGGAAGTTTCGTGACTATCACGCGCCTAGGGTTTTCTTTTTAGGACACAACAAATGGGTTGTGATAAGAACCGCACATCACGGCCACGTGGATATCTCTCATTGGTTTCTTGTGCCTCATCCTGTCACGCAGAAATGTCTAAATGATAGTACTTTTTTTTTTCTTCAAAAAACGTAAATAAATGGGTATCCTTTGACAAATAAACCAATAAATCTTGTAAATATAAATAATTTTATCTTGTTATTTAATTTTTGGATACCTGTTACCCTAGTCAAGCTGTTTATATTAATGCTTAGATTTTTTTCTATTCAAAGCAATAAAGACTAACATAGATAGAAGTGTATCTTTTTTTACTATTGACAGATACAAATACATATACGTGTACACAATATACAGAGTGATGCGTAATCTTGTTTCATGTAAATAGAAATAGGCAGACCAGATGGTGACATGGCAGTGTCATGTTCCATTGATGAGTTTGTTTTATTTTTGAATGGGTTAAATTCTATATAAAAATATAATTTTTCTATTATAAAAAACCCTCATTTCGACGCAAAAAACCCTCATTTCAAGGATAAGAGAGCTCCACCTTCTCTCTCTTCTTTCTCAACAGTCTCTCTCTAGAGGCCAAAAGAAAAGAATCCCCCTTTTCTCTCTCTCCTTTCGCTAGGATTCGTCGTCTTAGGGTTTCTTCAAAATTCGCAGTCAAATTCTACTCATCTCCCGACGAATCAATCCTCGAAGCTTCCCTAATCTTCTTTTCCCAAAGCTTCTCAATCTTCCGATTTGGTTTTCTTCGCCTGCCGCTTAAGATCTAGCTCGAATCTCGCATCCCCTTTTCTCTCTGGTCAGATTTCTCCAGGTGCGTGTTTCCGACATGAATCTCTTATTCCTTCGATTTAAGGTTTCGGTTATGTATCGATCTTGTCGGACGAGATCTAGCTTGACTTGTAGCTGACTTCGTGTTTTTTGTTCGAGGGCTCTTCACTGTTCATTTATACGTCTCTTCCAGACTCGATGTTCTTATTTTTTTTCTTTTTGGTTTTTTTTTTCTTCAGGGACTATTCACGTGCGGACAGATCTGACCCGTATTAATTGGTGGGTCTTTCGTTATCTTTGTTAATCACATGCGGTTAATTTTAAGTGTCGTATTATTTGTTAATTATTTTGATTTTAAACCCTAAATTAGTCAGATTAATAATGTTGACGTTTCTTGGAGTTTGTAATTAGGAGATTATAATGAAACGGGTCCGTTCTTAATTTTGTTGTTTCTGGTCTGAAAAAGGTTACAGCTTTGGGGTTCCCATGTGTCTGAAAACCCTAATCTTAGGTCGGTGTTTACAGTTTTATGTTGTTGAGTGTTAGATGTCTGAAATTCATTTGCACGATTGTGTTTTGTTTTGTGAAATGGGATGCTGGTGAAGAATTTCGTTATTGGTTTTATGTAAACGTTAGGGTTTTGCATAATTTTCATGAATTTACTACCGTGGTGTTAATTGGGTGTCTGGAAATGAATGTTATTTCATGTGGATATTCATGGAATATGCTTGAACATAATGGTGTAAATCAATTATATTTCCTCCTTGAATTAAGTTAAAGTTATATTTGACGTCGTATATATGGAGAGTAAAGATTTTGAAGCGTTGTGTCATCATATGATCATCAAGCGCAATTATATAGTGTGATATATAACTTAAAATGTTTTCATTTCCTGATGCTAAGAAGTAATATCATGTGTAACTTTTGCAGCTCTAGTTGCTGGGAGAGTATAATGGTGGAAGGGAATCATCATCAGTAAGGCATAAAATCTCTTTCTAGCACCTTTATGGGATCCCCCATTAAGATCAACTCAATATCCATAGATCTCAAAACCGCTGTCAACGAGACTGATGTGGCCAAATGTGATCATTTCTCCATGCGGTGAGCCTACTATATATATCGTCACTTTATGTTATCAACCTTCCTTGTTATAGTATGTTTATATTTCCAGTTATGATTGATGGATTATAAAATATGATGTGATCACTTCCAAATGCATTTATAGTAGCATGGTACAAGATGAAAATGACATGAATATATCGAGTTTCTAATTCGTCTTGGTTGATGCAGTGGATTCGCAGCTGAAACCCGTAAGAGTGACCGTAGAAAATCTTGGCCGTTTTCTGAGGAAAGTGTTCGTTTGTCGGACGAACAAAACGATTCTAATCCTTCTCAACCTTCTCGAAAGCATAAATGGTGGGGTTGTGAGAGCTGTATCAGAGATATAGATCTTTCTGGCACAAAAGGTGGTAGTAATAACGCATGCATGCATTTTCGATACTGTTTTCATGTTTCGATACTAGCTAGCGAGATTCAGTCTGCTTGAACTTATGCATGTGGATTGCTTTCAGATTCTCCGCATTCAAACCCAGTAACGCTTGGTGGAAAGCCTTTGGTTATCATAAGTGCAAGCGATTTAGTAACTGTCACTGGTCACGAAATTGAAAGGATGACCGATAATTCAGGTATATATGCATCATGATCTTCTGGCTTAGTTTCATAATTCATAGGAACCATATACTGTATATACATTGTTGTCTTATAACATTGTTTTTTTGCAGTTAATGCTGTATTTAAGGAGAATGAAGATGTAAACATTGAGAGATCTCAGGAGCATGATCAGACAGGTATATATATATAGTTTTTCTCTAGTCATGCAAACTTAAAGTGTGATGATGAATCTGATGAAAACCAATTTTCGTAAAGCTCAAACAGTTGCAGCTACTACGTTAGTCGAGAACGTTCACCCTCCATCTATGGATGACCAGACAGGTATATATATATATAGTTTTTCTCTAGTCATGCAAACTTAAAGTGTGATGATGAATCTGAAAACTAATTTTCGTAAAGCTCAAACAGTTGCAGCTACTACGTTAGTCGAGAACGTTCACCCTCCATCTATGGATGCTTCAACCTCTAGGAGGAGCAAGAGCAGAAAGCTTGAGAGTCAAAAGCCAGTAGCCAACAAGAGACGTAAAGTAAGAGCAAAGAAACCATCATCAGTGGATATTAGCAGCTCGAAAGGGAAACAAACTGTGGACCAGGCGGCAGCAACAGCGTTGGGGTCATCTGAGATAGCCGGCGTGGCCGAGAAGCCGCGGCTGCCAAACGCAAGCAAGAAGCGCAGAGGCAGTTGTGTTGCGGTGGAAAGCGTTAAAGCGTCATCAGCAAAGAATATGAGTGGATCGCAGACAAGGAAAGTTCCCAGGCTTCGTCGACTGAGCGATATTGAAGACACGACCAGACCCAGTGGTGGTAGTAACAACAATCCCAGAAAAGAAGAGCCTTCTTCCAAAACGGAATCGGTCAGAGGCAAAAAAAGAAAGCTGCCGTTACCTGAAAACAATGATGTCAGCTGGACATTAGGCACGAATGGGGTAGCTCCTGACTCTGATCAAGGTGATGGTGAATCAACTGATAGTGGGTTTGACAGAGATCCTATCAAGGGTAAGCAGAAGAACCCGAGGTTTCAGATCGTTGACGAGTTTGTACCATCACAAGAGGAGATCCGTGAGAATGAAGCAGATCCCGGTACGAGTGCTTTACCAACTCCGGTGGCCTCTTTATCCAGTGGGAAAGATTCGGTTTCTTGTTCTCGGAGTGCGAAGAAGACTACTCCCAGATTATCCAAGAAGAAGATGAAGCCAGTCATAGGTAACGGGAAGAAGACCCTCACTACCGGTGCGGATGAAGGAAACCAGGTGAAACCGGGAACCGGTCCATCCACAAACGCAATTTCCCAACCGACTCGGGATCTGTTGAAGGAGAAGGTGGGCAGTTTATTCGACGACGACCGTCTGGCTTCAGAAGGATATGTCAGAAAATCTAGCACCCCTCAGGCAAATGATAAGCCGGTCCTTTCTTTGCAAGTGCAAGACAGTGATCATGTGAGGGCAAAAGATGCAGAAGCAAACAACTCTCTTCCAGTTTCTGCTCCATCTTCTAAATCCAACACAGGAGCGGACGTTGTTGACTTAGGCAGCAACAGCAACAATGCGAATACATCGTCGGCTTTCCGTAACGTTACCCCAAGACACACCCCTTCTTCTACTGAAGTAGCTCCTGATCTGTCTTGTGTGCTTCAAAAGGTACAAAACTTTGCATCTATATATGATATCAAAATACCGTTATATAAAAGCTAGTTTTTGTTTTTTCACATGAGTTTCTTTTTCATTTGCAGGATGCTGACAGAAAGGGGAAGAGAATAATGGTCGAAGAGAATGATGAAGCTTCCGGAAGCCAAAGCCACGATGCAAAGGAGAATAACGATGATATCCCCATGGAGATAGTCGAGGTCTTGAGGTGTCTCCCCGACAAGCAAGAGGGCGTTAGCAACAAACAGCCACCACAAGAACCGGCACCCAAACCCAAGAAGGCTCTGATGATTGATCTCAATGTAACCTATGATAGCGAGGCCTCGAGTGAGGACAACAGCATCAACATCAGCGTCAACACATCAAAACCGCCGAGTGAGGACAACAACAACAACATCAGCGTCAACACATCAAAACCGACGAGACCTTCTGACACCAGTGCAAGGAAGGAAGAACATCTCCCGGTTGGAAAACAACAGAGACCACCTCTCGACTTCTTCCCGATAAGTCAGTCTAATTATGTGCCTTCTCCGCTTGGAAGCTTCCCTCCTACGAAAGAAATCCCAGCTAGCCCCTCCATCGGGTATTCCGATCACAACCGCCAGTGGCTAGGGAACGTGCCAACCATGGCTAGTCAGAACCTATCTCCGTCCCCATATCGGATGCTACGTGGCTGCAACACGTGCCACACTCTCCCTCATCAATACAGAGAAGCAGCTCCTCATCAGATTTGGCCATCTTCCATGATGCCACCACCACCACCACAGAGTCTTCACAGGCCATCTTCCATGATGCCACCACCACCACCACCACCACATGGTCTTCACAGGCCATCTTCCATGATGCCACCACCACCACCACAGGGTCTTCACAGGCCAGCTTCTTTCAACATGGATCAGCCACCGAACCTTGGTATGCTTTCACAAGCATCATCCGGCAACGGAAACCCATGGAACGGCCTCAACTTTGTTGCCTCCAACGGGAAGCAAAAATGTGGGCCTAACTCAGAGTTCTCATTTGCCTGCAAACATGGTGGTGGTGTTGGGAGTAGCAGTAGACCAATGGACGCCTATTCGAAGGAGAGCACTATGCCGGCACTGCATCTACTCAGCATGATGGATCCTCGGGTGAGGTCAAACGCTCCTGCTGACCACCACGGGAACACCAAATTCACTAAAAGACATTTTCCTCCGGTGAACCGGTTCAAGTTTCCGACAGGGGGCTCTAGTAAGACGACATCCTACCAAACCAAGCAGACACCTTTTCATCTCTACAGCACGACGACGTTCGCACCCGAGCCTGCACGCACGACCTTCCCCCCCGTTCAGTTACCTGCTTCTACTACTAAGATACGTGTTGAGTATGAACGTACACGTAGTAAATTTAATCAAGAGAAGGCAGCCAAGAGACAAGGCAAGGTTGCGCCGGTTCGCGCTAGTCGTGAGAAGCAGGTGTTACCTAGCAGCAGCAACGACCAAGGGAAATTCCAGCTTCTCGGGGCGTCTAGTGCCGTGAAGCTCCCTTTGAAGTCTCGCATGACAGAGAACGAGAAGAATCGGAAGAGAAAAGCAGAGAGCAGCAGCGATGTCTCTGCGCGGGCTTCGACGAGCAGCTCTGGACCCATGCTGTGCAGCTTCAACAGAAACCCGGCTGATTTCACCGTTGCTATACCTGGGAATATTTACTTGTTTACGGGTGGACCCCCCGAGGTGGCAAGTCTCGGAGCCTATAAGAGAAAGACAACCTTGTGCATGGAGGTCGCGTTGAACCCAGCTGGTCCAGTTGCATAAAGTGCCTAAAGTTATACAACGTGGAAGAGATTTGTGCAGGTACGTTTCGAGGACTCACTTAGTAACGTATATTTCTAAACGTTTATTAGAATTTTGCTTGGTTCATCTTGAAATCTATGAGCTTTCATTGAAACTTAGTGCTGGAAACAGAGTTAAATCAGTCTCTGCACCTTGCTTAGTGTCTCTTCCGCAGTTACTTTAGTTAAAACTTAGAACTGAGATTAATTTCAAACTTAGTTACTAGAACAGATTCTTATCAGTCTCTTCCTCAGATTAATCTTTGTCTCCAATTCTAACAAGAGGTGTTTTCCTTACTTAATGCATGTGAAACAGATACTCAGGGATTAGCAGAGGAAGGGGGATACAAAGAGACTAAGAGAGAGAGAGAGAGGCACCATTGCTATTGAAATGAAGAAATAAGTCAGGAAACAGTAATTTGAACCTTCCTCCCGTTCTTGGAGATCTGTACACATCTCATACACAGACACCTTTTTATCTTTTCTTGTGTTTGGTCTCGCATACTTTGGAAACATTCAGCGTGTGTCAGGCCTTGTCTTTTCGTTTTTCTTTTCTTTGGGATACCTTTTTTAGTCTTTTTTATTTATACAGTGTATTAGTCTGATTTATGCAGTTGTATTAGTCTTATTTATACAGGTGTTGTATTAGTCTGATTTATACAGTTGTACTAGTCTGATTTATACAATTATTGTTACCGTTACAGCCGGTGTGAAATGTCTTTTTACATGTCAGCTTTCTCAAACTCACAAAAAACCTAGAAGAAGAAAAACCCTCGTAAGTTTCTAAAATAAATTCTTTCAAAAACTCGAGTAAACTAAGTTAAATCCCCAACTTTAAATATTTCTTACAAACAAATCATGGGAAATATTCATTGTTACTTGACGAGAGGTTTTTAATTCACTTAAGAATACATTGAAAATGAATTGGTTTGCTGGATTATATATTGCTTATGTGAGGGATAAAAACACGGGAGCAAGTAAGAGAGAAGAGATGGTTGTTGAATTGGAATCAGATCCGAGAGTGAGGATAAAGGAAAGACGGCTTCATCAAATGTCACATTTCGAGAAATGAAGATGCACGCGAGATTCTAACTGTTTGCCAAGATATATCCACAGTGGTTTGTAAGAAAACGCAGTTGCTGGATCGCAGTGAGCGGCGGTAGTAAAGAAGTTTGAGATAATAAAAACAACAACAAATTCATAGGATAATCAAACGAGAGAGGATTTTTGGAATAAACGAGAGCGAAAGATATTATCATGTTACATGCCGAAAAAGCGGGTAGGATGATGAATATATTAAAAAAGGCTATACTTTGTTTGTGTTTATTGGAGTTTGATACTACGCTAGTACTAATCAATGGGTTTGATACGTTGTACTAGTAATTATGATAAATCGTATTCATATATAGTATTTCAGAAATATATATACGTTGTACTACTAATTATGATAATCGTATTTATATATAGTATTTCTAACGTGGGGTGGTGCCCATAACGGAAACAAGGGCATTAAAATGTTTTTTTTTTTGTAATTCAGAAAATGGATTAAAAAGGATAATAATCCACACAGTTAGAGAAGCTACGTATGTTTGCATGTATTTATATACCCGTTTTAGAAAAGTTAAATATATTCGTACAGAACATATTCGGTAATCCCAAAAAAATATATCCCCAAAATTATATATGGATATCTGACCTACTTGTATTATTTAATAAAATAACATACTTGGAGGAGACCAATATATTACATTCATATGAAGGATGATTTTTCATTTTTATTATCTTTGTCACTGGATGAAATAGTTTTGCTTCTTTCGCGAATGGCATAATTTAAAACAAAAAAGAATGAGTTACGACATTGAAACTCGAGCCGAGGCGAATCTGCAAACCCTAGCTTCTGTATAAACAAGACCTTGTGTACAAAAGTAACCTTTGGAAGGGCTACAATGCCTGTCTTCTGAACACACACAATTCCCTTCAAGGGCACATCCGTCATACTTGGAACCTTCTCTTCCAAACAGAAGCTCATCTGACCATTCACTAGAGAACATCTGTTTAGGATCTAACTTGTTCTTCACTTTCAAGAATTTCTCAAAGTTAGGTCCATACTTTTGCTTCACGCCAAAGAAACCCACTTTCCTGTTCTTTCCCCAATGCGGCTTTGCACCGTATTTGGAAAACGCCATCTGCTCCATCTCCTCCATCACATCTTGGTTCAGTCTTGGGGTCAACGCGTCGTTTGCTCGGTAGTAATTAAAGTCAATAACCACAGAATCCTCTGTCTGGCCAAGATAAGCCTTTGATCCCTTGATGAAACGTATGAGTATACCGTTATAGATATCGATCCCGCAGAGTCTTTCCGGTTTCAAGTCTCGTAGCTTCTTTATATCAAGGAGAAAGTCTCTAAACCGAGATACGGGGAATATAGCAGTCGTCTCATAGAAGAAAAGACCGTTATATCTTGGGTCCCAAGAGCAAGAGACATCAATTCTAATAGAAGATGAGTAAAGGCAAGACCCAGAACTCTGGATTAGGCTTTGGTTTCCTATAACCGGATAACCGGTAAAGAGTATACCGTTGTTCTTTAGACCGTTCCCGGTTAATTTCTTGTAGGCCAACGTAGTATCCGCCGTCTTGCATTTCCCATTCTCGCTTTTACTAGATTCAAGTGCCTTCTCTGCACCATTTTTAAATATATTAAAAAAAGTTGATGTTGAACATCTAAACCGTACTAAACCGGATATATAGCAAAAGAGAAAAAAGGAACTAACCTAATGCTCGAACCCCTTTAGAGACCAAGATGGAATTGGACTGAAAACCAATGAAATCGTTGACTCCGTTGCCGGAGACGTTAACCGGTGATCGGAAATCGTAACGGTAAACCGCAGTTTTTCTAGAAGGATACCAAGTTATATCTCCAAATTCGAAGTTCTTCCCATGCTCCATGAAAATATCTTCAAGAGCCACGTCAGATGTGAAGTTATACGTCACACTTCTCTTGAAGGCTTTCTCAATCGAAAGCTTCACCTACAAAATAAAATTGTCAACAACAAAAAAAAAAAAAAAAAAAAACGAACCCACACACACAGTAATGTAAACGGCGTTAGGATATTACCTTTGAGATTACTCCTACAACACCCAATGACACTTTAACGGCGTTAAGAAGATAATCGTCTCTCCCTTCTTCGATTCTAATAACTTTCGCGAAACCTTCCGATGAATTCGCAGGAACCACAAGGCTGATTCCGACAACATGGTCGTGAACAGAGCCGCCTCGTCCTGACCATGAGCTTCCGTGGGACCCAGTGCTAATCAGCCCACCGATACTCACTCCTTCCCAGTACGGTGACGTTCCGATGCTAAACCCAGCTCCTTCTACTTTATCGATGAGCTCTCTCAACGAAACTCCAGAGTCGGCCGTAACCGTTAGCCGGTCCGGCTCGATTTCGATAACCGAGTTGTACTTTGACGTACTGATTAGCAATGCGTCTGAACCGGAAGGACAAGCGAGTTTCGGTATGGTGTGAGAGAATTTGGTGACGGTTTTGACCTTGAGATTGTGCTCAGACGCGTAAGCCACGGCTTTACGAAGCTCCTCCTCCGTCGTTGGGTATGTGACGTTAGCCGCTTTGCAGGTTTTCCGGTCAGGCCACGATCCGTACGCGTTCGAGACGGTGCAGCCGGTTTGGTCGCATTGAACCGGTGGTTGTGGTGGTACGGATCGGACGGTCCGTATCGTCACGAGGAAACATAAGATTGAAAGAGATAGTACTGTCTGAAGAAACCGCATGATTACAGAGAAAGAGAGATATGGATCTGTGAGTGTTTTGGAGGTTATAGTACTTTAATACTTATTTAAAGATGCGTTTGGAGATGGAAAACGTTGCTTTGAAGGAAATGCATATTTCTGGATCTCTTATACGTACTCTAATGCTTTTCCAATCCTGTATAACCTGGCAAATTCATTTTACAATATTACTTAATGGTAAAAAGAGAGTGAGTATGTTTCTAATCAAATATATTAAAAGAGAGTGACTAAGTTTCTTATTAAGATATGCGTTTCACGGAACCCCCAAAATATACAAAATAGGGAGGGGATCATCTGTTATACGGATGGGTCATGGAAGAAAGATGATTCGAGTACAGGTCTAGGCTAGTACAATGAAGAAATAGGTACTATGGATACTACGGGTATACAAATGGGAGTCCGGAAGATAGGAAAGAGTCTAACACCTCTACACTCAGAACTTGAGACACTGATATGGACAATGCACTATATACTTGATGCAGGGAGGTACCAAGTGTCGTTCTTAACGGACAGCTCGGAACTATTAATGATGGTGTCAGACCCACATGGATGGCCAGCCTTCTCTCTACACCTATAAGAATTCGAAGTAACCAGGCAGGAGTTTGAGATTTTCTCAATATCAAAAGTTCCTCGCATGCAGAACACAAGGGCGGACAAGTTGGCATGGAATGCTCGCCAACACCTTTATTATTTATATTATGTAAACTCAACTCCTCCAGAATGGTTAACAACTTTCTAGGAGGTGTTGAGGCTGTTGACAAAAAAAAAAAGTTTCTTATTAATTATGTTTATCTCTTAATATTTCAGAACAATCCAAAAAATAAATCTATTAAGAAGAGAGAGCGAATTTGTCTTTCTGTTTTTTTTTTTTTTTTTTTTTTAGATAGCATTTTTTTTTTTTTTGTGAAGATGTAGTTTTAGCATGATTAGTTCTTATTTCACCAGTGAATCCGAAAATGCTAAGATTTTAAAATTCGTATAATCTTAGATCTGGGTCAAGACCTAAATTATTGGAAATATTGTAGGCTTATAAATGGTGGACTATACAACTTATTATAAACTTATTATATGGGATGTTGGTGTAACAGATGAAAAACAATGGGTACGAAAAGGCGGAAATTGACAAAAGAGTTGATCTGACAAAAACAGTATAGAAAGTGAAAGCATGTAGTGTTTGGTTTTGAAGAGCTAAAAAATGATTGATGCTGAATTAGTTTAATAATAATTGAAATAAGTAACCATATACCCAAAATATGTTTGACATTAATCAATTTCAGTTTACATCATTAACAAATGATCTTATATAGTAATAGCGAGAATAATATCGATGAAAACTAGAGTATATATAATTAAGAATGTGAGTGAGTGTGACTGATGATTACATTGTCCTTAACATTGGTGATTACTTATTCGGGAAGTGTTGAGTTAATTAGATTAGTCCAATACTCCATATATTTTAGTTGGTTAGCACTCCAGATTGATACCATCATTCATTATCATGGAGTGAAGGGCAAACAAAACCTCTAAAGTCATTGTTCCCACTGGCAATATATATATATATATATATATATATAAGAGACGGTCCAGCTCTTGTAGGACCGATTTTTTTAATTTTGATGGTAGAACTACTCGGCCTGACCCATAATTGTATTCAATGGTTGGTTTTTTTTTTGAACCTATATTCAATGGTTTATTGCAAATAATCGAGTAGTATGTGGTTGGTCATCTCATGGCTCATTAACCGGTATAAATAATCGTAAACCAAATTATGGTATGGTTTAGATATATCGAGTAGTAATATGGTTGGTCATAACTTATAAGTCATAAGTCGTAACTATAGAATTAGGTTATACAGATTCCAGTGAAATGTTAGATATCTCGTCATTCCTTGTCATCGTCATGTTTCTAACTAGATCAGTAGATAATCCTTTAGACTAAATGATAATTTGAAGAAAACCTAGATCATTATTTTTCAATCTAACTTATTAATAATGTCCTGGTTAATCTGTAGATTTCAAATATGTATTGCTTATGTGTATATACTATTACCGATATGAATACTTGAACGTGTACTAGGTGAAAGAACATTGGTATATACAGTATTTATATGTAGGTGTTAATTTTAATTGAACAATACATTAGTTTATGTTGAGGATAAATATCACCCGAAAGACAAAACCCCAAAATATATTAGTTTTTTTTTTTCTGGATATTTTAGAGCAAAGATTCATATCCAAATCGAATTATTAGCTGCTACCATCTTTTGGGGTTGGTTTTAGATTATTGGTTTTAGAGTTGTTAGATTTGTAATATCAAAAAGAAATAATATAATATAGATATATTTCTAATTAATGTAGGTGTTATACACGTAATAGTATGATTAGTATCCGAGTTGCTAGATGTATGAAATGACCTGGACATGTTCTCTGGTCTCTGTGGAGTTGTCTCTCAGCTATAAACAGAGACCACGAGTTACGTTAATGCCAATAGTTCGTTATTTGGAAAATGACTAATCCTTGAACAAGGCAACACATGCGTTTTCTTTTTAGTTGTTCGATGAAACTTCATCAGAACAAAATCATCTATGTGATTACTTTGAATCTATACTGACGTTGCCTGAGAAGCTAGGATTGCATATAAGGATATTGTGTGTACATGCAAAGACTACGATCTAGAGATAGATATTAGCTAGATCTCTTTTTTCTTTACGCATTTCAATAGGTATTAGATTTTAGATACCATCATTCATTAATAATCTATACCTATTGAAAAATGCATAAAGGTTATATATGTACCAAACCGAACTAACCCAAACTCTTCATTTCTTTAACAACGTTTCTAGTCTTTATACTTTAACAGTATGAAATATACAGAAAAAGCATTACATAAATGAGGTTACAATTATTCCTGTAGTCAAAAGATGAATTCCTAAACTATTTTGTCTGTCAAAAATATGATTTTGGGTCATTCGAATTTTACAACTCGGTTGGTTGCTAGTACTAGTATACAGTATCATTCGAACAACTAAAATAACTTGTATTCTGCGGTAAATTCTAGTCATTTAAGATAGTTTATTTGGAAAAAACGACTATATATATTATTACATATATACACGTAGATAGGGGAGACAGAGACGAAGGCCCACACTTCTTTAACAAAAGAACAACAAGCCCGTGACCCCAAACTAGCTTTCAGATTTATTTTATCTGACATAATCTCCACCGTTAGATTTTATTTTTCTCATGTCCCATTCTGACTCACATCCAACCGTCCATATTCCTCCAGGGTCTTCAATAGGTGGGCCCCTTTTCTTCTTCCTCTCGCCGTACACTCTCCTTCAAGGGCCAGAGCCACCGCCCTCGCCACTTCCTCTGCCGGCGCCACCGCAATCTCCTCGCCGGAATCTCCTCCTCTTCCGTATACCACGGAGAGTATGCTTATGGCGTATTCTCTTCCTCTACCGGCCAATCTCGCCATCACCGCCACCATCGCCGGCACCGTCATCGCGTGAGCACGAACCTCCGCCGCGCCTTCCGCCGTCGTGCACATGAGCTCAAGCGCAGCCAAGGCGCGCTCCACCGCTGAGATCTCTAATCCAGCCGCAGTTTCCACCACCGCTCTGGCGGCTCCGGCCTCGACGGCCACGTGGCGGTTACCTTCCGCGAGACAGAGCGCGAGGAGGATCTTGGTGACGTATTTGGCAGTTACGATCTTGTTGCTGCGAAGGCAAGAGACGAGGCCTCGCATGAGAGCCGGAGGACAAGTCGGATCGGATGGCGGGTCGGGTACGACGACCCGTTCGAGTAGCTGAAGAGCGAGGAGCTTGTCGGAATCGGAGACGGATGTGAGGTGAAGCTCTGCGATCTGGAAGGTTTCTTGGAGAGTGCTGGTGATCGGAAGCGGCGGCGGCGTAGGAGGAGTGGGAGGAGGAGGAGCAGTAACGGTGGATGGAGTTTGGTCAAGGTGATGAGGGAAACGCCACTGAGTGAAGCTTTGGGAGGTGGAGGTTGAGGAGGAGGAAGAGGAGGAGGAGGTGGTGGTGGGTTTACGGCGAGGTTGCTGGTGAGGAGAGGTGGGACTGAGGACGGACTGTGTGCAGCGGCGGAAGAAGCCACAAGAGAAGAGAGGGCGCGGTGGCGCGTGGGGTTTCGGTTTCTGGTTTGCCTTCATCATCACTGGAGAGTTTGTCTGGGACTTAAAGAGTGAAGTGAGAGTGAAGCGTCTCTTTTTAAATAGGAAGAAAATAATTGATTCGCACCAAATTTGTCAGGCGTTACACTTGGACTCTCCCTAAGATTATTTACTCGTGTTAAACCATAAAATAAATATTATTAATAATCATCTAGGGGACATAGAAGAGTATGGTCCCAAAACATTGACGACGAAATTACAATTCTGAATATGGTTTAGGCTAACGATTAATCTATGTACTTAGGTTACATGCTTGTGTCTGTTTATTTTTTTTGTTAGGGGAATCTTTACCTGTAGACGACAAAAGGCAGGCTTGATTTGCGTCTTAACAGTTAAAGCCATTAAATTTAGTCTATGGTCACAAACATGGAAACTTTTTCTGTGAAGTTAAAAAAGAGGCTTCTATAAACTTTAAACTCAGAAATCAGAAAGTTCAGCGAAACTCTAGAATGTGACTGTGAAGTACTCAGTTTCCAAAGCCTAACACCAAGAATTTCGTTAAGCCAATGGGTTTTTTCTAGGAGTGCCAGAAAAAAAAAAAACTCAAAAAAATATTCTACAATTGTGAAAAAACCCTTTTAAATCACCTCCATTTTTCGCTTAGTTCCTTCTTCTCTGAAAGGACCCAAGTGATGTAGATGGCTGCAACGAGTGCAACGATCGTGATCAAGAGAAGCGCGTAGCTGAAATCATCGGTCAGCGAGTCATAGGTCTTTGAAGGAGCAAGCCTTGTGTAGAAGAGATCCACTCCATATGCAAATACGTGTGTTGTTGACTCTAGCTTGGCCGGAGCTGTTATTATCCCTCTTAGCCCTTCTACTTTCAGGGAGTGTGTTACGTATGCCTGTCAAAATATGACAACCAAAATATGTTTATAGCCCGAATGGTTTTCTTATGTTAAAACCTAACCAAACAACGAACCAAGAACTGCCCCATTCCTGAGATGTGTATAAAGTTTTACCTGAGGAATTATGGGTAATGAATCCGTGAGAGGGATGATTCCTTCTTCTTTCTCAGCTTGCGAGGGGTTAAGTGTCCGTCGTGGATCCACAAATCGTTTGTCCAGTGCCAATATCTAATCATTCATTGGAACAGTTTTTTGAGTATCAATTTCCCAATCCATGGAGGTAATTTATATATGATATGTAATGTACAAACCTGATCCCCGATGGTACCAATGAGAAGCTGCTTTGAAGTTATACCCTTTGCTGTTGATGTCACCGCGATAGATTTCACGGACTGGGCAAAGAAGTATGACTGTGACTTTGTCAACACCTCGGTTCTAGAGTATGAAGAGATCGGCGCTGTTAGATTGTGCTTTCCAAGAACGAGTTTCCAGACATTTTTGTTCTCCTGCAGATAAAATTTATAATGTTTTCACAGAGCGAAATAAACTCAAATCAACTGATGAAATGCTTCGGGTATGTAGTCATACCGCCCGAGACTGATCATAGATCTCGACGACTGTAACCTCGTACTTGTGAGCTCGAAGGTTGAAATAGTGGTAAACAACCCAATTCTCACTAAATACCTGCAAAGAATTTGAAAGCTAAGAAAGTTGCATTGAATCTGTTACAAAAGGAAATGAGATGAAGTTGCATGAGCACTTACCGCATGAACCGGCCCTTGACAACCTTGATGTGACAAACGGTGCAGTATACGTCCAGTGATGGTGTCAATGAGGTATACTACAAGTGCTGACTCCTCTGGTGTAACTGAACCAATCTCACCAGCGCCTTTTGGTGACACGGTGGCCACAAACAGCAAGTTCCTTGATACGTATTTATACAAAAGGTCTTGGTCTGTGTTGACTTTGGCTTGTGTATGAACAACCTGAAAATATAATCGTACGCATGTTCTGGATTAATAAAATCCCAACAAATGTTTCGAGTAAAAGACTAACAAGCGTTAAAGAAGCATGATAAGAACTGATTTAGAAATCAAGAATTATACCTCATTTGGTTTTCGTGTTAGTGTTGAAATAATTTTCTCAGATTCGGAGGGAAACACAACAGTCCAAAGTTCCCTGGTAGTAAAACAGTACTCATCTGCAGTCTCACCAGAACAACTGCTCTTCATTGCGTGTCCTCTAATAATACCATCATCAGCCTCAACAGTGTACCAATATACATTTTGAAACTCGCGCTGAAAGATGGTGAGAGCCTCTGAAGTTTTCGGGTACAAGTGGACGTGGCCATTGGTATCAGCTATTAGATGTAAACGTTGTTCCGTTGAGTCGGTATATGGAAGAGGCATGACTTGCACAACAGAGTGACCAATATCTGATGAGCTAATCTCCTTTCCCGTGTACACATCTACAAACGAAAGTACACCGGGCGCACTTGAATCTGATCCGCACCTGCCAACTACGAGAACAGAAGGATTCTCGTCCATGGCGTGATGATGAGGGACCTGCCATTGGTACAAGCTGATACCGCTTGGGCGTTCACAGAATTTGTTAGGAGAGTTTAGCAGCATAGACCAAACAATCCTCCCGTCTCCAGTGTGCAGAGCAAAAAGTTTACCAGCACGGGTAAGTGCTATGATTAATTTCCGGAAGCCATTATGGTCACGTGTCAGTTTGCTCCTCCCAGAACTCTTCATCCTCATTTCTTGAATTGCTGCCACATCCTCTGGGCTCGCTAGCAACAAGGTTCCCTTGAGCTTCAGCACGTGTCCCTTTCAAAAGAAACAGCAAAATTTCAATTGATTAGGGTGAGAAAACCATAAGAATAGGTCATCAAATACACAGCTCCAGGGAAATAATAGTAAAAAAAAACAGCACAGACGTTTAAGAACAGTCATACCTGAAGCCAATCTAAGAGAGTGTGTTCCACTTTTGCCACTGATACACCATCCTTTTCCACGGGGAGCTCTGCTATTGTAACATCGGTCACTGAAGCCAGGCCTTCTTCTCTGCTCCAAACAATCGCCCCTTGCTGCAGTAACAAGAGTGAGTGGTCTTCCATCACGATAAGCGCCCTAAATCCGTTACTCCTGTCTGTCTTGATATAGTTGTTTATAAAAACTTTATGCACACGCCCCCTGTGTTGGTCCATTTGAATGCTCTCTCTAAGCAATACAGTCTCCAAGTCATCAACAAGTTTCACCATGAGGTGAATCTTGCTCCCTTCATGATGAACTGAGGCGAAGGCCTCCTGCTCGTCTGCAACCGGAAGTGAATCACTCATGGCTGTTTCGTCAGATAATGAGTCTACCACCTCCAACTTTCCTTCGCCACCAACCCTCACGAATACAGTGCGTTTATTGACTTTTACAGCAAGTATATTGGTAAGAAGAGGTGATAAAATCTCAGCCTTTCCAGAATCCTCAACAAGATCTGAAATGCGGGTCTGCTGGAAGCTAATATCTCCATCTAGGAAGCCAATAGTAACCAAAATTGACCTCGTTGAATCAAGGACAACGACTTTATCGCTTGAAACTGATGAAATCTCGCCAGAGAATCCTCCAGGGAACACCACGCTTTTTTCTGCCACCACCTCTCCGCTTTTGGAATCAATCTGATAGACAACAGCCTCCGATGATTTAATGAATCCCAGCACATAAACTATACTACTTCCAGGAGTTTGAAGAACCCGCTGAACTTCAAACCTGCAGGAGGCACCATAAAGCACATCGAAAGTAAGCATAACTAATCGTTACAAGCACTCTGCACTCGAAGCAACCTCATTGAACTATAAAGTGAAGACTGACATACCCTTCCGCTGTGAAATCCTTTTTCCAGATGAGCTCACCATCCACAGCAGAAACAGCATGAAGGTACCCACCACCGAAAACAAGAATAGGGTAGTCCTTGTCAACCTTCAAATTTATCTGCAAGACAGCTCAAGTTAATAAACAAGCAACCAAGGAAATGATGACGCAACTAAGATCTCAGATAATATCACTCTTCAACGAACTATAGATCAAAGAAGTTGTTTTCTTATAATGATAGCAACAGTTGTCCTCTGTTTATAGCAAATCACAATATGACTAACCGGCACAGATAACAGTGACTTTGACTGCTGTGCACTGTGAAGCGACGTTTCCCACACCATCTGGCCATCAGGAAGGTTCCAGGCTCTTAAAGTACTTCCTTCTGATGAAAGGGTGATAACATCTGCAATAATATGAAGCCGAGAAAATATCAAATAGAGCGTTTGGTACAATCCAGACATAGTTGATCCACATGTACAGAAGATAAATCCTACATTTTCCCAGGGCAATATCAACGCCATCGATAGCATCCTTTGTCCCGAGAACATGCCGCCAAACTGCAGCAAACCAGAAAACAAAGTAAAAAATAAGGAGAAAAAAAAAAACGATACAGAGCGATGAGAATCATAGTAAACGATACTTCCAAGATTCAACATGAATTAAAAAAAAAAAAAAAAACATATGAAAACCACTCTTCTTACATATCTCCCCGTGTCTGAGATCAAGTGAAGCAACAACATTCTGCTCGGTGGACACGATGACACGCTTTCTCCCAGTCTTCTGAGTGTGGAACACTGCGTGCTTCACTTTCCCAATGTAGCGTTGGTGCCTACGCAAAATAAGACATTTGATTCGGAAACTTTTTAGTTCCTTCGCTCCTAGCTTTACCCGATCGCATCTCAAAATTCACTAACACTTCTCTACCTAATGAGATCTAAAATAGTTGAAATGACAGATTATATATACAGTGCGCGGATTTGGGTTAATCTGACAGGCGAGAGCTACAGTGCGACTTCTAAATCGAAAAACTTCAAAACGATGATGATGAAAAGTTTCGGAAACTTCACAAAGCAGTAGTAAGCTTTCGAAGCTAAATAGAGGGACAAAGGAAATCGGATGAAGAAGAGACGAGTTACCAATCCATGAGACCGGCTTGATCTTCATAAAGGGAGAAAGATAGAATTGCAGATGATAAGAAGATAAGGAGGAGGAGATAACCCCTAATCGCCATAGCTATGGTGATCGCTGACGACTAACTTTCCTCTGCAAGTGCTTACCAGCAGATCTGGAGAGGGAGGAGAGTTTTGGTCTGCGAATGAAATCGTGAGGGGCTTTAACAAGCGGAAGGTCTTCTCCTTTTTTAATTTGTTGAATAAACGAATAAATTTTTTTTTTTTGGCCTCACTGGCCAAGATTTTTTCGATAATACATAGTCACATACAACCATTTACATGAAAATTCAATATAAATCTAAAAGATATCTACAAAATTTATACTTATCTCTTGTGTAAGAGATATACAACCTACAAGAGAGGAGTTAAACAAACACTCTTAATAATTTTTAAAAAGTTGATTTCGTATCTGGAGATAACTTGATTAATCAGAAAATTAACAACATACAGATAGTTTTTTGTATTTAGCTAGATAAATTATAAATATATACATATTCGTATAAATGATGCTTACAAAACTAGATAATTATAAAATGTGTCACATATGTCTGTTATTTAATTGTCTGCGTCATCACTTTTACATTTACCATAAGAGTTGCTACACCAAACAAAATATACAACATTGAGGAGAGATAAGGCCGCCATGAGCCAGTAGTAATAGTCCAAGTGCCCCTCGTCTATATCCTCTGTGATCCAGCTCCGGCAGGTGGCGGTGACGATCCATGAGGAGACTAGGCTTGCGGCGGCCATACCGAGGCCGGAGAGTGTGGTGGCGACGCTTGACAGGGAGTTTGGAAGCTGATCAGAGTAGAAGAACTCGTTCTGTGCTACCGAAATAAGTGCTTCAGCAATGCCTCCTAATATCATGTACGGCAATAGCCACATCGCCGACAACATTTTACCTCGATCCTCAATCAACCACACGAACACAAAACAAATACTTTGTATTACTTAAGTAACATAAGATTCTTAACAGTGAGAGGATTTGCTAGTGAGCCTAATTAACAGTGAGAGGATTTGCTAGTGGGCCTAATTAACAGTCAGAGGATTTTCTAGTGGGCCTAATTAACAGTCAGAGGATTTTATAGTGGGCCTAACTACATAGGCCCATGCTAATTGCAGCTGAAAATGAGACTGAAGATATTTTTGGATGATAATTGTATTTAATTTCACAGTAGTGTCAAACCAAAATACTCATAAAATAAGTAAGATTCCAAAGATTGCCGAGTGCTGGTGATCGCTGAAAGCCTCCAGGAAAGCAACTGAGCTCGAACCTTATCCGTTCCAGAAACCCACCGAGAAATCTTCGAGCAGTGACAATGGAGGAACAAACGCCGGCGATACCGATTTCTGAAGATTTATCCCGGAAAATAATCTCTCTCGCCGCCGGTGAAGCGCATACTATCGCTCTGACTGGTAAAAATAACAATCCCACTGCTTCATTTAGTTGACAGATAAACTCATATGTTTTTGCTTGAGCTGATTATAATTATTTGGGGAAATTGCAGGCGATGGATGTGTTTACTCATGGGGAAGAGGAATGTTCGGCCGTCTTGGCACGGGTAGGGAATCGGACGAGCTTGTTCCAGCTCGAGTCGAGTTCGAGTTCCCATTAGATCAAGCGTCCGGAGATGGGCCCCGAATCGTTGGTATTGCTGCTGGTGCTTATCACAGTCTCGCCGTCTCAGGTGGTTCCTTGTATTCCTATGTCGAAATTCACTTTTTCCACTAGCGTTTGCGTCTGATTTGATCAAAAGAGTTTTTTTTTTTTTTTTTTTTTTTGAGAAATCGATGACGGTAACGATCAAAAGATTTTGTTTTATAAAATTAGCTCCCCTTTTATGTATCCATGACCTTACATTTGTGAGTTGGAAAGTATGCTTGAGTCGTATATGATACAAATGATGGTTATGTTTTAGCTTAAGTTTCCGCTCTGGTGAGGTTCTTCTTTTGGTTGGGTCGGGGTTTCTTAAGTTTGTTATCGAAAGGGCTTGTGAGTTTAGTTTATAGGATCATGGGCATCAAGTACGAACATAAGCTTTTTTATGTGTATTGTATATGAATCCGATATGATATGGATCTATATTGACCATTCTCTTTTCTTTTGCTTCTTTTCCTTGTAAGCTTTTGGCAGATGATGGCTCAGTTTGGTGTTGGGGTTACAACATTTGTATCCTTTATCTGCGTGTCTAACTTGATATGACTTTTTTTATCACTACATAATTCATCTTCTGCTCTCTCCTTGACTGATAAATGGATGGCCAACTTGGTTTTGATGGGGAGAATTCCTTGGCACCGTGCTTGATAAAAAATTTGTTTGATCAAGAAGCATCTAGTTCTTCTCTAATTGATTCAGATAGAGAAGCTAGATCAGATTTAAAGGTTTGTTCCTGGATACTCTTTCTTACTGTTGGTTTATGACTTATGAGTCAAAAGCCTGAAGCTCAAAGGTTTTTGTTACTCTTGGTAGGTTTGTGCTGTCAAGGCCGGATCCATGATGTCACTTGCCATTGATAATGTCGGAGGTCTTTGGATGTGGGGCAATGTTCCGCCACAAGCCAGCGGACCTGAGCCTCGTTTGTCTTTTACAAGCGTCCCGATTCCTTTTCCTATACTGGAGTTCCATGGCCGGACTGTTTTGAAGGTAGCATGTGGGGATGAACACGTTGTTGCCGTTGTTGGACCTAAGGAGGTCATCCACAAAGACAACAGTTATGATGAATCTGTGTTGTACTCTTGGGGAAATAACCATCATGGCCAGTTAGGGCTTGGGGACAGAGAAAGCCGTGCAAGGCCTCAGATTGTGGAGATGTTTAACCAGAGCTCTGGTCTTACATTCTACGACGTAGCTTGTGGTGCTCATCACACAGCTCTCCTCACCCATAGAAAAGAGGCACCAAAAGGACCAACCACTTGTTGGACATTCGGATTTGGTGAAAATGGTCAACTAGGTCATGGGAGTACCAAGAGCTCATCGATTCCAGAGCCAGTTTCAGAGCTCCCAGAACACGCTTGCTTAGTTTCTGTAGACTGTGGCTTATTCCACACAAGCGTTGTGTCATCTGAGGGATATGTGTGGTCGTGGGGAATGGAGAGGGGATTAGGGCTATGCCCTGATGTCAACTTCACAGACGTGGAAGCAGGAGATGACAGTATGCCAAGAAAGATTTCGGGCGGGTCAAGATTTCGTGACCCAGTTCAAGTTTCTTGCGGGGCTGCACATACAGTTCTTGTGGCAAATGGTGGTTACAAGCTGTGGTCTTGGGGAAGAGGAAGAAATGGAGTGCTCGGGACCGGGAATGTCATCGACTGTTATGTTCCTACACTCGTCTTCTGGCCAAATGAGCTGAAACCGAACGATGAAGAGGTACCCGAACCTGATGCTGCTGGGGGAAAAAGCTCATCAACAGAGGAGATGAAGCGGCTAGAATCAAAGCTAATGGTGATGGAGAGATACGCAAGCATACTTCATGGATCCATATTCGGAAAACCTTTCAATGAAGAGGAAGATATCCCGTACTCGTTGCGGGTCACCGGGTACTTCGATATGGGAAAAGAGTGGGGAGAGATGGTGGAGAGTGCAGATAAGAGTCAGCTTATGAGGCTTCAGGCTTTCTATGAAGACATGATTGGGAGGGTTAAGGACAAGTTGTTGCAGCGAAGGATTCAGGAGATTATGAAAGATTGTCTTCAGTCTTCAGCCCCTAAACACTAGTAATAGCATCCATCACCTGTTGTCTGCTAATAGCATAATAACTTTATTATAAAAGATTGTCTTTATTGGTTTGTTCGTCGTGTTATACATTTTTAATTTCAACAACTGTGTTTGTGACAAATTTTGCCATACGGCCCATAACTATAATCCATCATCGAATCCATCATTCAATTTACGTTATACTGCGGAAAAAAAAAAATTACGTCACACTTTTTTTTTAAACATTTATTTACGTCACAATTTTGAAGGTTAAGGTTTGTAGCGTATTTGCAATTTTCTTAAACACATGTACATGGTATTTGATTTTTTAATTATAAAACATAGTAAATGGTAGGTTAATTTTGAAATTTATCCTCTCTGAAATGCGTCGTTAGTTATTATTCTAATCGAGTATACTTAAACATCATAGTTACTCATGATTTTAGATGTTTTCATTTTTCTTTTGGTACTATATTTATTAAAAGACACGGTATGGATAGAAAGAGATTAAACCTATTTTTTATGATTTTATCACAAGAAATTTGACTAATTTTCTGTAGAAAATAACGATGTCGCATATATATATATATGTATATACAGTATATGCCATTTGAAAAATAACAATGACGTAGCCCCTTCATAATTTATGTCGATGATTCATCTGGCATAAGTTATTTTAAGTTCCAAAAATACGAAACAGGCTGAGAAGGAGGTTATATATTAAACGTTTAAAAATTGTCGGAAACCATATTAAAATGGTTATTAGACGTTTCTACTCCTCATTTTTTTTAGGTATATTTCAAAAATTAATCTAAAATGTATTGTTGAGAACACACTCATAAAAATCCTTATCTAGAATCAGTCCAAAAAATATTTTATTTTACTTCTATTTTAAAAAACTGTTGGCACTGTAGTATCACATCATCCAACAACCAGTGCAGGACAAGAGAAATTTATCCAACAACCATTGCAATGTCCTTTCATATTAATTTTTCAATAAATAATGTCAATTTAATCATTTTATTGCCAACTAATTCCTAATGTATGTGAAGCACACATATATTGAATATAATGATCAAAGAGAAATTGTATATGCTTTTTATAGACTTTAAATATAATCAACAGTAGTCTTGAATTAAGATTAAAGTTTGTATAAAGTTTTTGAAGTTTTCTGGTTAAAAAATGCAAACATAATTGATATTTTACATGTTGGTGTATAAATATAATCATTTATTATATATAGTGGCACTGACATATGTAACATTGATTATGAATTTCTCAAATTATATTCCCTATTGGAGAATACTGCATTACTTCAATAACGGGAGAAAATACGACATCGAGTGAATCAAAATATAATTTAGCGGGAAATAGTGAATTGAAATCATTTATATATTTCATGCAAAGAACGTAACTTTAAGTATGGCCGACCATTTGCATTACCTATAATTTTTTTTTTATAACATCAATTATTTTGAAACAAAAGAGAGTAGTGATTTTCTAAAATGATTAGCTATATCTACGGCTTTTAAGTTCCACATTGCCTCATATGGTGTTCACTAGGCATTATATTTCACATACGAAAATACTTTACAAAATAAGATACTACAAAATAAGAAATAAAATAGAAATGGTAAAGTAGTGACCGTAGTGTAAATTTTATAAGTAGTTAATAATTTACGGTGGTTTTCTCCACTTTAAATTAATCTCTCTCAAAACCAGTCTTTTTTCTTTCAACATATCGTAACAGTCCACTAATGGCTAATCTATGATTGTCTACCAACTGTTATATACCTATAACCAGTTAGACATTACACGTTGAATACTATTCTATTGTCTATCACTTTTTTGACATTGGGTTTTGCATATAATAATAATACTTAACATTACTAAATCAAGTAGCACTAACCCAAGATATTTGTACAAAACAATAATTAAAAGCATCCTTGAAATGGCAAGCGGCAAGGAAAAAGCTTTCCACAAAGATTCTTGTCTTTTGAAGGCAATGCTTTAATACAGACGTATTCGAGTTTATTCAATTGCACTGATCATTGCCATGGGTCTCTGTTGTTCTCCGTATCCTTTTATTTTTCGTTATATTTTTACATATACAATAAGAAAACATTAATTATGACATATGCTTAAATAAACATTAGAAGTATGTAAATATTCGTAATAATATGTTAACTTTAATACAGAAAGATAATGGACAACAGATTCGCAGACTTCGTAGAGAAGGCTTATTCATAAGATAAAAGTGATTTCTAAATATATATGTTTCTATGATTTCAGGTAGACTGCGATTGTTTCAAACGTTAACTTCCTTTTTGCGTTTATATGATAAACTTTTTCTTTCTAAAATTGACATCTAAAGTTTTTTAAGTTTCGTATAAAAAGATTTATCAAATGTAATTGCAAATTGCATTGGCGTTTGTGGTTATATAATGTATACAAGTTCCTAAACCGGACGAACAAACCAATTAATCTACAAAGCTGGCCGACCGTTAAATCAGTTTTTTTTATATGTTTTCTTAGATTTACGCAAAATTGTGGCATATAGCCACCGTCAATTAAATTAATCAACTAAACGTGATTATTCTGCCGACTTACTTGAATCTTATATATATTTAGAAAAAAAAAAAAGCATTTTAGTGGAGAATGTCAAGTGGTTCAGATACACTTTTATTTATATAAAAATTTCAGCATTTAATAAAGGCTTTTTGACGATTTAGGTCGAAATTAAAAAAAAAAGTATAAAGGAGTCAATGATTCCTTTTCCGTTTTTGGAGTTATGCATAGTACCATCATTAGATGGATAAATTTTGATTTAAGAATTTCAACACCTCACAAAAGATTTGCAAGAAAGTTATGTCGGATCTACTCTAGATTTGCGTGGTATAATGTCGGTTAATAAAACCTTTAGAATAAAAAGTTCATTTATTCATAAACGAATAGTTATACATATATAACAGTTAGTGGGGAATAGGTAGGGCTATGTGAATATATAATCAAACGGAACCGAACCGATTAACCTGAACCAAAGAAAACTGACATCGAATTATCTTAAACTGGATGAATAAATCTAAAATTAATTAAAACTAACAAAAACGCACCAGACCTATCAAACACAACAATCAAACCGCAACTTATATCTAATTAAACTTAGCAAAATACATAATACCACATATTCCTTTGGATTTGTCAATCTTTAATATCCTTGAAAAAAGAACTTAAACCGGTTGTGTCTTTCGTAGTTAGTTAGGTGAAAAATAAAATACTTTTGTAAACGCATTTAATATGCATTCAGACAATTAGTAAAACCTTCTGTCGGAGGAACCTTTTTCACATTTTTAAAATATAAATAAAAAAACCAAAGTTATGACCAGCTTTTTACATTTGGTTCTGGGATTTGATTATATTTTTTTTGTAAAAATGTCGGAGATTTAATCCTTAAATTCTAGGGTTTATATGAGAAATAGATGAGCTGATCGGTACTTGAAAACTGTAAATTTAACAAATTAAATCGTTGATTTTGTTATTATTGTTTTTTTATTCGGTGTGTTCTTGAAAAGTTACTATGACGTTCAATCCAAAGCTCGCATGCGTCAGAACTCAGAATGGAACGTTCATGCTTAGTTCGTATAGTTTGGCGTAGCGGTAGAGGTTGTTTACGAGATTGATCTACACCTTTTTTGTTGAATCCGTTATTTTTAAAACTAATAACTTTGAATTTATAATATGCCCAAGTGGCGCGTTTTAATTCGTTCTCGTGCAAGGAATTTTTGAATGTCCAAACAATTAATGTATTCGAAATGTATAGGTTTTCCATGCACATTAATTTGTAAGATAAGAGTAACTAGAATTTTAAATGTTATGTGATGTGGATGAATGATGATATACTCTATATAGTTACAAATTAAATATGTATATAGTATGTTTGATATTTATTTTTATTTTGTCGGCTAGTTCATGCTTTATTAAATGACCAATATAATATTCACACTAAATAATGTGGAGGGAAACGCCGATATGATCCGCTAAAACATATCCACGAAAGAGAAATATAAAAGGCAATGTAAACACGTAACAACTAGAGAGAAAAAAAAAATCAAGTAACAACTAACAATGAAACACATCAATACATCATTCTTTATATTTTAATATGGAATGTTTCTGATTTCACTCTGTTGACTAAAAATGGCATATATTAACCATACATAAATAATCAACAGATACAAATATGGATCATTGTTCCATGTCCCACACTTTCGTAAGAAAGTCTTAGGGGTAAATCCAAATTCTTTCATATGTTTTAATTAAATGGTTGCCAGTGACATCATTATATTATTGTATTTGCTGTTGTTTATAACATTAGTCTTTATCTACCACGTAGGATGCATGAAGCTTTGAAATAATAATGTGAAGTGAAATTATCTTTTCAACATAGCTATTATAACAAAGAAATATGTGATGTTGAAATGCACACAAACTTTTGGAGTTTGCAAACCACTAAGTACATAGTACATTTTATTTTTGGGGTTTGCAAAATACTAGACATACGTTTTACATTGATTAAAAGAGACGGTAAATCCAGCATGAACAGAATTCCTTCTTCTTCTTTTTTTTTTCTTTTTTTTTTAGCATAGATAGATTTCGAAGATACGTAACCTTAACTGGCATCACCATCACTAAGACAAATTAATATCATGAGTATTGCACTTTAGAACGAGTAGTTTAAAATCATCATAGCTCTTTTTCATGATTGTAAATTTATAATGATCTTGGAAATTGAAACGTCATATATTATATATATATATATGTGTATTCATGCGACATGACTAAACATTTCACATTCTTTATGTTCATCATATTAGGATAATTTCATGTCATATATATATATATATATATATTCAGATATAATTAAGCCTATATATCTATTTTAGGGGTCAATGATCCTCATTTATTTTTAAACTGCTATAATATTAATTAACTTTAACGTTAATTAGTATATTTTTCTTAGAGCATCTCCAATCTACTTCTATTTTAGAGGGAAAAATAGAGTTTATAGAAAAATTCTCTCCAATTCACCTCTATTTTTACCTCTAAAATTGAGGTTGCTATTTTTTCCTCTATATTTGAAGGAACTCTATTTGTTCCTCTATAATAGAGATACACTTTTTTATTTATAAACTGGTCCCTT